CTGTATGATGAAATTTGTTTTGTACCTCCTCGTCGCAGATGCAATGAATAATTTAGAATGTGCCACCCTTTGATTTTTACGTAAGATAAGGGTAGGGCCGGTCCCCGGCGGTGCCCGCTACGATGAGCAGGTCGCGGACGGAGGCGTTTCTGGGATTTATGGAGTGACATATGGATGTTGCGATCAATGAATTGTGGCCAGGAAGCGGTCAGCTGTATCTATGTACATATGGGTAATTTACGTAGTTGGCGCTCCTTTCGATGGTTATGGATTTTTCGATAGTTACGGAGCGACGTAGAGAACACCTATAGAGGTGAGGTAAGGCATGCGGAGGAGTTCGTGTCGCTCGGTAGGAACCTCGTCGACATCGGGACGTTGAGGATAGATGATGATATTCCCTCGCAAGCCACGTTGAGAAATGGGCAATTCAGGACCGTCAGCATTGTCCTTTAAATGCACTATCCAGCACTTTGCCCTACATCGAGCGATCATAGTCTCCTCTATTGCAGTCAGATCCTGAAGCTCAGAGGGAATGCTGCCGAGCCACATACGATTAGCCAAAGCCAAAGAGGGGGTACGATTACGATGCAGAGACGAAGCGCATACTTTACACAGCATTAATACCTGTTCGCCATTGCGTACATGACCAATCACACCACTCGGATCAACCATAACATCACACAGAGGACCATCCCAAAAAGGAGCATGCACAAAAAACTCACCATCGAACATGCCAGCAGATTCACTTCACAGCAGCTCCAGATTAATATCGCTCGCTGGAACATCCACACGAGCACTCCTAAGTGCAGACGTGGCACAGCACGTGCAAGTAAAAGAGGAAAGACAATCAGCGAAAGTTCGATCACGATATTTATCCACGAGACGATCCTTCACCGAGGAAGGTACGAGTTGTGGCCAGTTATCGTGAATATCTGCAAGTCGTCGCTGCCTATCAGCAACATTAGTTCCTATTCACTCGACGTCGTACTCGGCACGTTTTCCTTTACGGAGAGAATTGATGAAAGCCTTTAACAAACGGCGCATGCGAGAAACACTCACAGACGGTTCGTACGATATTCCGTTAACGTCCAAAATACGTCTTAAAGCGTTGCGCTTGACACGCTTCCTCACAGACTCAAGAACATACATGCGAATGTCATTCAAACTGCCGGGCGACGTGTTTTCATACTCAGAACATACATCAGCACACGCTTCATGATTTTTGTTTTCTGCACATGTGCCGCGAGTTGAATGAGTGGTGATCAGCACATGCATCTCTTCTTTCGTAGCCTCGCACGGAACACGAACGCGATGAGACGCGGCGACAGCCACCAAAGACGGCTTATCCAGAGCATCGATGCCAATAAAAATGGACTGCATGGCACCGAACATACTGTCTACGTCCAAAAGAGGTCCACAGGGCTGAACAACACTACATGCTTCACTGTGTTCGCGCTCTGACGACAAACACACAGACGTGCGTAAAAAAGCACATAGTAGATCAAGCACGATATGCGATAAATCAATCACCATCATTAAACCGTGCGCATGCACATGCAAAGAACATATCATTATTATAGGAGTAAAAGAAGTCAATCATCAGTAAACGACAATAAAAAGAACGAGATAACTGCACACCTTCGACACGAGCGACGAAAGGTCCATGGTCCGAGGACGCAAAACTCACTAGCACAAAATAAGGCAATTGAATAGATCGACAAAAGAATCAACACACCGTTACCAGCATCCTCTCTCCGAATCCAATAATGACCCCGTGGAGGATTGTCGAGAAAAGACGACGGAGGATCGCATACGTCAACGCCATCCACGGAGACGCCGCAAACAGAAAGCCAGTCATGACCGAGCGCAAGAGAACCGATAGAAATAGGAAATGACGAGGTGAAAAAGCCCGACCTCGAAGGAACATGAACCGGTCCAGACGCGGATGATTGTACGATGGAGTTTTCCACGTACACAGAACGCGGCAGGTTGTGCAAACACGCAAATGTCCAGAAAACCACCGACAATGAAAGAGAACTGTCGACGACGATAGACGCAGGAATACCTGCATAATTCCCAACAAGATGCAGACGCGACATATAGACAGCCGCTGGGCACGGATAACGGAGAAAGCGAAGGAGCAAGATGCTTGCCAGTTGCAGCATCACCTCACCTCACAGCCACAGTGGAGCGGCCTCGTGAAATGACGACATTTTCCACGTGGCCCGTTGAATTTTTTCAGAGAACCTATTGAGCATGTCGACGCTAAGACCCTCTACTGTCGTAGCGGGAATATTTTTAGATGCATAACATCGAATCTGTGACGATTTACTTCTCCGTCGCATTTTTACCATCTGTAACATCAAAAAATAATGCGAACATATTGTATTCGCAAAGTCTACAAAAATGAATACAATATAGCCCCAAGAATATGGTTTGGTATATGCCGCAGTTCCATTTCCAATTGCAGATGCCTAATATGTAAACTGCTATGTCATTTTCGCAAAGAACCGACCCATTATCAAAATACTAGTTCACATTTTCCCCACATATTACACATCGAAAAAGAGCTCCATGTCTGGGGTGTGTATATAGCATACTTCATACCACGAGGAGTATACTAGAACGTCCTATGAACAAAAGTTACAACTCGAAATTGTCGCCATCAAGACAGCCTGTCCCCTGCCTACGCCTGCTTATAACGATTCTCAAATTGAAGAAGTTGAACCTGAGCTTCCTTCTCGTCCTGCGCCTTTCGAGATTTTCGACTAGACTTTTCTGCAGATCGGCCTTCGCCTTTTGCAACACGATCTGCAGTTTGTCGTAGCCTTCCATAATCTCACGTATCTTCTCCTCCTGACGCGCCGCATCCGCCGCTGCCATACTCTCTTCCAACTGCTGCCGTAACATCTGTATGTCTCTCTCGTGCTTCGCAATAAGCTCCCTAATGTCGGCTTGCAGCTGCATCCCGGCATCGGTATAAGGTAGCGTCCTGTGCAAATCGACAAGTTGGGTTTGCAGGATGAGCGTGGCCGCTGATATAGGCAGTAAGGATAGGACGGCTTCGCGAGCCGATTCAGCGTTATTCAAGATTCTTCTCATCTTTGCGCCATTGTCAACTGCATCCTTGAAGAAAATCGGATTGCTCTGAAGCTCCTTTTCTCTGCGCTCTCCAAGTTCCGCTGCAACTTTCTCCCACATGGTCGTGCCAATGACCACGTTGTTCATGGCCCCTTCTCCACAGATTTTTGTGAATAGCCGAAAATTCTCTCTTGCAATACCGCCAATGCGATAGTCAGATATGCGGTGCATGTATATGACTCCGGCCAGCTTGATCCCATTCGTATATCTACAGAGCGTGACGTTGTCAGAGGACCAAAACTGCTGCCTGAACGTCGAAGAATGACGTACGTCTGCTCAAGAAAATCAGCTATATCCCTCAAGACATCGGCCTGAGACTTGTGAGTGTCGTCGAATCCCGGTGTGTCGATCATGGTAACGTCCTCTCCGGCGATCTGACATCGCGCAACCTGCACGGTGTCCGTGCATGATTCCAGGCTAGCGCCTACTGCCAAAGAAGAGCCGCACACGTAGTTGATGAACTTGATAGCACGTAAGTGAATAGAATTGCATTGCGTCCCGCTTCAACTGACCGATGTCTTTCCCACTCCTGTCGGCCCAGTGACCCTAGATGATCGATAAACTGTACGCCCACAGTAAACAGGCAGAAGCAACAGGACATACGCAATGAATTTTGGCAATTTCACCATGGCGCTGTGCTCGTTGGAAGTATGACAGAGTGGGTGCTGTGCGGTCGATAGGCGGGCCCACATACAGTTGCCTCACAGGTTACTTATCATACAGGCCTCGCGACGCAAACGTGTATTGGCGAAGGTTTTTGCCACCACGGTATGGATCAATCAATTGCATATGCCGAAGCACGGATCATGCAATGTTGGTAGATTCCTCACCATCGGGCTGTCGATATTCAGATGAGATCGAGGTGCAAACTCCAGTGTCCATCGGCTCTTCAGCAATGCAGTCACAGTCACGGCTCTTCCACCTTATCTATGTAGAAAGGCACGGCAAGCTCATGTTTACCACATGCTGGCATCGACTCGGATGTGTGAGGTAATCGATGTCGATATCTTGACGAGCAGATTGGAAGCCAGTCCATGCAAGAGTTATCTCCAGGAGTGCCTTCGGAGTACGACAGCCTATTCAGGATGCAAGAGCAACGTTCAACAGACTCGGTATGCATACTATGCCAACCTTCAGACCGGAAGAACCTGCCGGCGAGATTTCCCACATATACGTTGTCAAAAGCCTCTGCGGGTTCGTTACGATTGGCCCAACGATAAGCGCAGTGCGTCTGCCATGTGTCGTCCACAAAGGAATGGTACGCATGGTTCAGTCAGAGGATAAGCGTACTGAGACCTCGAAGAAGAAAGACCTGAACAGGATCGCGTGTAGAGTCATGGGCGTGCGTCGTCAACCTTACGTTGTGTCGCGAGACTTGCGCGCATGTACGAGCGTCCGATCTAGTACAAGTACTATTAAGCGCCGCCTGCATTGAGTTGCGATGTCCGTTCAACAGCAGTGTGGTCTTTCATGGTACATAGATCAACAACACGTTGTAAGGCTCCAAGGTACTAGCTCTCGTTCGCTCAGGCGTAAGCTGGACGAAGCGTCTGCCCTCCTAAGATAAACCTCCATCCAGGGACAATTGTCAGGATGCGATTGCGCATCAGCGCGGGGTTTTGGTCTCTGATAAGTGGACAAAACGTAAGCAAACAACGCTCATCAGCTCGTAGACTGAAGCACGAGCCGTACCGTTATGTGAGGAACGAATCGCGCAGACAGCCCATTATGCTCTTCTTCTGAATGAGATAGATCACTTTCGGTTTGCGACGTTCTTCTCGAAGCCTGCGCATCTCGTCCTGGACGTTGGCCAATCTCTGCTCCATTTTCCGGTATTCCTCCTGAATCTCTGACAACTCCTGCCTATGATGAGTATCTCTCTGTTCGATCACACTTTCCAGTTCCTGCCGCAATCTCTGCATCGCTGCCGTATGCTTCACTTCCTGTTGCTCTAGTCCTAGCTTCAACTCCAAGCCCGCTGCCGTTTCTGGGACTTTCTTGTGCTCATCAACTAGTTCATGTTGCATCTGAAGCACTTCCGGTGACCTGTCGATGAAGTATCGCATGATATCCAAAGCCGAGGAGGCGTTATTGTGGTGTCTCTTCATCCTTGCGCCCTGGCTGATAGCGTCCTTGAAGAAGGTTGCTTTGCTCTCAAGCTCCTGCTCCCTGCTTGCGCCGACTTCCTCCGAAACTTCCTCCCACATCGTTGTGGCGATGAGGACGTTCTTCATGGCACCCCGTCCGCATATTTTTGTAAAAAGGCGGAAGTTTTCTCTCGCGATGCCGCCCACACGGTTATCGGATATCCGATGCAGGTATATCATGCCTGAAAGCTTCCTTCCACGCTCATACCTGCGCAGAATTAGCTTGAATAAGGGTAAGACAGTTTATGCTCACATTTTCTCCAGAAAATGAGCGATATCCTTGAGAATTTCGGCTTGAGATTTGGAAGTGTCGTCGAACCCGGGCGTGTCAATTAACGTTACGTTCGCACCGCTGATCACACACTGCGCCAGCTGCATGCTATCCGTGCATGACTCCAAGCCATCTCCCACTTTGAGCTTCCCGCCGCTGACGAGGTTAACGAACTAGTATGCATGCATGAGCTTGGGACGCTAACATTGCATGCTTTCGGCTGACCGTCGTTTTTCCTGTTCCTGTTGGTCCGATGACCCTATGCATGCGGTTATCCTAGTTGTTTTGGATCTAGACGCATAATGAGACGTACGCAATCAATTTTGCATCAATCTTTCTGTTGCTATACATGGCGAGCTGGCGGGTCGGATGTTGAGCAGGCTCGTGAGTGCAAGAGTGGATGATAGGTTATATGGTTGGAAACAGGCCCCTTGTGTCCTTCAGCCTCATGACTGGGCATGCAGTAGCGGCATCTGCCGTGCAAGAAGCTGCTCGCACTTTCCATTGAGATGCGCGAGTGTGCCTGCAGGATGGCTCGTGCTGAGGTCATCGGTGCCCGGGGGAAGTCAGCCAGTCTGGTAGATAGAATTAGTGCATGCTGCCTATCGAATATTCCAAATGAATCCAACTCACTACGTTACCGACCGCGATTCATGTTGAGCGCGCAATCATTGCTCAGTGAGTCTGCACGTCTCAACCATCCTAAACAGATGCGCACAGGCTGCATAGAGTCAGCTTCGCTCACCGTAGTCAAAGCCGTTGTCTACTTATTCATTTAACACACGGGACTATATATGTGCTCACGGATCTTGACCTAGCTCAGGTCAAGATTAGCCTACACGAGGAACAGGCGTGGTAGCTGGAAGAAGATGGTTAGTGATATTAAGCCGCATGGTAACGTCCCGCAAGATGAACTCCACCTAGTCCTTCGCCCGCATCGAAGCGATGTCAAATGGAAGTGCGATTCCATTTGGGGATCAGCCTTCCCATGCAGATGCACCGAAACCCTTCCACGTCTCTTATCTGGATTCTGTGCCATAGAACCTCGTCACGCAAACGCAGGAGGGCATACATGCACCCCACATGTCCACGAGAGATTCGATTTAAACGCACCGAGTCACTCCTCATCATGTGCGATGGGCGATTTGAAGTAATAGGAGGGATGAGTGACGCCAGTGATATAAGCTATAGGGTAAGGAAGCCGGCGTCGATATCGGTACGAGATGCTGCCCAGCGCCAGTGCTTTCTACTGAACTGTACCGTGTCGCAGTTCATCAACCCTGACTAGTGGGTCCGGATTGTGCGTTGGGTATGGCTTGAAATTCACCACATTTCAATTATAGATACATTCAGACTCAGAAACTAGGACGTCACCCTATTCAAAATGACGACCACTGGAAATATACTCTTTTGCCGATCGCTGAATATTTGTTGACATTGTGAGTAATCGGGATGATTATTTGGGCTTTACGCTGCTTACGGCCACATTGCCTATACATTACAGCCAATTTGTACCAATCCGGAAGAGGCGGACCTCGATTCGCGAATGAAGGAACGGCTGGAAGAGTGTAGCGCCAGCTCGGCCTCGTTCAGCATGCATGATGAAGATGTTGTCAGACACCTGCTTATTTGATCCAGAGAAGAACATCGCTCAGATCGGAAGGAAAGATGGCAAGAGTCTTCGGGCGCACCGCTTCCGTGTATCGTCTCCGAATCACCAATCCTCGTTGGTTCAGGCAATGGAGGGAGCTGTCCTGGGGTTAGAATGGTCGACGGTAAGGGATGCTTGTGTACAGCCAGCTGGGACGGTGAGAGATTATGCTGGGTGTTAGGTTGGTCGCACCCATCACAGACACAGAAAAGAGACTTTTCGGTTATATAGTTGTCGAATATTTTTCTGATGGCTCCGATGCTTATCCGAAAATCTCTCGTCTTGAATATCTGCTGTCTGTATGAACTGTCGAGATGAGGTGGATGGCACATTGCACATCCATAACAAAGAAACGATCGTTTTTGTCGCAGGAAAAGCTTTGCAGCTGAACTGAGAGTTTCAAGCCTGAAAGACACGTTTCGCGCCTTTCCTCCTCGTTGACTGGCTCCATGGCCTTTGTAGCTCGAGAAATGATAGCATTTGGCAGTCGAATAAAGATATTTCGTTTCTCATACCTTTCCTGTGTGACAGGAAAATGGGACTTTCTTTGCAGTGATCATGATAGTAGAAGCTTTCGAAGCGATCAATGATCGATCAAAGTAGTGATTATGTAATTGCTCTAACGATTGGCGCCCTCGCGCCTGCACAGGTGAAATACAGGGCCACTTACAGCCTTCACATCGAAAGTATTTTCTCGATCGTGATGGATGTCTTTGGTACACGTGCTCAGGTTGCAAGGCCGTGCCGTAGTGCAGAGTGCGGGGCCATGCTACATGATAGTTCGCCAAGGTCGTGCACGCTCGGCTGGCTTCTGAGCCCAGTAATCGATGGCTGGTAGCTCCAAACTTGATGGTAACATGTTCGGTGATTTGGCTGCATCATATCCTCAGCCGCGACATTTCTGAACCTCCTTCCCTAGTTTACCGGTACTGGCCCCGCAATGCCAACGTTTCACGTCAATGGGTAGATCCCTTGACATTGGCGAATGTCCGGATATTCGGTGAAAAGGCAGTGCTTCACTCGACAATCCTTTGTGCACGTGTATTGAATGAACAATGTTCGCTCCCATGTATCTGATTCGTTGTCCTTCCTGAATGACTCTCGATTGGTATTGTTATATCTCCTGACGAGTTTGAACGTAGTACCGCATAGCCATGAGATCGACGAAATACAAAGTCTGGCACAGGATCAATGCAAGCCCTGCGCTTGAGGTCGCTTCTGCTACCGTGAAATTTGCAGTCCTCTCGGCGAAATAATCCGGTTTGAGCTCACACATCGCCTTAACCGGCGAAGCATTCGCAGGTCATTTTCATTCAGGCTACAGTGTTGCCAACCCTGCTGTAGCGCAAATTTTCGAGTGGATGGTGGCGCGAATACTTGTTGAAAAGGCCCTACTAGATCAGAACGAAGGTCGCTTGTGTTGGCGGAATGCAGCACGGTGAAGCTGCCCGTGAAAATCACCGTAGAGACGACTATTTACAATCCTATCCGAAAAATTCAGGTTGTCGCTATCCATAACCAGCCGTGCTCCCCATCAAAGTAAATATAGAATGTTGCTGTCTGATGCAGCCACCACGGAATCGGAATAATGTCATGTGCATAGGGATATTGTCCAAAACATTTAGCTACACTGATCAGTACAAAGGAGAACAAGGCACGAAGACTCAACATAATAAGTGTCCGTTAAGTGACATATGTCAGCCGCAGCCATGGTTCCCACCTGGGGACCCTATTCGATCAACGGAGCAATAAGGATGATGCGAAGCATAAAGCTGTAGTCGTGCAAGTCGAGTAGTATCGCATGAGTGCAAACATTGGGAAGTAATCATATCACATAATGGAGCAGCATGGGCACCGCGTCTTCGACTTCGGGCTTTGTGCGGGATAATCCATACACGGAGGCTGTTTACCTTTTCCTCCTGGAACTTCTACGGTGAACGTCCTGCTGTCTGCTTCTGGCAGGCCATCTTGAGACTCGAAGACAGTCTGACGTTCTTCGTTTTTCACACTCGTGCTTTGGAGCTTGGAGGGACGCGAAGCGGTAACATGAGCGCGTGTGAAGTCAGGATGGATGTACTGTCCTCCTGTGACAGGCGCAACGCCAGTTTCGACCGCGCCGCTGTTTCGTCGTCTATGCTGATGCTGGTCATCGGAAGACTTAGTTGCGCCTATAGCAGAGTGTACAGCAACTCGGAAAGAAGCGTGGTGGGTAGCATTCACAATTCCAGGGATTCTGCTGGATGGTGATGGCTGAGAGTCGTTCGGGTCTGTCCATGGGATAGAGGGCGTAGAAGTGGAAGGTGGATCGGCTTGGGAGGTAGTCGGCGAAGGGAGATGCTCTACGGCGAGAGGTACGGCATCTGCATTCGGCAAAGGGTACGTGCGACTTCGACCATGTAAGACGCCGAGAAGTCGTGTCGCGCGACTAATCAGGTCCTTCAGCTTCCATGAAATGTCCTCGGCTACAGCGGGATCGAGCAGCCTGGATTTCTCGATCCGAACTTTCTCGATCTCCTTCTGCAAAGCATCCCAACTTTTCTGCAATTCCTGAGCTCCGTTCCGCTCTGACTCCGCAAGTTCTGTCTGCGCCTTAACCATTTGAGCTTGGAGCGTCTGCATGCTTTTGATCGCCTGCTCTTCGAGCCGGTCTAGCTCACTTTGCATATAAAGGCCCGCCTTTGTCTCGGAGACTCTCTTGTGCTGATCGGACATCTCCTCCTGCACCTGGAGCACCTGCGATTCGCGTCCGAGTAGATCCTGCACGATCTGCATGGCCTCCTCCTGGGTACCCCCGTAGCGGCGTAAATGAGCACCAAGTTTCAGCGCTTCCTTGAAGTAATTGTCTCTGAGCTCGCCTTCCCTGCGCATGCCCGTTGCTTCATTTATCTTGTCCCACATCGTTGTGACGATCACAGCATTCTTCATCGCATCATCTCCACAAATCTTCCGGAATAGTCTGAAGTTCGCTATAGCGGAACCGGTCATGCGATTATCCGATATTCTGTGCATGTAGATCATTCCTGTTGGCTTTGTGCCGTTCTCATACCTGGAAAGGTGGTATGAGAGCTAATCTCCTGTGACGCAGGTTAGAACTTACATTTTCTGGAGGAAGGTGGCGATCTGATGTAGCACATCCGCCTGCGGCCTTTCTGTGTCGTCAAAGCCGGGCGTATCAAGAATAACGACCTTCTGGTCCGATAACTGGAACTCCGCCATATCTATTGTCTCGGTGCAGGATTGCATCTCGTTGCCGACTGTGAAATTAGACCCGCTAACGAGATTGACGAACTGAATGACATAAAACTCGGTACAACAAGCAGTCAGGCACAGGACATAGCAACTCACCGACGTCTTCCCGCATCCTGTGGTTCCCATGACCCTAACCAATGAAAGATATCGTTACAGAAGTCCTAAACGGGAAGAACTGCGTGGAGACGCACAATATGAGCTTTGGGGCCACTGATTGCATGGGGGGATTCGCGTATGTTTGGCTAGGCATGAGGGCCTGGGGGATGTTGAAGATGTTGTGCGATGCTGGCGGGAGCGAAGCAGCTGAAGGCTCACATTTATACACAGAATTTGCGGAGAGTGCACAGGAAAACATCCCATGTTGAGGCAGTAGTCTGGCCGGCGCCGATGATTTCCGAGATTCTCGTGTTCATGGTCCACAATCGCCACGATCAATTACATTCTCGTGTTGATGGACCACAATTGCTATGATTGATGAGATTATATCAACAGTGATTCTTGACATTTCCGACGGTTTCGCATAGCCCATCGGGGGGTAGCCTTCTACCGGTCGGAAAGGTGGCGCAGTGAGCGTCTAACGAAAGGCATCGCAATGCTGTGCAACGCATAATCCACTTCAATCTCACCAATCAATGGAAGGCTCCACTCGGGAATCGCAATCTTCCGTGAGCGAACTAGTGCCGTTGTCGCCGCGCATTATGCATGCGGACCGGACGCTGAAGTTACACACACAACAAGAAAATGACGATTCTGGCAGCGAGAGGCGACACATTTCCAGCTAGTGCGAGGGCATATCTCCACACATTCAGCGCGAAGGTCGGATCTAGTGGGCATCTCTATACATTCAGCGCGTGGTGTCAGAACGTGCATGCGAAAAGCCATCAAAGATGCGTATCAACATGCCGTCACTGAGACATTCATACTTTCTTCGAGAGATTAGGATAAGTCGCGCGGGCCTGCTACCCTAAGACCGAGGCAGAACCTGTCCGCGGCCGAGCTGTGCAAATCGGCTTCATATTTTACAAAGGGCAGTGTGGAGGTACTGACGCTCTATTCAAATGCCAAGGCAACACTGCCGTTGTGGAATGTTAGAACCACTCGGGACCACCTGCATCATATGATTTGACCACCTGTCAAGGTAATTGAGCGCCAAGTGAACAGCCATAGGACAAGACGCGCAGGAGAAATAATCGCAAGCAGGCTACTGAGACGAATGATACGCCCAATGGATCTACAGAATATGGCGGTTGATTAGGCTGACGAGAGGCCTGAGCTGCGCATTGGTATTGGATCGGAGTCCGATGCTTGTTAAGTGGTACCACAGAGGCGACTCGGCTCCGCGAAGTACGATGGCGTGTTTGCAGCCTTGTGGACACGCCCTCTTTCGACGAGACTAGAATGAGCTATGCGGCGACCGTCATAACGATGATTACGAGACCCGTCTACTTTGCAAGTAGCCCGTCCAACTGGCTGACTAAATCCGGCTCTGCCATGTCTCATCGTTCGCACTCGGTAGGAGAGATCCATGGCATGAGCTACGTGCACCACGACCGAGACAAGAACCACCTTAGGGAACTTCAGCATGTGCGAGATGCAGCCGATAGATCGCGGAGAAAACGTGTATAACATATGTGCAGAGATCCTCCAGGAAGTTTGGGTGAAAGGGAACGTGAGCTGGCGAAGGGGGATGTTCCCTTAATCTACTTACTGATTAAAGGCCGCATGTCTTCCGACCTAACAACATCCAGAAAGATCCAGCCCAGGGAAGCTTGAAAAACATATCAAAGGCATCCGACACGCATGAGATTAAACCGGGCAGCACGTACATTATGTAGCGCGGTGACCGATTAGGATGTTCTTCCGGCGGGCCCGGGCAAGCAGACTCGATGAGCCGAAGGAAGAACAGTACCAGCAGGATCGAGAGAATTTAATGAGATGGAGAGCCATAGAATGAGCAGACATCATTGGTCTCGAAGATGAACAAGGTGAACGGAAACGCAGAGAGAGAGAGAGAGTCCATGCTAGAAGAAAAGAAAATTATCGATGGCCGTTCCGTTGGTTCCAAATAACAGAATGTTATTTGGCTATACCATGAGTGCAGACTTTACCGCTTACATAAGATAGGAGGTTGTCCGATCACCCTTTCTGGGTTAGGATGTCGTCCGATCGCTGGCGCCACGTCTGCGCCTGCGTTGCTTTCGCCCTAACTTGCCCGCCCATCTTGCCGTAGACGACATTCGGACGGTCACTGATGCCCAGGTTATAAGTTCTACTTGTCCCACCCGTTGTCGATGCCATCGCCGTTTATACCGCTACCGTTCACGCCTTACATCGATTCAATGCCATACTACTGCTACATCACGCGGGCAACGTTGGATGGCGGAACGTTGGTCAACCTGGTGCGAATCATCCCCACTCCACTGATTCGACCTGAACGTGGGCGGGCCTCCCTCATACGTATTCGCGCAGTTCAATCCGCATTGGTGTCGTGCTGATTACTGTCTGTGGCGACTGCTGCGTGCCCTACAGGCCATTCAGCGCAGGCGTGCACTCGGTCTGCCGGGTCCCCGGGGCATTGTATGTCAAAAGCGACGCTGCCCTCGGCATGTCACCCGAGTGCGGCTTCGCGGAGGACAGAGCATGCCGTGAGCATCATCGATGATGGCGACGAGGTGTCCACGATGCTAACCGGCAAGCCGCGGCAGGAGGAAAAACCCTGGCCACCGAACCGCTGATCGGTCGCCCCTCTGAAGCATTCGCTTCCATTGCACAACACGGTGTGAGTAACCGTGCTAGAAGGCGTCGAAACACAGTCGCGCGGTGGCAAACGGAGGCGGAGCGGGAGCGAGCGTCTGCAGGGAGAGCCTTTCCATGCGCTCGTACAAGTCGCCGCTCCGCTGACGTGCCGCAATGGAGCTGCCGGAGGCAGAGCCACTTGCATCGCTACAACGATGCTTGAAGCCGCACGGACGTATGCGTCTGAAACGAGACCAGCTAGTTGCGCTTCATCAATCAGGTGAGCCGCGTTTGGCGCGCATAGACGTCGATGGATGAGGCCTGAGGCCTGAGGCCTTGAGGGGGCGGGGCTTTGCTGGACGCGATGTGGAGGTATTCTGTCAACGATGGCTGCTGTAGGGAGCCGCTTATGCCATACGTACCGTTCACGCGTAACGTTAGCAGGCTCCTTACCATACCTACGCGTCCACGTACCACGCTAGACTTTCTTTTCCGTCATTCAATGCATTGCTCGTATATACAGCCCTTTTGTAATCTGTTCCTCCCCTATGCCATCTTCCTGCACATGCCTGTTATTTGGAACCGGCGCTCGTCGCCAACTTACCCAAGTGGCTGAGCGCCATGCTTTGAGGCGCGCGTCGAACTGGCATGTGACTAATTCTGATACAAGCACCGCCATTTCCTGCCAGCTTCGTTCTCATCAATCTCATCTTCCGGTCAAACCATTCGCTACTGAAATCGCTTGCCTCTTCACATGCTTATAATGCTCCAATATTGCTGTCGTGTCCGGCATCGCTCAGCCTGTGTTGACGTTATACTTGCTGTGGCACATTCGAACAAGTTCATGATGTATGCATATCGTCCTCCGAGGCGCGGGCTTTCGAAACTGCAGCTCTATGTTGTCTTCATCTACCCTATCGCACATTGGTTGTGTGGCTTCTTTCGTGAAAACCCTTTCCCTTGCCCCATCTTTCATCATGCCAAATCATCGACAATTACAACTCAGTGACCTGCCGTGATAGAGGTTGGAGATGCGATGATTCTGTTGTTGATGATCGATTGATCTCATGTAGTGCTCATCTATCTCACTGAGTCCTAGTTTCTGGCTGCAAGGAGGACTCGTAGCAATCTACTCATCTCCTAATCCATGTGCACGTCTTCTGTCGTTCCTCTAGGGTAGCTGGAAGCTGCGGAAAGGTTTTCATGCGTCATTTTGTGTTCAATTGTGAGCTGATTCTCTCACCTTTGTGCCGTTGGTTCGTCATTGCTGACATTGGCGGAACTTCTGCCTTAACCCTCCAGCGTCACGTCGGCTTCAGCATGACCAAGTAGTTGCGGCCGTTGCTTCACATAACTCGTGGACCTGCTTAGCCGTCCATCGACAATCAAAAGGAACACGGATTGACCGGACAACGATGCGATTGAGGTTTGAGATCATCCGATTAATCGAGATGATATGAGACCTTGCAGCTTCCTGTCTCAACTGGCCACATGCTAGTAAGTACAACGAATATTGCCTATCGCTTGCTCGCTCAGTGCTGCAACGCAGCCTTGATGTTGGACGTGATCTGAATTTCTTACCATCAGTCCTTGCGATTAGTATTCGAAGTATTGTGAGCCGACTGACATATTGAGTAACTACAGATTGATAAATGCTTGTAATGACTTCATCTGCAAGAACAACAACTACCATGGATGATTTTCATATCTCATCTGCAGAATGCAGTAAATGTCAAGTGAAGTGGCTGATATCGCAGTGCCCAATCTTGCGGCGGGGCGCTTACATATTTTGCAATCTAAGGGCAGTCGTATATAGGCTGTGTGCGAAGTACTCGTCATCATATGTAACTCACGATGATGTACTAGCTAATTCTACGGTAAGATTTCTATAACACGAGGCAGCTATTCGACCTTCAATAATGATACGCATTGCACAGATATAGGACTACAAGTTGCCGCCCGTATGTCAGCATATTCGTCGATTACTTATGAGCAGCCCTTAGATGGTTACTTGAACGACCAGGTCTGCGTAATAGTCGTCTACAGCCCGACATGATTGCGGTCAGACGATGTCGCTGAACTGTCGCGCCAGTGGTCCCGTCGTCAGCTTGAATCTGCTGCCGTTCCTGTTCGAGCTTCATTTTAAGCTCTTGTAGCTTGTCGTACGCTCCTTTGAGCTCTCTCTGATCTTCGCTGTCCTTCCGCTTGATAGCCTCGTCGATCTCCCCCATCATCTCCTGTAATCGCTGCTCATTCTCGCGCTTCTTCTTCTCCAGGGTTCCCAACAAGGCCATCCCGGCAGCGGTATCACGCAGAGCTTTGTGCTGCTCTAACAACTCTCTCTGGATTGCAAGTGGTGCCGGAGACCTGCTGCTGAGATACGACAGTATTGCATCTGTGGAGGAACGTGTGTTATCGTTCCGGAAGAGCTGAGCACCAGCATCGATAGCGGGTCTGAAGAAATTGGTGCGCAGTTCCTGCTCTCTCGCTATCGCAACGTCTTCCTCGACTTCGTTCCACATGTTCAGCACAATGGCGGCATTGGACAGTGCTTCTTTGCCGCACAACTCTGTAAACATCTTGAAGTTGCGCAATGCTATGCCTCCCATCCTGTTATCGGAGATGCGATGGAGATAGGCCACCCCGGTCAATACCTCTCCTCTCTTAAAGCTGCAGGGTCACAATCGATGAGCGTCACGTCTTGAACATATACATATCGTACTTACGAGGACGAGAGATGCTGGGCGACCGTTGTAAGAATCTCCGCATCGCTCCTCTTGGTGTCGTCAAATCCGGGTGTATCAATCAGAGTGACTCTGTAGCGATCCTGGAACGTAAACGATTGGGAAGCCTCTACGGCTGCCGTGGTAGACTCTAACCCCTTAGAAACTCGCAGTTGTGATCCGCTGACGAGGTTGATGAACTAGGGCGTGAAGAACTGCTCAGGCGGTGTCTTAACACTTCGTCAATGCTCAACGTACGGATGTTTTCCCCACTCCAGTAGGGCCCATGACCCTTCAAATTGCAGTCAGCTATCGCTGCTCTAACGCATTGAATTGGTTTACTCACAATATGATGATAGGTTGGAGCTTGTCTGTATTCCGCTGTTTGGCGAAGTGGAACATCACGTTGTCTCGTCCGGTGGTCAGTGAGTTCTTCCTGGAGGTTCGCCAGACTTTTGTAAGCCAAAACATGCGTATCACGCACACAGGAGGCAGTCCGCTCATTTATCTACGTGTCAATCTTGTTCATATCTCCTAGATTCATCGCCCAGCGCAATGCTAGGCTCATGACCTATGGACTCTAGACTGCGAGATCACGATGATGCAGCGAAAGTTCCCGAGATGTTTCAAAGGTGATCATTATGGCAATTCCAACATCTGCGGTCAGACTTTGACACGTCAAAATAGCTATCTACGCGCTGTCAGCGAAGATCGGAGGTTGAGAATTGATATCCGTGATGCGATAATAGCCGGATCTGCGAGCGACGGTTGTGCTGATCATGCTGATTACATGCCACTCTAGCATAACAAAAGACATCAGATCGGACGCCGACGATTCGGAATGCTGTCATGCCCATGCAGAGAAGAGAACATGGCATTTTGAGCCTGATGAAGCGCAATTCATATTGTTAGTGAGGCAAGCGTCGTCGTCGCCAGATGCTGCCTGAGACGAGAATTGATGCGTAAACGGGCTATTTCCATATACTGATACTCTCTCGCAGCCTGACAGAAACAAGTGGTGAAATACAACCTGCACGACCTTCAGAGCTGTGCGTATTAATGCGTGCTATCGGCTCCGACCTGATACCGTTCATTTTCGCGGCATTTAATGCATCATTCCTGTCCTGCGACCGCCACCTGTCAGCGGAGGTGCACCGCCTTTACGGTAAACCATGCGCCGGATAGTACCCACTAGCATCGCCACACCGCCCCGTTCTAATTTCCGTCATCATTCGCAACTGTGCAAGGGCTGGAGCCTGGACAGCCCTTCCGGACATTGTATTGTGCGGTACTCCATGCTGAGGGCACGCCTACAGATCAATAGTGCGTCTGAAAATAATAAGATTATTTCTTACTGCAAGGCGATGACACCCGATGCTGCTTTGCGTTCTATGTACATGTGTTTGCGGATTTCAGCACCGCAGTCTCGCGTACTTTGGGCATCGGCGCGTGATCGATTCGAACATGCAGTGGCAGTGTAATGGCGATGAGATGAGTCTGGTCCTACAGCTGCTGCAGCGTATCCTGGCTACACATCATTCTTCAACGTTTCTCGTGCGCTATACAAAATCTCATTAAATGGCAGGAGGCAATCGCTATGTCAATTTCAGTCATGCGCTAGGACTTTAGTATATGCGGCCAGGCATCCGGAACTGACAGAACTTTGTGCTGACATGCGACTCGACATCGCTCACGCTCGACGGCCAAAGATAGTCGATGGTGAAATGGATTTCGTGCGTGCGCCGGACATGAGAGGTGCTGAAAGGTTTGGAAATGTTTCATAGACATATTCTCGATGCATAGAGTGTGCTGTCTACCGAGACATTTGTCAGTGCTCCTTGTCAGAACTGAAAGGGAGATCGTACCTTCGCAACCTGGAATCAAACAATGAAACCACTGTCATCGAGACACCCTGCCCCGTTTCTGTACCTCTTGATGACGGACTTGGTACGCCAAAAGATAAATCCAAACGCTTTTCTCTCCTTGACAGCGAAGTATGTGGCTTGCCCCCGTGATTCGTCCTCTCGTAACTTCTGCAGCTCGTTCTGCATTCCGTCCACCCTTGCCTTCAGCATCCTGCATTCTCCCCGCATTTCCTCCATATCCTCCTCGTGTTGCATCCTCTCTCGTGTTACTGCTACATCCATCTCTTTCCGCAAATCGTCTAGCTTCGTTTTGTACCGAAGGATTTTCTGCTCTAGTTCAGATCGTAACTCGATAGCAGCTTCGGTCTGTGGGAGAGGTATACGTTCATCGACCAGCTCGCATTGCATCCGGAGAGCCTCTGGTGATATGCCGATAAGTGAAAGTATGACTGTCATCGCCGAGTCCGCATTGTTGAAGTGGCGCATCATACATGCCCCATTGTCGACGGCGTCTTTGAAGAACAACGGCTTGCTGCGGAGCTCTTGCTCTCTGGTCATGCCAACTTCTGAAGAAACATCCTCCCACATGGTTGTAACAATGGCGACGTTCTTCATAGCTCCTTTTCCGCAAATCTTTGTGAAAAGCCGGAAATTCTCTCTGGCAATACCACCCATGCGAACATCGGATATGCGATGCATATAAATGATTCCTGATAGCTTGACTCCCTGTTGGTACCTATTGCATACCCGAATCATTAGCCAGCATAACGAGAATGGCTGTGTAACTATCGCGCACGTTTGCTCGAGGAAATCGGCGATGTCTTTTAACACGTCTGCTTGCGACTTGTGCGTGTCGTCAAAGCCCGGCGTGTCGATCAATACTATGTTCTCGCCAGCGATCGAACATGGCGCGCCCTGCACTGTTTGAGTGCACGACTGCAGGCCTTCTCCTACTTTAAACGAAGCTCCGGATGCCAGGTTGATGAACTACACAAGGCATAGTACATATGAGACGTGAGCGTGGTTATAGTGTGCCTTGCTAGGACTGACTGATGTTTTCCCGGTCCCTGTAGGTCCAGTGACTCTGAAAATCCGAAAATCAGGGACATCCATGTTGAACTCGATGTTGCGGCATACGCAATGAGTTTTTGTTTTCTGTTCATTATGGTAGCGCTGAAGTGCGAACTTGGGGGACGTTTGACAAGCGGTCGAAGGTTTTGAGGACATAGAGTTTCAAGGTTCATTTACATGATGCCTCGCGGCCTATACATGTGAAAGTTCCGCAGTTTATCGATGTACCCCAAGCGTTACGGCACTACTCGGGAAGACCGCACGTTCAGAAAGTTGATGTCCGCAACAGGTAGCATTCTAGAAGTTGGCTAGCTTCGTTCTATTGCTGCCTGTGGAATGATGCAGTAACATGCGCTGACAATGAGGTCGACAGATAGCGACTCCACCGATTGCGCGACGATTGGCCGCCTGAAGCTTTCCCACTGGAGGCATCTTCAGGGGAGGCATCAGCATCCGACAACGCTTGCAATTGCGGAGTTTCTTTCGGCTTGAACGTCGACACTGCAGAGTGAACGAAGTATGTGATAATATCAGAAAGGGCATTTCCGCGGAGAATATCGAGACTAACGCACAAAGGTACACTGGGAAGTCCTCCAGCCAGAGTGATACGCGTATTAGCACTGGTAGTCATCCTAGTAAATCATAAAAAATTCCGCAACAGCTCATTCTGCTATGATGATATACATTGTTACCCCTTATCGACAGCAATCTAAGCAACAGGTCGATACATAGAACTTTTACACATCGGTGATCGAGACGGTATTCTTCAACACAGTTACGGCGATTTGCCACTTGCGAGCTGTTCACGGTCGACTATCTGCCTCGGCATGGCAACTTCGCTATGGTGGAAGAAATGAACAGAGTGATGATAAACGACAGGAAATAAGAAGACCTACATTCAAGATCATTGAATGCAACAACATAGAATCGCCCTTCTTTTCATCATTCGGTGAGTCGATCCAACATGAAAAGCGCCAGGAAATGAGGGAGTGTCGAAAAGACCAGTGGGCGCTGACTGCGACTCCGATGCGGATAGAGAAGGGAGAGCCAGCTGCGAGGACAGTGGTGATGTTGAAAAGGGAACGGGCCGAATAACAGCAGGTCGTCCTCCCGTGGGATTATCAAAGGTCTGAATATGTCGTGAATCCTCATCTATTCTCCGTCTGATGCCGTCTAGTCTACGATGTGCTTGCTCGAGCTCTTCCCGATCATCCTCGTCCTGCCTCGCAAGGGCATCATTGATCTCCTCTTGCATGTGTCGTAGTTGCTCCTCGTTCTTGCGCTGTTTCTCTGCGAGATCGCCCAGTAGAGCCATCCCAGCAGCCGTGTCGCGAAGCGGTTTTCTCTGCTTCACTAATTCTATCTGAATCGCAAGCGCGATAGGCCTTCTTGAAGACATATGGCGTATTATCTCCTCTGCAGAGGAAGAGCCGTTGTCATGGTGGAAAACACTGGCTCCTGCGTCGATGGCTGGTTTGAAGAAGATGTCTTTGGAGACCAGCTCTTCCTCCCTTCTGAGCGCGACTTCAGGATCGACTTCGTTCCACATATTCAGCACAATCGCTGCATTTGGTAGAGCCATGCGTCCACATAGAGCCACGAACATCCTGAAGTTACGTAGAGCGATTCCTCCCATCCTGTTATCGGAGATGCGATGGAGATAAATGACTCCAACGAGCCTTGTGTTCTTCAGAAACCTAACGTTTTGAGCTACGTGTCAGCCCATAATCGTTGGATGGCAGCGTCCTCTTACTCATATGACAAATAAGCGGCAATTATGGTGAGGATCTCTGCGTCGCTTCTCATCGTATCGTCAAATCCTGGTGTGTCCACAAGGGCGATGTCGTGACCATCCAATTTGAATGGTTTCGAGAGCTCCATGCGGGTTGTAGTGGACTCCAGGCCTTTGCCTACTCGTAGTTTCGAACCACTCGCCAAGTTGATGAACTATGTGATCAATGGGTAAGTATGGCGTTTGGAATAAGGCAGCCATCTTACAGTCGTCTTGCCAGCTCCGGTCGGGCCCATTACTCTATGTTGCCATAATAGTCAGCCACCGCCGACTGCTACGTCTTCCGATATTTACTCACAGGATTACCGTCGACTTGCGCTTTCCGACTTTGGTTTTCATTGTCGAATTGGGCATCTTGTCCCGTGGTGCTATGTGCGCGTTGGGACGTGGAACCTTTGTACGGGGATGGTCAAACGTAAAGGACACGCGAGTGCCGCTAGCGCCCATACGGTAGAACTCCCTTCGTTTGCCCCTGCTGCCGATGAACTAGAGTATGATACTCAGTTTAACGCCACGAGACTATTCGAAAGCATGAAACTCTTCAACACCACGCCTGTAACTCATGGCGTTGAATTGACATCATCCGGCTCAAAATCTGGCCAGCGACGCCTTTGACGAAGCCTTTGAGGCATATGAATTTACGCTGACCGCAACAAAAAGTACCTCCTGTACTCCTATTCGTCCGAGGGACCTGTCTACCTTCAATGATCATGTAAAGTCGCTCTGCAACCTGCATTATTGAACTCACAATAGGCCATTTGTACGTAATGATACCGGACCTGCGTCACAGAAGCTGCAGCACGCGGCGCGCAGTGCCCTTCTTTGGGCGATATGAAAGCCTCGCAACTTCATGACGGCACTTGCAACAGACTTGTGTTCGTCTCCTGCCTGCATTATATGGCTTGCCTTTCGCCGAGATTGCATTCAATCCGGTCAGCAGACTGACACGGCTGAGCATGATCCGCGTGTAAGTCACCCAGATTGTTGCAGGCCGAAGGGCTTCTAGTGGTTGCTGGGCGGCAGCTTGCCTCGAGAAGCAGTAAATTTTTTTGGATGTGAGATAACGTTCGTGAAGGAGCGAGTGCGGCTTTCAGAGCTTTCATCGCAGTTTCAAACACAACGTCTGGCAAACAAAGATGAGCGTCTCCCTTTGAATAGCAGGATAACCGTTTCGGGCAACGTATCAAAATACCGAAGCTCTGGGTCTGTTGAAGACAGCATGCACTCTCGAACGGCCCATGGCAAGCAGCAAGACCTAGCAGGACGCGTGGACAAATGTCAACGGGGTAGGGCACTGGTGGCACAAGCCGCGTCGATTTCATAGATCAAGAAGTTTAAATCGAATGCATGGAACCCACAACCTGTTGCAAACTCCAACAATCGGTTTAAACGTCTCGAAGCATAGTAAATGGTTGGATCTACTCCTTTATACACGTTAATGCAACAGAGATTAGCAATGCTTCATCCGTCCGCGTTGGACGGCTCACCCTCCCGATCACTGCACCGAAAATGGGAAGAATGGTCATCGATTGTTTATAGCACACGCAAATGCCATGAGGCGTCACATTCAACTAGCAGACGGCGTCCGACCGAATCAGTCCACTCAAGCGGCTATGGCCAACTCCAAAAATCCCTCTTCTCAGTCGAAATTGATCGCGTACGTGCTCACAGGGCACTAATTACCGAGTTGATGTCAATCAATCATTCATGTAGAATCACCGGTCCTACCGGGGTTGGGAAGACAACGGTCAGTGAAGTACCAGAGCCAAGAATGGTATCAATTTGGTCGCTGACTGACCTGCTCCCCGCCAGTTCATCAACCTCGTAACCGGTTCATCTCTGAAAGTAGGCACAAGCTTGCAGTCGTGCACGGACAAGATACAAGTGGCACGATGCATCATGGGCGGCGAGCTCATCACGCTGATCGATACGCCTGGATTCGACGATACGTTCAAATCGCAAGCTGACGTATTGAAAGATATCGCCGACTTTCTCGAGCAAACGTAACTCATGATGATTGACATAACGTCTTCTCTTCATGCTAACCGGTTCGTTTCATCTAGGTATGAGAAAGGGCGGAAACTGACCGGAGTCATATATATGCATCGTATATCCGACTTCCGCGTGGGCGGCATTGCCAGAGAAAACTTTCGGCTCTTTACCAAGATATGTGGTGACGACGCCATGAAGAACGTAATCATCGTCACGACGATGTGGGAAGATGTACCTGAAGACGTCGGCGAGAGAAGGGAACGAGAGCTTTCTAGTAAACCCATCTTTTTCAAAGATGCCATCGATAACGGAGCACGAATGATGCGACTTCGACACGATCACATCTCAGCCGAAAATGCCATTATTCCCTTCCTTCGCCGAGCTCCAGAAGCGCTGCTGATGCAGCGCGAACTTGTTGACCAGCGAAAGCAGCTCCCCAACACAGCAGCCGGCATCGAGCTGCGGTCGGAGCTTGAGGAGCAGAAGAAGCGGCATCGCAAAGAGATGCAGGAGCTGCGACGAGACAGGGATGACGCGATGGCGAAGAAAGATGCTGTTCATCGGGAAGAGATGCGCACGATACAAGACGAGTATGAGAAGTTGCAGAACCAGCTACGCACTGTTCAAGAAGAACTGCGCAGACTCAAATCCAAGGATCGAACGCAGAAGCCCAAGGGGAAGTATTCGTTGACGAGGGCAGGCGGCATGATACCATCGAATGATGGCTCTACGAAAGTGATATACGTCACCAGGTACAGACGCGGGTCTGGATGTCTCAGTGGTGATGGTTTTGAATTGTAACAGGAAGGTAAGCGACATTTTCATGAGCAGAATTTGTAGCTGAAGCGTGCCGGATAGGACAGTCTGATGTGTCGTCTGTGTGGATGTTCCATTCTGCGTATCACTTGCATCGTTGTGATGTAGACTGATCGGACTCAACCTCGACTATGAACTGATGCACTCGTCACCGTTTGAAGGATCGTGCACGTTTCGTGCAATGCCTGCATAGCTTCCATGTGCGCGGTACTTCAGCAGGGAATCGTTAAAAGGTGACTTGCGTATTATAGGGATGTCTGTGACTGAGGTGAAGGTTTTCGCGCGTCTGACTAGAGGCACATGTGCGTTGAAAACTTCACTATTTCTTGGTGATTTGTCGAGCTCACCGAAGGTAGTCATAGCTGCGGATGCGCAGACCATGGATTATCCGTGGATGGCATTCAGCCTTCGTGACACTCGTCCGAGCCATGCACTCCTGGTCGTTCAGATCTCAGAAGGCACTCACTTGCACACGGCGCATTGCGATCTCTTTCTGATGTGTGTGAAATGCCAAGGACGAGGAGGATATATACCCTGGCGGGTGCAGAAATAGCACGCCAAGGCAGACATTTGCCTCAATCCACAAGTTATGTCAATTCTACAGCCTGACCCTGCACACGTTATGCGATGCCAGTCTCAGCGGCCGTCATCCGGTCGAAGTGGTCGCAAGGCAACGTACTGATCTCGGTGATTATAGCTGGGAAATCGACTTCAGCGAGGTGTCAGTGAAACAGGACCGCCGAGTCTCGAGGTTGCAGGAGGAAGGGTGGACATGGTCAAAGAATGGCGCTCTGTCGTTGATCGCCGTTGATCGCCGTGCGCTGACGCTGGACTGTATACTTAGCACCGATTATGAATGACTGTCCTCTCCGTCCCGACGGGTCAACCTCGGGTGAGTGGCAACTGTCTACCCTGTGCATCACATGCTGATCACGCATGCTGATGCACTTGCGGCTCATGCACCTACTCAAAAGCTCCATAGATCGTCGTTCATCAACAGAATCATGCTTCCATTCCGAATTTTCAGCCAGCCATGCAAGAAATGTCTGTGCTACATCATCTGCATGCTACGAAGTAATAGCATATCGATTTGAGCTAAGTCCTGGGCCCGAGTTGATGCTAAATCCTCGCGACATGACGGTGCGTGCTGTGCATGGAAGCCATAGTCACTGGTTGCATTGTTCAAGCGTGGTGGCCAGGTACATGTGACGATCGTGCCCTCTATTGTGTAATATTAACCGATCGTAGGATATATAGAGAATGTGTGATCACTTATATCTACCATTATCGCCATGTCAAGCCGTAGCAAGCCTCAGAGTTCTACTCAGGACAGGAAGCTCGTTATGTATGCCTGCATGCGAAATCTTGGATGTCGCTGACTGATTATTACCCTTAACTGTCAGGGTTATGGGTCCCACCGGATCGGGGAAGACAACAGTGAGAGTTACTTGGGAATTAGGCATGACCGAGTTCGTATGAACTGACGGTTTTCAGTTTATTAACCTCGTTAGCGGATCGATGCTACGCGTCGGTTCAACCTTGGAGTCGTGTACTAAAGAGATACAACTGGCGAACTTGGATCTGGGTTGCCAGCCAGTAACCTTGATCGATACTCCTGGATTCGACGATACGGTAAGACCGCAAGCCGAAGTACTAAAGGAAATAGCGAAATTCCTCGAAATTACGTGAGTAGCCGATGCAGCATCGCAGGGTCTAGTCTGATCACAGAGGCTCCCAGATACAATCGAAAACTGACCGGGGTTATCTACATGCATCGTATCTCCGACAACCGCATGAGTGGTTCCGCGATTGAAAACGTTTCCTTGTTCCGCAAGATTTGTGGCGAGAGACCGATGAAGAATGCGGTTATTATGACCAACATGTGGTCAAAAGTGGACGAGAATACTGGCATCGATCGGGAGATCGAACTTAGAAGGAAGTACTTCAAGTCAGCACTTGAACGTGGGGCAACCATGATCCGAAACGATGACACTGTTAAATGCGCGAGAGCGATATTAGGCTTTTTGATGCTCAATCAACCAGAAGAACTACACCTTCAATATCAGCAGGTCATAGAGCATAAACCCGTACAAGAAACGGATGCAGGCTTGGAGTTCTTGAGAAGACTGCAGGAACTAATGGATGATGCATTGCGCAGAAGCCAGACGGAACGCGCTAAAGAAAATCCAGACAACGAGGAGATCACTAGGCTACAAGAAACAGTCGATATGCTTAGACGGGAAGAGTCAAATATTCAAAAGGAGATTGCAAGCGAGCTGTCGGCGAGGATCCAGGAGTTGAGTCAACAAGTTCTTGATTTTATCGATAATTCGGGGAGAGTCCATTCGGGACCATCAGATTCTAATTCTCAGCAGTCATCGGATGCCCATCTCCAGCAGCCCCCTCCGTCACCTCGCTCGTCGTTTCCTACCCCTCCTCGGTCCGGTTCTTCCACCAGCTCAGAAGCCGATCCTCCTTCAGCACAGCAATTGCACCCGGAACCCGTTCTCGACTCTCCTTCTGTACCTCATTCGGATCCTTCTTCAGAACCCGCTCTTTCGTCAACGCCATTTCCACCTCCTTCCTCAGATTCTCCACATCCTCCCCCTTCATCTTCGCTTCCGACGCCATCAGCAGATAACAATGATATTCCTCACCCTGACAGTCCAGTTTCTGTTCGATCATATCACTTTCTCATTCAACAACAGCCCGACTCTTCTTCCAAGCCTCATTCGGATCCTTCTTCAGAACCCGCTCTTTCGTCGAAGCCATTTCCAACTCCTTCCTCAAATTCTCCACATCCTTCCCCTTCATCTCCGCTTCCCACATCAGCAGCAGATAAAAGTCTTCCTCCTGTATCGTCGCCGCCGCCCCCTACTTCCGCGGCCGCTTCATCCAGCCCCCATTCATCACGATCAGATACTCCTGAAGGAACATCTGGCAATATGGGTAATGCAGGAGGATTCGTGGTGGATGGCGATGTGGGAGGATGCTCTACAACCGAACGAGTAGATTGTAAAGGGCCCGGGTCCAGAATGGGCGGCGGAGGCAAAGGGGGGAGAACAAGGAAGATTCCGTCAGGAACAATTGACAATGTCGACGTGGATTCTGGTGCAGCCTCATCAGCGCATTCGACCCCTCCTGCTGCGGGTAACTCGAATAAGAAAAAATGTTGGTGCCGCCGCTGGTGCTGCATTCAATGACCATGGTGAGTAATTCGAATGCATTGAAGCCGATTCCGCCTCATGCATACCCAGCAGCACGCAGTTGAATGGATTGATTTGTTACGTTCGATTTGACCCGATATTTTGTTTCGCGCCGTATGTGTGCGCTCGGTGTGGATTACAAACGTAATCGATGATAAACGCAGTTCAATTCGCAATGTCCAGTCCGATAGCGTCAAACTGCGTCGATGTATCATTAAACCGGATGTCCAGCCATGCGGATCCATGATCGTTCAATTGCTGACCACTGCGAGCAGTGCATGATGAGAAATCCTGTGACGACATCGCGAATTCATGATTGATCATCATCGTATCACAGATGAATGTACAAGGTACTGTCTTCGGTTCAGTCATTTATCTCCTGGAATATGGCAGCATTCATTCAAAGACAACCCTCCAGCGGATGTCTTTCACTTCCGAGTGAGAAGAGAAGCAATAAGAAGAGCATGTACATTTATGCATACGTCTCGAGAACAATTGATTGGCCATTTGTCAGACAAGGAGGCAAGTCCACATTCAACGCACCGAAATTGAACGCAGGCGGTGTGTCGAGCGGTGTCACTCATCGCTGCAACACGTATCCTACATTCGATCAAGTCACCCAGTGAATTGTATCGAAAGGTGATAACGTACGAACTCTTAGATCTTCCAGCCCGGAGGTATTTGCGGTTCGCCCACGTCCGATCTAAGCTTTACCGTTTCCTCCTGTTCTCCGTCCGAGCGTTCACCAAAACTTGCTCCATGTCTCTGCACGTCATCCCAATACCAGCGAGGAAGGAAGCCGATCCTATCTTCGCCTGCTTCGACTTCAAGTACGCCATCCTCATCGAGCAGCCAAGCCGAGACGCCTACGCGCGGCTCGAATTTGACCCTCCACACCCGTGGGCCCGTCTCCAGGGACGCTATGGCCTCGACCTCCTGATCATTCCTCGTATGCTCTGCTTCAGCAGATAACGGGGGTACTGCTTGCGTGAGTGATCGCAAAAATGACAGAAATTGACTTCCCCAGTCGAGACAGCGTATGGGATCCCACGCGCCAGGCTTGTTCCGGATGAGTCGCGGGATTTCCATTGTGTTGAAAGTCTGCAACGTACTGAGCTGTCCCGAAGGCGTCCGGAACCCGACTATGATTTCCTAAGCGTAAATTAGCTGTCTGTAGGTCGGCTTGAATTCGTGTAGGATGGCTCACAGGAACACCCAGGAGGAATGATTGGAAGTAGAACTTGAGCAGCTTCCTGTTTGATGTTTAGCGAGGTGCAACGGAGGAAGGATGTCACTCACTTCTCAAATCTCGCCTCATCCTGTGGCCCTCGTATTGTAATGGAGGTCTTGAGCTCAACAAAGTTGTCCGTTCCACCTTTGAACTGGCCTACACGTTCGATCATGAGTCCAACAGCATACAGCGCAGCATCAAACGCCTACCTCGCACGCAGTCAACCTCGCCGCCTATGACCATCCTGGTGTCCGCCAGCTTTGTCTTCACCACGCTACACCATTGAACATTGGTGTCGACATCGCCGCTCCAACCCGGAGGGTGCCCTTCGAGTTTTTCTTGTGTACGCGGCATAGATGAGGTGCACCACGACTCGAATGAGTAGCCATAGTACGATCGCAGGCGGTGGTTTGGCGTCATGTCTTCCCTACGCCACGGTAATGTGAGTAAGATCGGATGCTCAACATTGTCAAAGTAAAAGCAGTACTTTTCTGCAAGTCTTGCGGCAGATAGATGCTCTTCCAAGTATAGAGTCCCGTGGACTTCCATGACATTCATCTCCCAGGCATCTCGGTCCTCATACGGTGCTGTCAATATCCTCCCTCACCAGGCAGCAAAAATATGAGCTTCGCTGCGCGAGGACTGCTGCACATCGACTCACTTGGTCATCACCCCCCTCCAAGAGACGACGCCAATATCATTGAGCCATTTCCATCCTTCGCTCTCCGTTGAGCCTAAACGAGAGAGATGACTCGAGAGCGCCTTGAGCAGTCCGTCGAGCCTTCCTTTCTCCTCAGGCCGCTTTACCCATCTCTCGTACCCATACCTCAAATTGGCGCCCCTGGGAGGATCGATGTAATATCGTAGTGCAGAATCGTTGAATTCGAGCGTACGAGATGGAGTATAGGAGAACGTCAAAAGTGCGGATGGCCGCTGAAATGGTGCTGGCTTGGCCACAGCAGTAGTCGGAGGATAGGCTAGATTCTTGACATCGGGATGACGGTCGACAGCTTGACGCTTGGGATCTGGCTCGGGTGCACTTATTTCGTCTATGCTCGACGCATTCCGTTTTATGGTGGACATGGCAGCAGCCCTCTAGTGCACAGCGAACAAGACTTCAAACTCAAGCTCAGCGAGTGGGAAAGTAGGGATAGTGAGCGCTTGAGCACCCGCCCAACTTCTTTATCGGGCACGATAAGATAAGATGCTCGGGATTTGCTTCAGGTTCCGAGCAACTCAAAGCCAATTCGAACTCGCACCTCGTCATCTGGCCTGAAAACACGGCCTTCCATCGCCTCTCGCACCACCCTTAGTGAAGGACACAGTGCTGCAGAACGGCGGATCTACTTGTGGCACTTCGCGGTGCCGTCGGAGACGTACCATTTGACTACGAACGTAACCTTTTTGGACGCAGCAGAAATCCAAAGGACAAGAGTGGTTTTACACCTCTGCTCTGCGCGATGCGGGCTGCAAGCGCTTATATGAACGACATGCCCACGCTCGAGGACAAGCTCAAATCAGTTCGAACAAGAAGTCAATTGACAATAAATGTGTACTTGGACTTGAGATATATTGAACAAGTGTGCATCATGGTCAAGGACAATAATAAGCATAATGGCGCAGGTGCCGAGAATGAAGTAGGGGGCGTATTTAGCAGAATTGTCCGTGCACTGCAATGCTCACTGGCAGCTCAGAAGCCTGACCCATTTTCTGACGTGCGCGGTTTGCACTTGCGCCAATTTAGTTCATGTTCGAGAATCTATTCAATGAAAGCAATGGATGCAGTTCTGGCACGATCTTCATGAGCTGGGGGAGAGGTAAATTCTGCAAGCTGAACTTGTCTAGAGAATGTGCGGATATGAGTAGTACTACTCTCAGAATACTGCGTGTACTACCCCCGGAAGATGTATTCAATTCTATTATGATAAACGCAATGATAGTGAAGAAAAACCTGTGATATCTTTGTAGTTTTGCGATCGGCAGGGGAGTCGTTGTGGCGACATAGAATCAGCTGGAAGAGCTTTGGCATGGCTCTTAGCGCTCGCGGTCGTGCATAACGCCTGACATCCTTATAATGTCATCTATAGATGAACATTGAGTTGAAGTGTGGGTACGATTGAGTTGGTCAATCTCTCCGATAGTGTGCAATGACTCGATTGAACACTGCACTTGCCGTTCTGGGCGCTGCACTCAGCGGCAGTCCGCGGGCCGCGAATTACCGCGCCACAACCTACGAGGCGAACGAGCGCTTTTCGCCATAGAGTATCTCGGAACAGTCCCTACTCCAATGTTTCTATGGCTCAATCTTCGACTGATAACATTGAGCTCCTTATTCAATCCCATTCTCTGATTCGCAGTGTGCTCAGATTTTTTGTCGAAGTGAGTACGCCCTCACCTAGTCATCGTTCGGGCAGACGTCTTTATGTCCTGGCGTCGGAGTTCTCTGACAGCTCTGGGACAAGTGGTGAAGAGATAAAAAGCGCAAGTTGATTCTGTACAGGTGCGACATCACCATTCTGATCGGAAGCATATGTCATTGTCTACATCTGCATCGCAAAGAGACCTTACTCTTGCTGTGAAGGAAGGCTCATCATCTCTCAAAATTTCCCTGTACAAGTAGATCAGTGCCTCCACCGACCTGAACCTTACCCACGGAGTTGTCGATCTTCTTCTCACTTCCAGCATTACCAACATGTCCTCCCGCCGGCATCCTTCACCTTCAAACATGCTTCCCACCACTGGGAAGGGTGTGAGGCGAAGAAAGAGAAAATTGATGGAATCGGTGCTCGCGCGGCCGCATTCGCTCATCTTCTCGATTATTTCGAGAACGAGGCGAAGATCGAGCGCAATTCCATTGTACATGCATGCCATCGTGTAGTGCATGGCGGAGGCTGTTTTGGCCCAGTCGTCATCAACGAGTTATTATCCTATCGAGAGGCTCACTGATCTCGCACTTCTCTAAGCAGAAATGTTGCTTTTCACGTCTCGTGAGGCTTATTTCTTCACTCTCTCACAACAGGGCAGCACTCTCCGTCATGCAGATTTACATCAAGGCGTTGCGAAAGTCCGAGGCAGTTGCATATTTCGGCACATCCTTCCATCGGTTGTCTTCCTCCATATTGCGACTTATGCGATCAACTGGGGGCTGCACAGAAGTGAGGGTCCAAGAGGTACGGCGCTGATGGACTTAGCTGTGAGTCGTTTGCTAGCCGCTTCCGAGACATTTATTGAACGTCGCGCTTTATGCTAGGTGTATACAGAAGGTACGTGTTCCCTGCCGTACGTGCACAGAAACAACTCACGCCATTGTCACCAGCCTGCATCGTCTCTCAATCTGATAGTCGATCACCGCGGTTCTGGAGCGTCTGCATGTGAGATCCGAAACGGGTGCTCGCTGGACACTACCATGGCCTTACGCCGCTCATTGGACTGCCTGGAGCGACACACAGCGGTGCGGTCTAGCCTTCACTCGTGTTCCACTATACCAACCGCGCAGGGCGTATCACCCACGATCCAATCGCAGCAGTTGACGTGCGCGTTACCCGAGCAGAGTCTATTCGCAATACCGAGAGCGGCTGGCATTCTCTTACGGGACGGCAGACTTCGGCAAGTCGTGCATCGAATGAAGGAGGCGTGCATGTGGGGCAACGGCCATTTAAAATTCGCTGGATGTTCGGGATTCGGGACTCCCATGTGAAGTGGCAACTCGCGTTTGACCAATTTACGGATAGTTTATCCGGTGCCGGCGATGCGATAGGTGCGTATTCCGTCAGGTTGGCGGCAAGGTGCATGTAATGGTGTTCTTGGGAAGGAGAGTGCGGAGTTAGAGAGGAAGTAGCGCCGCCCAGCGTCGCGTGCTTGGGGTTTCAGCTTTGCTAGCTTCGAGATGGCAAGCGAATGTGCCCTGGAAACTGTATTTGGGCAGTGAATGTCAAATAACGATCTATCGAACAACGAACAAGTGTCACCAGCAGAATTCCTACTGTCATTGAGATGCAAATTGCGATGACATTAATAGGCAGACAGCTTCCGTGCTTGCTTTGCGGCGACTATGTCTGGCAATTCAGCAGCCAGCTTTCTTACCGCTCCAGGGTCACGCGCGTCGAGATCATCCGGTGGATCCGGCGGATGGTTGCTATATAACTGGTTCCGCACACAGGTCCAACCTTCGTGCTGAATGACAGCTGTAGCCTGCCATCGAGCCGTGCATGGAGCCGTGCGCCACATGCTGAGAAATGCGATGAGGGATCTTACCTCACCGACTGCCCTTGATATATATATGTATGTGCGTAACGTCCCAGCAATTGCAAGTGACTGTTTCTCGCACGCAGTATCGGGATGTCCTCGTTCCTGCACACTCTATCGCTTCTGGCTGCGACATGGCTACTGTGGAGGTTTATCCGCTGGCTAATTAGCAAGGATCCGCTACGTAGTATCCCTGGTCCTCCTTCGATGTCGTTTCTGACTGGTATGCTGTCGAGTGTTTTATATAAACAGACACAGATCTTACATCCTCTACTGTCCTCAGGAAATCTAGGCCAATACTTCAATCGCTACGGTTTGGAGTTCCAAAGGGATGTTGCACTAAACTATGGTCCTGTCGTGCGACTCAGTGGCCCTTTTGGCGTACGTATTGTAAGCTTGCTTTGTAGAGACTTACAAGATGAACTCCACATCAGAGCTCGGCATTGTATGTAGCCGATCCACTCGCACTGCAGGCCATGTTTGGGAAGTACCAGGCTCTATATGACCAGTGGGACGGTATCCTCAGGCGAGCCTTCGTGAGGCATGTTTCATACTACTTGCTCACTGTCAGGCAGGGGACTTGCACTGGTCATTGGCCCCGGCTTGATAGGTACACAAGGTCAGTAACCAGTACGTGAGTGACGACAACTCCCCCATGAGTCTCATCAATCATTGATAGGGGAGCACCATCGTAGACAGCGCAAACTATTGAACTCGGCATTCTCGACGAGCAGTTTGCGTACGATGCTGCCAGCAATGTACGAGGTCATGCACAAGGTGTGTTCACGTCCGGGCATAGCGCGGTTCTGTATTTATATCGCGCATATTCACCGCTGACCAATCGAACATTTGACAGCTTTGTGACGCTGTCGGCTCTCGCATAGGTGCACAGCCCCAGGAGGTTGATATACTACACTGGCTTGGACGCGCCTCCCTCCAAATGATAGCCAAGGGCGGTATGGCCCATTCTTTAGATTCACTCGCCGAGGAAAGACCCAACAAATATGCAATTGCTGTGAAATCTTTGTTGTCAGCCATTTCGCAATCTGATATTGCATTTGTCTCAATGCTCACTATCTACCGGTGACAGAGCGGCGATGGTGGAGCTCAGCTGGCTACAGTACTTGCTGCCGATATTTTCTCCCTTAGCACCTCCGGCCATATGGCGAAAGATTCTGAATATGGCACCGTATCAGCCGATGAGGAACATGCTGGATATCACGGATACACTGGACAGCATGGCGAAGGAGATCTTCAACGCGAATAAATCAAGACTACAGGGAGAGGCCACAAACCTTTCAGACTGCGACTACAAGCACCAGGGCATCATCGGTACATTGAGTATGTCAAGTCTCTGATTAGTTAGCAAACTCTCACTATATCGCCATCACAGTGAAGGCGCATCTAGAGGCATCTGAGGATGACAAGGTGCCCGAGGAGGAGGTAATCGCACAGATCGTGTAGGTGTGGTGCACGATGTCTTTGAACCGACCGACTGACCTGAGTCTGTTTCAAGTACATTCATGTCTACGGGGATGGAGACTACATCCAACACGACAGGCAAGATATTGGAGTACCTCGCTCACCGGAAAGATTTGCAGGACAAGCTTCGTAGCGAAATTCTCGAGGCTAGTAATGGCGAAGACTTACCATACGATGCGCTTATGCAATTACCCCTTCTCAACGGCGTATACCGGGAACACTTGCGACTGTATGTGCGACATAAAGCTTGTGACACTATACCGCTCATGATACCGATAGTGACCCGATTGCGCCACTCGCCATGCGGTAGTACGTGCAACCATTTACCTCATTGTGCCATGCTGAATTTTCCTCCATCACTAGTGCCTTGACGGACACTGTTCTTCCCCTTTCAAAGCCTATTCGTGGGGTCGATGGATCTCTTTTACATGAATTGCCTATTGCGAAAGGAACGAAGGTTATCATCGGCGTGCTCGGATCCAACACGAACAAGAACGTGTGGGGGGATGACTCGCTAGAGTTCAAGCCCGAACGCTGGCTTTCGAAAAAGTTCTCGACGACGTCTGATGAAGGTATCAGTGTCCCTGGAATATATGGGAATTTGTATGTTTGAGTCTGTTTTAATGAAGCACAATCGACTAACGATCGTGTCCTGCTACTAGAATGACATTCGCTGGTGGACCAAGGTCCTGCATGTGAGTGTCGGATTTCATTTTGCAATAACCCAGAACTTCCACTCATGTTTCTCATAGTGGGTTTAAATATGCCGAACTACAGATCAGTACGTCGGGTTGAAACTGCCAACATGATGGCGCTGATTGATTACTTTATCAGAGGCTTCGTTGGCGGTCCTCTTGACGAGTTTCTCGTTTGCGCCGTCTCAAAAGAACGTCTTCTGGAATGTTACGAATGTCGTCTATCCGACCGTGGGCAAGGACAGCAGCTATATGGAACTTCCGCTGATAGTGCAGCGACTGGGAGGCAAAACATAAAAGGAATACCGGGGCTGCGTGCCTGGAACTCGAGAAGAGGAGCGATTATGGCGGAAGAGATGTGAACTCCCACTCCGTTTCATCATATACCATGAGAGCAATATAGGATGCCATAACAGACGCCCTCCAAATCACCCGACTCGTATTCTTCACGTTACACCGATGTCTGTATTACAACAATGACATTTTCACTGCTAGTTCCATCACTGCTTGATATTCAAGGCAGGCTAAGGTTACCACCTCGAACAAGACGTTAACGGAAGATGCCGATCTGATCCAAGGTCTCGGGCAAGGTTACCCGAGATGTACTCGTATCGGCCCTCTCTCTTGCCTTCACAGGTCAAAGAGCTCTTCTCTCCCTTCGACACTCTGAGTCTATGCATAGAACCTTTGCGGAGAAACAGTTGCTTGCTGATGGCAGGCGGCGGGAAAGAAGTAGGGGGCTCGGACTCAGCGCCTGCCGGGCTGGCAAAATCATGATGCCCGTGCCTCTCGTACGTACTTTTGTCAAAATGCCGTGCGACGAAGCAAAACCATACTCTGCTTACTTCCATTGTCTCTGTGGTCGCATAGAATATGCAAGAAATGTTGTCAAAGGCATAGCTCGAAATTGTGGAATGGGATGAGCCAGCCGCACATATAGCCATGGAGTGAACCCCCCATTTCGAGGCAGGTACATCTGCGGTCATTACTGTCAGAATAATGACTTCGTATAAGTTGTCTGCGAATTGACAAGGCGGAATTCAGCACCAACAGATCAGAACGTACAAGAAATCGAGTGCGACATCCAATTGTAGCATACAGCATCAAGAGACTAGAATGTTGTTTAGAAATTCCTGCTCACTCCCGCGTCTCTACGCACGATTTCGATCGCCCTTCGTTCTACAGCTCAACCTCTTCGTCGTATTATCAACGGTGATCATACAGACTGACAATAAACGTAAACGTGAAAAATCAATCAGCAAGAATGATTAGATTCCATTCAACAGGCCTACCGGGGCAAGGAAGCGAACCCTTCCAACGCCTATTGCCCTGTCATCCCTTGTACAACGATGTAGAAGGTGTCAGATCTACTCTTGCGCCGGTCTTGCACCCAATATGCGATTACGAGTAGCAACATCAGGACGATGAACACGATGGTGACGATCATGAAAACCCTGCAGTACGTGATCACGTCGTGCAGACGGGCGACGATGTTCATGTTCTTCTCCTCATTCATCGTCATCTGCGCGGTGTTCGCAGCAACTCTGTCCAACATCTCGCCGATCCTCTCCTGCATTCTACCCAAGGACTCTTTGATAGCCAGCCCGCGCATGACAGCGGCAATATCTCGTTGTCGATCGAAATCCACGACTATTCGATTCGTCGCGGCTACAATTGTGCCTATCGCTGCGGCGATAACCCCAATGATGAAAGGAAACGTCTACAATCCCGTCAGTAGCCTCCTCGATCGTGACTCGCAGACGTACCTTCAAACTGATGGATGGGTTGTAGGGCGGTTAACTTGAGGTGTCTGGTCTGCGATAACAAGTCTCGCACCTTCTATGTACCCGTATTCAAAGACAACGAGGTATCCTCGTGGCCTTGGGCGACGATCGGCATTGAGGGAACGTGGCCGCCCTGATAATTCGAGAAGCACAAGGCTATGGTTCTCCTGGGACACGATCATCCACAACCACGACGAGAAGCAGATTGCACGCGATGTAGCTGACAGTGTGATAACGCATAATCGTTTCGCGCGTCTCTCTGGACAACATATATCGAAGGCCTGGCAGCCATCGCGTACGTTTGAAAAGTACCCTGTTGAGTTGACGCACGCTTGACAATCCTTTGGGAAATTTGTTGATAGCACAAACTCAAACGATATGCCAAGCCAGGAGACTGCGCGACATTGCTCGCAGCCACATCAATGCTGCCCTATGCAGAAACAATGATCCAAGGCAAGATAATTATGAGAGAAGACATACTGCGATCACAGGCCAGGCTTGCGAGAAGCGTTGATGTGAACCATCTCGGAGTGAGCCGTTCGCCTAAGCAGGAAAGTGAAGCAACATCCATGGGAACATCATGTCAACTCCGATTGCTCAAAAGCATATTCGGATCTTGCTGCAGGCTCCGTTCAGTGCCATCGGTAGCAATGACTATCCCGTAGCGACCACAGATGAGCTGATTAGCCTGTATCGTCTCGGCGGGTTGGGCGATGTCCACGTCCAGTAGACTCTGCATACACGTCTCAAGCTTCAAGGTTCGAGTGACATCACCGAGAGGAGATGATCTTCGACGGCCCTTGCGCTGCATATCGGTGATGCTAATCACCGTTAAGAGCACTCCAGAACACGCAGAATTGCGAGTGTTTCAAGGTCAAGGTACCTCGAGGAGACGAGACATGTCGTGTGAGTCGCCCAAGGTCACCCGAGTCGGAAAGATAGCGACGACCAACGAGAGAGAAGACCACAAGATAAAGCAAGGAGCATGCAAGACATGAATAGTCTTTGACCTCCTTCTGCAATCCCAGATCCACGCCATTAACTGAGGCAGCTAGCAGGTCGTCCTCTTCGCTTCAGTCGATCGTTGACCCGAGCGTTGCTTGGACATATCCATCCACGAGCTGAGGCTAGGACATCGCTCAGTGCCACATTGTCTGGCTTCGAGTCATCCAACAGGTCTCTGAGTTGGGACAGCACTACTGATACATAATATATATTTACAGGTACAAGTATCCAGCAACGCTATAGAACAGCAGACATTGAACATGGTCAGGCAGGCCCTATTGGAAGTCCATGTGTACAGAAGTATGGGTCGCAGGTACACGTTGCAATATAGTAAATGGGAAATACCTAACCAAATGCACAGTACTACTATTACACAGACACGACATCATGACTCAGGCCCAGGTCGTATTCGTCCACCATCGCTGGTCGGCGCCACGCACCGTCCACTCAGCGACGCCCTTCACAGACGCCACGTACACATGCGTCCCCGTCGGATCGAAGCAGGTACCTGCCAGGTCCTGATCAAGCTCACCCCCATCTGCCTGGCCGCCCCTGCGATGCCTACGAGGCACACCCCCCGTCGCCCGCCGCGTGCTATATGGGCCAGAGCTCTCCCGGCGCAGAAGGTGGGTGGGGCGAGAGACGCGGCCGCGCTCAGATGTCCGCGTCCCCGACGATGGGATAACAGGCGACGGAGACGCCGAGCGAGACGGTGCATGCGACGAGAAGCAGTCAGCTTCCAGCTCATCGACGTCCATCTCGTCTTCCGCAGGGTCCTCATCATGCTCGCGCCCAATCGTATCGTCCATGCGATTGTCATGCATCTGCTCCGGGTCGAGGACGGCTGATCGTGCCCGCAGGCCATGCTGCGAAAGCAATCGTCGAACGTCGTTCTCCACTTGTCTATCTCCAAGTGGCGGTATCACAACGATACCATCCACATCATCATCAGCATTGCGATACTCTTCTCCGCCATGTGGATGGCGACTCGGATGAGATCGCCGCCGCGAGCTCTCCGATGGTGGTATCCGGAAAGTGTCTTCGAGCGCTCCGCTGAACAGCATGATGCGTGGCGGCGGTGGCGGGGGAGCATCTTCCCATGGCCTACTCGTTCCGTATGTCTGAGACAACAGTGGCGATACAGATCTGGGGCGCACGGGCGATTGGCGCATTGACGGGATATAGTCAAAGTCGGGCATCCGCACGATCTCTTCCTTTTCAAATGTGCGCGCGTCCACAACGTGAAGGAGGGAAGTGTGCTGAAAATAGATCATCAGCATGCACAGCAACGAAGATGGTGGCAGTACGCAGTACCTCCGTGAAAGTCATGATCTCTCTCCCAGCGCCCGGAGGGCTGAATTTGACACTTCGGACGCCCCATCCTGGAGCATTGATAGACCCCCTCGACCAATCCCACGGCTCTTCGTAAAGGAATCCGCTGGCATACCCGGTACCAGTCTTGGAGGTCCTGCTCTTGTCTGTCTGGAACACCTTCAAGGGCTTCGTGCTCCGTACGTCCCACACGACCACCGCCCCTTCCTGGGATGCTACGGCGAACTTCGATCCGTCGGCTGAGAATGCAGTGCTGAATGACGCGGGTATAGCTGTCGAAGAGCTAGACATCGAGAAGGAATACGGGTTGTAGGCGATGTATGGAGACAAAGATAGCTTGCATATTGGAATAACCGTGATCCGAGATCCTCCTGTGATACGGTGGAGGTATACGTCAGGCGAGTCGCCCACGCAAAGTAGGGTGCGCCCGTCTGGAGATATCGACGCTGCAAAGCATCACTCGTATCAGATCACTCAAACGCGTTGCAATGTACGTACAATGATTCACGGGAACGTCTAGTCTCCACTGACCGGCTTCGGACAGCCTCGGCAGGGCGCCGTCGCCCTTGACGCGCCGCAGGGAGACATCGAAGAACTTGACTGTTCGATCGTTGTTGCTGACGAATAATCGGGGCTCGACACTGCTCTCATGGGAGCTGGTCAGACTGAGCGATGTCAGCAGCACCGAGTTGTTGATCGACCCCGGCTCTATCCTACATTTACTCTCCCACTGCCTGCGCCCGAATCCCCTGGTAGCCCGGCGCGAGAAACCAGTACTGCTGCATTCTTGCGGAGTGGAGGAGAACAATGACAGGTATAATTCTGCATCCTGGCCGCCAGCTGCCAATAGAGTGTCATCTGTATTAGGGACATTGAGAGCGGATAGGGAGTTGGGGGTGAATGAGAGTTCGGCGAGCGCACGGGGATTCTGTAACGTTTTAGGAGACGTTTCAGACGACTCAACTGCGATGTCAGATAGACGACGTACTGATGTAGGAGCAAGGATGTCATGTTCAATGATGGAGTGATTTTGTGGATATGTTACAAGACCTCGTTCATGTGGACATATGAGAACGTCGCGGAGTTGTCTGGAGGAATCGTGTGAAGTCAGCTCGAGATCCGAATGCAGACGGAAAGGTGAAACGCCAGCGGGTTCTGGCAAGAGACACGAACGCGCTCGTACACTAGAGTGGCGAACCCTCTCTCCCACTAATATGTGTGTACAGTACCATTGCTAGATGGCTTGTAGTGCAGCGCTCCAACGAGCAACGGGACGCCCTACGGAGGAGATCCCACACCTTAGAAGGCACTGAGGCCCCAACTCGTGTCGACCCCGTCTACCAGATACTGCCAACCACCCACTGAGCAAAAGAGGAGACGTACACATGTCCGATCGTTACCCGTGCAGGGCTTGCCGAATTCAGCGAGGGCGGGGTCAGCAGCGACGAGATACCACGAGCCATTGGAAAGCAGACGGATAGTGTAGGTGGCTAAGTCGTGCTTTCAAATTCAGTCTGAGAGCCAGCCCTGTAGAGAATGCTCGCTGAGTTGTCCTCGTGGGTGGCTGGAGGCAGGTCCTGTGACGGCAGTGCAGTGGTATGGACGGCGTGGCGGAGTCGTTAGTGCAGAGTCCGATGCAAGGTGCTCATAAACCTGCACAGGGTGGTGGTCGATAGGAGAGTCGGGGACACACCGGAGCTTGGGGATGAGAGTTGAGTGTAACTGGGTCCGTGGCACGCGCGCGCACCCTTACTCGCTGCCACCGTCGCCAGTCGAGGCAAACATATTTCCGAAACATTAGATCGTCGTCAACTTGTTCAGGTACAATAAATAACAGGCCTCCAGTATCTACCAGCATGTCTAGGCTACAATGAGTTTGAGTAAGTCAGTTCGGAATCAGGTATGTGGGAAGGACTACAGAGTTAGGGACTTCGGCGACAACGAAGCGACATGAGTAAATCGGGGACGGTAGAGCGAAAAGAATAGCAACAATGACACTCCGCAGGAGCAACGCATTCTGCAACTGGTACAGTATATGAGAATTCGCATGAGCGTCCAGCATATCGTACGGACATAACAAGAGCAAGGCACGCGGTGAGCCCACCAATATATAAGACAGATCAAGGAGAAATAACGTAGCGGACGAGCATTATCTCAGTCACGGTCATCCGTGCCCGATGAGTAGAGGAGAGGGTTATAGCACATAGCCACCGTTCGACCAATCGCCGTCAGGGTCGGGCTTCATGCTAGGTCCAACGGTGCTCGCGCGAGACATGTCCTGTTGCACCGATGCCGGTGTGAGCTCCTCCTGCAATTTCCGGCACTCTGCACCACCTTCTGACCGTACTAAAATGAAAACACGTCAATTGCAAAGCTCGAGAGCCCAAGAGAAGATGACTCACGATGACGATTCAGGGCATCCATCCGTGCGAAATTCTTCTTGCAACCCTCACAGGGATACGGCCGAATATTAAGGTGAAGTTGTTCATGTCGCTTGCAATCATGCTGCCGCGCAAAGCCCTTCCCACATCCCGGCCACTTACATTGGAACGGCTTTTCTTCCGCGTGTGATCGCAAGTGACCTTGAAAGACGGATAAGCATCATCCACACAGGTATTAAAGATCTGCTACCCACCTTTGAGGTTAAAATGACGCGTGAAAGTGCTTCCACAACCAGGAATAGGACACATGAAGTTCGCAGGCTGTTTCCGGCGCTTCTGGCTGGCGTCCGCCGTACTGGGCGTCGTGACGTTCACCTTGGCGATATGCGTCGGTATTCCAGTGTCCGTCGTATTCATCATTCCCATGTTCACACCCATGCCCATATCCATGTCCGCACCCATGCCCATGTCGACCTGCAGCACCCCTCCCGAGACGACCCGTCGCATCGGCGATGCATTCATGTTCATAGGCATCGACATGTCCGGAAGCGCGCCATAGCCAGGGCGAGGACTTGCCGACGGGGACGGGTACGGACTGGCCCGCGCGCTGCTTCCCCCGCTACTCCATCCAGTAAGACCGCCCATGCCGGGGCGCTCGCGCGACCCTGAAGACGCCCGGCGAATGTGACGTGTGATGGAGGCGACCGGTTCGGTCGGATGCAAGTATTGGCGCGTGCTTGTGGCACGGATGAACTCTTGCGAGGCGGAAGATGGAGGTGGCACGAGCATCCCGGAGATGTTGAACGGAGACGATGGCGTGCTGAAGCGAATGTCTTCGGAGCGCACTTGTCTGTGCCCGCGGTTGTCAGACTTGGTACGACGTAAATTGACTGCGGCGATGTCGGGAGTTAGGTAATTGGGGTTCAGAGATGTCGAAAGGCCGGGATGACCGAAACTGAAAGGCTGGGGGACGGACGGCTGCTGCAAGGTTGGTCCAAATGTTGTTTGGTTTGGACCTGCGGAGTTGGGGTAACGGAATGGCGGTGGACGGAAGGAGGCGGTCTGAAGAAGGTTAGAAGAGGACGCCTCGGGAAGGACATCATTCATGTTAACTGTTCCGGCGGACGTTGGCCTTCGGCCATCGTGGGAAGTCAGGTGGCTGCCATCAGCGCCCGAGTTAGATCCTTGATGGGGGTCACCCATCAAAGATGCCGCGTCCCAGGCAGGCGGGCGCAGCGACGTGTCTGAGAGGCTTCGTGTCCGTTGTGGCGCCTGCGGTAACAGGAACTGTTCGGTTCGCATGGATTCATGGGGCGTCTCGCCGCCGAAGGTCATTCCCGAGGTACCTACAGATCGTGACCCGGAATGAACAAATGGCCGATCGGCGACCTGTGCGCAGGAACTCACCTTGATTCTGCGTAGGCGTTGACAAATTCTGCACCTGAGACTGACGGTCCCATCCGACTGGGTCAGATCGTTGCAGGCTCGAGGAGCCGTCTACGAATGCGGCATGCATCAAGGTTCGTCAAGAGATTGATGAGAATGGCAGTACTGACCTGACGCAGGCGCGGTCTGGAATAGTACCGGCTGCGCCGTGTCCCCTCCTCCACTCACGGGAGTGGCCGGAACGATGTGTAGCTGAGGACCCGATGACATTACACCGTCGCCTGAGGGAGCATTTATTGTAGGAGGCTCAGGCGAGGGGCTGGGTGGAATCATTAGCTGTGGCGGGGATGCTTTATGCGACGGAGGGGAGGAAGGCAGCTTTGCCGGCGAGAAAGCGGGCGAGTCAAAGCGCAAGCTCTCGAAATTTAGGTGAGGCGACGCGGGCGGCTGATATGAGGAGGTCGACGAGGCATGGCTGCGCGTGTCATCCTCACCGCCATTGCTCGAGGCCGGAGAACCGTGATCAACCATGATAGATGTCATTTTCTGGTCAAAGGCGGGGGGCGTTATCGACACTTGGGGGAATCCGTCACCAGACATGAAATTGTCGTCGAGCGTGAAGAGACCAGAGGAGCTGGGCGCGTCGTAACTGGATGGGTCGTAATCGTCTAAGTTGAGTGTAGACGAGGGATCAAAAAGACCGATGGTATGATCGTCGTCGAATGAGGGCAGATCGGAGAGGATTGAGTAGGGCGAGTTCTGGTACGAGCCGTTGTATGAGGGTGTGTGCGGAAAGGACGCCTCCGGATGAGAGAATTCGGGAGCGAATTCAAAGCTATCGAATGGAGAGCCGGGGTTGGGAGAGCCGTCGAACTGGCTCCCTTCGAAGTCGGTTGGCTGTGAGTCTGAAACAAGGAGGGTATCCATGCCGCTCTACACTCTTTGTACGATTGCACAGTGTCACTAAAACGGATGGGGCTGTGTTTGTGTATGGCGGAGCAGGGCTGTGCGACCACACTGGAGGATCTCGTCGACAAAAGCTGTGCGATGGGAGGAGGGGGAGAGGAAGGTCGTAACTTATGCGATTCCGAGTCCACCACAGAAGTCTCCGTACTTCGAACTCCGCTCGACCAATTCGGGCCTATCGGTTCCTGCCCATCGTTAGAGCTGCTTTGCTCACGGCATCCACAGCCTAGCCTCAACTGAGGTTCGTGTGCCTCTCTCGTTCTCTGTTTAAGGTTGCGCTGTAATATATGCTTCGAGTCATGCTGAATTCGCAGCCTCAGCACTGCCAGTCGTGGCTGTACGTATATGGCGCCCAGATATCGTGATATGCCGGCCTGGCCGGCGTGTGCTTCGCCATTGTCGGACTTTCACTTGAGTGCATCTCCGACACACTCCGCCATCACTATCAGCCACCGTCTCGACCGTCGGGCTTGCGTGGCCCTCAAACGCGTCTTTTTTGTCACCAGCATCATATCTGTGGTCGCGTCCACACGCGGCATCAAACACGCATGGCCTAAGAAAGATCCTTGTGCATTTGAACGACCTGATGGCGACGACTTGATTCGCTATCCGAGTGCAGAGTTTGATGTAAACTCCGGATGACAAGGTGAGACCGCGTTTCAGATCCATCATTTCCCCTGGCTGACCTCAACGGCGGACGCGTTTCGAACTCACACAAATCGAAGAATGTCGTCCTGGAGACTCGTCGGAGCTTGGAAAACTTCCCGATCGACCCGCGGTGGTTCCGTGCATAGCCTCTTCATCATCGATCTGATGACCGTGCAAACTGTCTTTGACTACCGATGCAACACGATCTGTCGGATGCAGTCGCCATGCATGCTGCCAATCTGCCTCATGCGAGAGCAACTTGCAACACGAATCTTGAGTGGCGCAACTTGCTCAAAGTGTCCTAGGTTTCCGAGTCGACGGGCTCTCTGGGCAACTAGCCGTCAATATCTAACACCGAGTGTTCTTGCCACAGCCTTGGAGTCAATTTCGCGCGAATTCCTAACTGACATGCTGTGCTTGCTGTGCAGAACTGCCATTGGACCGGCAGACTCATATCCATTGTATGCGTACACGGCTACTCTCATTCACGGACCGGTGGTTCACGCGTACGGGCCTGGCAGTTAAGGTCTACCCCTCACGAGGCCTCAATATTCGTTAATGTCCGTTGTGTCTCTGTCATGTCGAGCACCCGGTCCAATGTGTCCGAATGTGCCTTGGCAAGTCGATCGGCGACTACATCCCCAAAAGTACTTTCTTGCGTGGATTGTGACCTAACAAAAGCTTTAACTTGATCTTGTTTAAGCAGGCTTCTAAGTCAAACTATTTCGCAACGCTTTGGACCCTCTCATTGACGCAAGTCGTGGCGTTCATCAAGCATCATCTCTAAGGCGATTATTTAACCTTCGACCTACTTTTGGCGCATCGGAACAGCGGTTTCAGCTCGCTTTCACGATCACCAGGAATAATCTCGCAGTTGACATCCGGCGTGCGCGTGTGGAGAAGTCAGGCATGAGTTCGCTTGCCGTGGTCATCCTTCACCAACCAGAGGTTACAAATACCTTGCAACACTCGTCTGGCTTGCAGTGCATCTCAAAAGCTACTGGCGCGTGCGGCGATGTATAAGATTGCCGTTCAGATCCTCGATGTCCCTCTTTTTGCGATTATCAATCTCCGTCTGCCTCGTGTTCGAATGTAATGATGAATAATTGACAAGATGAATTAGCCCCATCGCGAGGGTCTGTTTCAGATTTCACTGATGCGTGTATTGACCGGCTTCTTTCCATCGCTGGTACATAGGACTTCGGCTCTCACACGCGGAGGACAGCGCGAAACTGTACAGACCGTGTGCCCAACGGAAAACAAGTCCCCGTTCACAACTCCTACGCCCACGGTCGACCTCAGAGTTCCATCGGCTGACAATTTTAAACTCGGCTTCTCTGTGATGATCACTTCGAAGGGACGGACGTATCACGGGCAGTGGGCAAATGGAACGATCCGTGATCAAACCATCTGCTTCCTCACTTCTTCAATTGTCTTTCGCGGGCCATCCGTCCCACTACCGCAGTACCCGTCCCGGAGCCGTTCTCGCGTGCGTTGCCGCGGCATCTCACCATGTGCTGCTCTGACGCCGCTTCGCGAGGCATGGCCGCACGGACCAGACTTTGAGAGGTGAAACATCCCCTCAGCGTCTCGACGGTGATTGATCATCGTGGTTCGTGATGATTATTCTTGTCAATGTCAGGTCGGATAGATGGACATGCGATCTGAATCCTTGTCGAAGTAGACAGCGGCGATGCTCGAAAGAGACTCCCAGTCTCCTGCACGCTGCGATATGGGCACATATGATCTAGTCCTCGTGAGGTGTTTTGCAATTTGATAGTAGTCTCATATTTATTATGTGTTATTCGTAGGGCTTCAACCTAACAACACCATCCCTACCGCTTTGTGCTAAGCCAGGCAGCTAAGGTTGCGCCACTCAATGCGCCCGGCAGTCCACGTTCAATCTAGACAAGAGGCTCCAGCATCATTCCGTATGACCGGCTCGAGGACATATCTATTGCCTCGACATATAAAGGCATTCAGACATGTCTGCGCACGACTGTATATCTCCTCTTCTACACTCATACATCACTCCGTCAGTCTCATCACATGTGCCATCTGTGCGCCGCTATAGTCACCGATCTCCAAGAAACTCAATCGCGGTTAACGTGACACCTCTCGATCACTAGCGGCTAGTCTGATGTGCCGCATCAATTCGCTCCATTCACTGCCTTACCTGGAATACGGACCTGAACAATGTAGAATATCGGGCTGGTAATATCAGATGAATGCGGGCGGAGCCGGGGGTGAAAGATGTATCATACATCTCTCCATCAACTGATCAACGCGCACAGTGTTGTATCTTGGCCCCCAAGATATCAGCAGCCCCCTCCTGAAAGGAAGTACTTTTGCAGCACTGAAGGTCATGCCGTCCAGAATCCAACCGCATTGACTGAGGACGAGTTGCCTGTTGGGCAGGTGAGAGAATGAGTACTATGTAGTTCGCCGAGAGGCAACGCTTATATCCACGGCCATAGGACTCTGAAAGCACCGCATCCCGTCCGATCTGCGCAGTTAACCAGAGTGCCGCCCAGTTAGTACCACGGTGGGGGACCACGCGGGAATCCTGGGTGCTGTGGTTTTTTGGTTTTTTGGGGATTTTTATTTGATGATTTTTGAAGAGAAATGGATCCTGCAATCATGCAGTGTCTCATGAACCTTCCCCCAGACTGCATAAAACATGCTGAATTCATGGTTTTGACGTTGGTCGATGTATCTGATCATGTCCGATTCGAAGCTGTGCTGCCTACTCAGCGAACTTGCCAGGCAGCGCATCTCTGATCCAACAATATTTCATCTCCATCATGCTACAATCTGCGCTGTAGAATCTGGAGTGTTTCGCGCGCTCTGGCTGAAGAAGATACTCATTCGCGGCGCACGCCTTGTGACCAAGACGATATCACACCCACGAACCTATCCCATAGAGGCGGACGTGCCTGAACACCGCCATCGTGCTTAGCGACATCTCATTCGCATAGAGAGCGTCCGTCTCGGGTGCATGGTCTGGCAAAAGAACAGCAAGGACAAAACCGCACTTCTCCTGGCGATGTGCCCATTTCTCTAACTTCAAGACTTTAGAGCGCCATGGCGTACAGCTCGATCCTGCATTCTTGGCGAGACGAGAGGATGTCGACGCGTTGCCATGATGTTCATCGAGCAGCATGCCATCTTCACACCTCTCAAGGTTGGGCAGATGAGCTTGAACTCGTTAACTTGCTGGGTCGTCATGCTGTTTGGCCACTTCATGAAAGCGTGTTCGTCCACCAAGGCTGGCTAAGTTTCTCTGCTTGCAGGGCGCTGTGGAAATGTCATGCTGCTGGTCCGCGGCCATTCGGAGCTACACTCTTTCTGCGGCCAGCAAAAGCCGTGTGGACAGCATTGTCAACGAGATCTCCGAGTCTGTCAAAGGCCTGGAACCGGGATCAGTAGCTTCTTGCGTTCAACCCTGATAGTGGATTGTCGAATTGAGCTTTAAGGCAGATATGAAGTGACAGTTCATCGTTCTCCCACGATGATGAGAAATTATGATATGAAGAGACCATCTCGCGGTTGATAAGGTTGGTCGAATCGTAGAAGGAGGGCGGATTCATCATCTCCTTCGTTGTCAGAACGCTATCTGACTTCCTCGTGTGAGTATCAGAAAAGTGATTCTTTGTGAGGCGCCACTCACGTTCATGTTATCACCAGGCCTTCGTCCGACCGGAACTACAAGAAGCGGGGCGGAGATCTCAACAAAATTGGAATGCAGTTGTGAACCACTACAGAGCTCGTGGCGACGACCCTCTTTCTCGAAAGGAGACCAGTCTGCAAGGCAAGATCGTTACAGATGGCGACCCTTTCGGAAAGCACAGCAAAACCGATGGCTGCAAGCAGGTCGGGCAACTGCGGCGAGAGCTTGAACGCTGCTCTGTATCGTGCAGACGAGTGCGTCAGCTGCTTCAGTTCCGATATACACACAATGACCAAAGCGTTGGGTAGATCCGGTACTGCAGGTAAAAAGTGCCAGGTAGCGGACTGGCCGAGACACAAGGAGATGTGCAAGTCCGGCACACATCCTTTGCAAATGTTATCATCGCAGAGGGTGCTCTTGGACATCCTCGAGAGGGTATAGTACCTTCCAAAGTGCTCGTCCGAGGGTCCGCATGCTGAGACAGATAAAGGTGTTGAGCGGCTGGTCGACAGATTAGTCGCACTAGATGTTTGCTGTTCTTTGAGAGTTTCTACCTCGTAGTATCTCCCTGGTGGTATGGTGCGCAACCGCGTTATCGGAGGCTGCACCGTATATGTAAGCATTGAATGCGAATACTGACTGCTCTTCCAGGCTTGCATAGCTAACTGAACGTATTCAGAGCTGGCTTAGCCGAGTGGGTCAACAGCCAATCGTACAGACAGCCTATTACAAGTAACACCACTGGCAAGCTCTCCGGCGCCTCAGACGAATCATGAATGAACCGGACGAATTAGCGGAGCCGCATTACACTTCCATCGCTCTTCCAGTGAGGTTCTTACTCCACGTGAGGCGCAATTCATTGAGATTGGAGGGATCGCTGCGACATAGCAGTTGGTCCATGACACCGATGACGGACATGCGGAGGACATAAATATCGCAGGTACATACCGCGCCGTGGGGGGATCTGTCGATGTACCTAGATGCAGGGCTGGGTGTGAGTATGTGTTCTGTCTGTGTGGTACTTCCTCCTTCCCCGAAGTAGGTAGCCAGCTTTACTGAGATGACGCCGCCGAGTTGTCATCAAGTAGGCACAGATCCTTCTTTGCATGCATTCTCCAGCCGTTTTTGACAAACAAGACACGTCGACATTTTTAACACTTGTCAGCTCAGCGCTCCGCGCTGACGCTCAACACTCAGCAAGTCCTTGGCTGTCTGACGCTCTGGGCACATGTGCCGGGAGGAGTCAGTGCGGGCCTTGAACAATCATATCGGACGTTGTGAGACGTCGAGCCATGCCGCAGGATATCTGGACGTCGGCGCTCGCGCTAAAGGGACTGGAACTTTCGGATATCTGGCTTCCTGGAACCATGAATGCGCTCGCTATGACGCCAACAGTAGCAGCCTGGCCCGTGCGCGTGCGCGCAGAAGTTCATGTGATCGGTCCCTGGAGATTGCGCGTGAGTTTTGCTCCCGTGCCAATTGCATAATTCGGGCATATGTGTTCCACGAGTGGAAGGTTCTGCAGGTGGAAGCGAAAGCCTGTTGAGCACAAAATGCCACGTCGAAGCTGTCTCGATGCTGGAAAGGATGTTTTAGCGGACAAATGCGATACAAATCGAGATTGCCGCGTTTAATGCAAGGCCATAAATGCGCTGCGTGCTGATATCGAAGGCAGAGTTGAATAAAACTGGAATCTCGATGAACGCGACGCGCCACGTGCGGGCGTCTGTCTGAATTACATAATATTCCGGCAGACGCCGGCGCGAACGCGACGCGCTCACATCCGACCCCGCCGCGGTGCACCCGCGTCTCCTCCCACACGTCGCCCACGACCTACGCGTCCGCACTCTACCCACCCCGCCACCATCGCCCATCACATTCACCACGACAGCCAACAACACGCGTCGACGCTGCCCATGGCGACTCCATCGTCATCCACCACTACGCCCTCCCCCCAGCCCATATATCTGCAGTCCCACACGCCCGGCGCTGCACCCCCCACCGCGTCTACCGCCGCGTCCAACGGCGCCGTTGTCGCCGATAAGGAGGAGAGAGACAAGGCCGTCCAAAAGTTCCTCGCCAGGGCCGAGATAGGCAAGGTACGTACCATCGATGGATTAGGGGAGTTTTTGCTTAACACCTCCTCCAGCTCACGCGTGGACTGCGGACGCGCCTTTCGTACGCCAACTTCAAGGCAACGCACAACCTCACTCGTAACACGCTGCACGATCTCGAGCTCGATGCTCAAAGCCAAGTCCGCGTCGCCAACAGGGCCAGCGCGAACCATCACAACGCTGCGGCCGTGGCAGGCAACAGCGCGCTGACGCCCGGCGGCTCAGCCAAGACAGCAGCGCGCAAGGGTTCAATGGCTCCTCCGCCTCCGGTGACCGCGTCTGCTGCTCAGAGCTTATTTGCCTCCATTCTTGCGCCGCCGCCGCCGAAGCGCGCGCGTACGATCCACAACTCTGAAGAACCCCCTGTGGCGGCCCCAGCGAGGCCGACACAGCCAGAGTCCCCTTCGCATAGGGGGAGCAAGGCACCCCGGGAAGGTGGGCATCCGAGGTCCAAGTCGCACAAGAAGGGTGGGGCGAAGGGCAAGGGGCGGCACAAGGAGGGCGAGGATGACTCAGAGGGGAGTGCCGCGGATGTTGACATTGATATGAAGGCTGCGGCGACGCTTACGTCGCTGTTGCTATCGTCGCGGCCGTCGATATCGGCTGCCGCATCATCGCCGCGGTCGAGCATCTCTGCGGGCTCGGACTCGGGCTCGACTCATTCCTACGCGCAGTACGCGCAAAGTTCTGCGCGGACCCTCCATGCAACGGCGCCCATGTCTGGAGAGTCATCTTATTCCACTACACAGAGGCAGGCGCGTCCGATCACGCCCCAGCCGCCCCTGCAGGGCGGGTTCCGGCAGAACCTCGCGCAGCCGAGCAGTGTTCAATCAGAGGGTAGGGGATCGCCCAAGGTGCGCAAGAGACCTATATATCCTGCAGGAGAAAGCGGGACACCGCACCCACCTAGCGACACAGAGGCCGCGGATTCTTTATTGTTCCTAGCGACGTCTCCATCTCCGGTGCGGGCATCATTCACGAGGGCTAGAGATACACCCCGAACAGGATCAAATCTCAAAGGCCGTGCCCTCTTTCCTGGACAAGGTGACGGTGACAACAACAACTCGCATGCTGGTGGCCGGATGCCTCGCAGGGAGGAGACAAGGAGCTGGGCATCGACCACGTCCGTTGGGTCTAACGATGCTGCACCTCAGGGTAGCATGCAGCGTGTCCTAGCGAATCGGTTTACGCATCGCCCAAATTCCGCCCCGCCAGCGCAGCCAAGCCAGGATGTGACCGCGGATCATCCCAACGTGCCCATGGAGCCCACCATCACTCCCCCTACTCCGACGATTCCTTCCACCACGCAATTGTTGCCCCCACCTTCGACTCCCCCGCGAATGTACGCTTCGCCTCGCCCGATACCCAGTGATCACCCTTCCCAGCCTAGCTCACAGCAGACACCCGATGGGAAGAGAACAGCCAACGAGCCAGAGATAACAGGCAACGGTTCGTTCAGCACGAGCAGCTCCGTACAAGTATCTCCGTCCTCTGCTGCCGCGGCGGAAGCGTTGTCCAGATTAGGTTCTGCACATTCAGGTGTTGGAAGGAGACCGTTTGAGCAGCATCACGGTGCAAACATAAGTGGCATGGAGGCGCGCAAGGAGGGTGCGAATGATGCAGCGGTGCCATCCGATAAGAATGCGAGAGTTGACGTTGCGAGTACGACGAGTTGAGGCAGGCCGATGCGTGGTGGCCAAGCGACTGTGTTTAGCCGTTACGATGCGTCTCACTTACGTTCCATGGAAGGACATAATCTGCATGTATAACTGACTGATCGCCAACTCATCTAAATCCATCCATCCATCCGCTGTAGCCCTGCCACCGCCCGCGACCGCCGGAACGTCCGGCCGCCATATTTATTGCTTTGGGTACCCCACACGCACCAGGACGCACCATGCACGTACGAATTACGCACGCTGGAACTGGATTGCCTCCTGGCTCTCCCGTCTGCTCGGTATATCTTATGGGTATCAGAGCGCGACTCTTGCATTGGCCTTATGAAGATGTCCGGACGGTCTCATTGTAGCCCATCTTGTTCTCGTCTTTTTTATTGGCCCCCCCTCCCTTCTTTGGTCTGACCAAGCCTCTCTCCGTCGCGATATCTCACTTGATCTTGCTGTGCCTAGTCTTGTCTTCGCTCTCGACCTACTATCATAATACCTTCACTGGTGACATGATGACTCCCCCCATTTCTTCCCAGATGCCTTGGATTGATTTTGTCCCTCCCGTCAGTTTATGATCAGTCTGTTTGACTCAGCCACGACACATTCTTTGGTTATGTCTTCTTTTCCTTGCGTCCTTTTGTTTCTCATCGCGGTTCACCAGTCCTAGTTCATGTCCATCATGTATTTTACGACTACAATATACAAGATTTGCTTTCCACATGCCCATAACAGACCGAGAAATTGTTTTTGTGGCCGAAATGTGCTGAAATGAGGCGTTGCGGCGTGTCCCGGGTTGGGAGCATGTTTAAATCTCGGGCGCACGTGACCTTCCCCGGATGCGCCTAGCCAAGAATTCAATCACTTCTGATTCCCGCCATCTGGGGAGCCCACACTCAACTCGTCCTCGACAACGGCGAGCACGCCGTCCAACATGTCTCACTTAGGCTACAATGTCGCTCACCCGGAGTTCATTCATCAAAGGCAGCCTTCGTCGTCGCCCGTCATGCGCCGTGCGGTGCCCAATTCTAGCTTTGGCGGACCACCAATGCCGTTCAAGGCTCCTGCGCATAAGCATGCGCACCATTTGCACTCTATACCGCCCAGGGAGAAGTCTACGAGGACTCTGATTATTGACCATCTGCTTTGGGTGCACGCTCGCACGCGGTTTGCGCAGGCTCGCGCAGAGCTGGGAATGACTGATCGCACCGGTGGCCCTCCCTCGAGCAACTATGCTCACCGGGAGCGCCCAGAAAACTTCGAGGAAGACGAGGAGGTGTATAGCGACGGGGAGGATGTGCAGTCGCTCATGGCGCGAGCTGGCGGACCCGGACACACACATGGTGACGAAGAGGACGAACGGCTCGAACTACAAGACCTGACGCTCGCAAGGTCTCTCAGACAACGGGCGGAGAGCGTGGAGAAGGTCGCGACGTCTATGCTGAATCAGCCACCTGAGGTTCCGCCAATACACCCCGACGAGCTACTCGAGCCGCCAACGTCCCCTCAGCTACGTCCGCAGGCCGTGCAACGGCATCCCCACACACTACCCAACGGCGTTCGCCTGCGCCTGGCGCTGGCTACCTTTATCAATGATCTCTTCTCCCGCCGTGCGCCTAGTACACCAATTGGCCGGCACCCCCCTCAGCCCCAGTCACAACCGATCTCCGCATCCTCGTCCCCTGTTCTCCCAACCGCCCTAATACCACTTGCGGCAATATCGTCGCGGTTCGCTATTCCTCCTAATCAATCATCCTCTCCGCAGCGCCGGCCAATGCCCAATCATTACATCCGCTCCTTGTATGACATCGGTGCGGACCCAGACACGCAGAATTCCCCACCGTCGCTTCGATGCCCACGTCATCTTCACATGGGATGTGAGATCTGCGTAGAAGCGAAGGCTCCGCCACCGATGCGCGGCGGGCAGCCGAGGGGTCGTACCACACAGGGCCGTGCGGGTTCGACTACTGGTAGTAGTCCTGGAGATCTCCCGCCTGGTGGAGCTCATGGCGGTGGTCTGACTGGAGGGGTAACAGGGTGGCTGGATGGAAGCGGTATCGGCTCGGGACTTGCTCGGCCAGGTCCTCGAGGCACAGTTCTTCGGCGGCCGTCGTACGCCCAGCCATACGTTCATCACACCAACGGCGACCGCACCCCTCACATGTACAGTACGAAGCTGGCCGAGCTCATTGTTCGATTTATGCGCCTGAGCGCACTAGTTGCTATGGAGCTTGGGCGAGAAGCCACGGAAGAACGGGCATCTGTAGACGGGGGAGACAACAGGCGAGAAGAAGAGTCTGGGACGGCAGGCGGTATGTCAGCAGCGGGATCTACGAACTCGGCACCACGTTCCATATCGCCGCAGGCGTCTCCTCGCATCCTCACACAGCGCAACCTGGCAGAGGTTGGGCTCTATTACCACGCGTTGCGCCCGTCGCGCGAGTGGTACTTCCTACTGGCAGGTCTTCTCACCCGTGCGGTATTCGAGGGGTACATGACTGCTGGTTGGCGAGGCGTGGAACCGTTGGAGATGTTGTTGGGGGTTGGTTTGGGCACGAACCCTCAACTCCGGCAGGCATCAAGAAAGGACAAGGACAATGGGCAACTTGCTGTCGATGGTGAGGACGAGGATGAAGACGATGAGTTCAAGGACTTTGACCCAGACGACCTGCCTGAGTTGGACGAGGCGGTCCGAGTCCTTTTCCCTTCTCTGCGAGAACCTCTGGCCGGCGCTCCCAACGTGGCACACTATCGACGAGAGGGTGCCGAGCTGGAGTATGAAGTGGAGATGGTTGAGCGATTACAACGTGTAAGTGAAATGACTGGATACATTGACTGCCTGACTGCGTACTCACTTCATGATTTCATCCCGCAGTTCTATGAAGTTCCGGCGTCGACCCCCGATCTGGCAACACATCTAGAAGACCTCCAGTGGCAATTCCCTGCAGAAGCCGTAGAACGCGCAGCGATTCGTTTTTGCGAAGCTATTGCGAGATGGAGAGGAAAGCCTGAGCTGGAAACTGTGAGTCGCTCGTTCGTTTCAAAGATGCCGTCTGATTCCGTCCACGTAGTACAAGAAAGCCGCCTGGATCATCCATCAACGAGAACGGAGAAATAGTGGTGGCACGGCCATGTCCATCGATGCTCTTGTACATTCAAATCCCACAAGCCCATCAAACTCCATCTCGACGCCGTCTGAGCAGCATCCGCCGCCGCCACCACGACCACCATTCCGTGCCGATTCGAAACAACGCAAGCCGCCAATAGAAAAGTACTTTGCCATTCCGCAATCTCTCATAATGCAGGGCCGGAAACGACGGCGCTCGGAACTGGAGCGCCCTGAAGAGGGGCGGCGAGTGCCGAATACCATGTTCACATGAGTACCCATCGTTTATGTTCTGGAGTATTTATGACATCAAGACGTTCCCGTTTATATTGCTCCCCTAGCTTTGAGTGGTGCGTTTCGGATCCTTCGATTCTGTTTGCCGCACGGCTCTGATGGAATGTGCGGCCGTCGTAGATCTTGTATGTGTAGTGTAATCGCTTTGCTTGGTCTGTCGCGCTCGTCGTGTTGCTATGAAGATACCTCGCGCTAGTTGTCGCCCTTGAGAGCTAGCTAGACGTCCGTAATCTATCCCACCTCTGTTGCGCTGTTGGAATATTTTTTTCACGTAGAGCGAATAATTTGGTCTCGGCCCTTTTATGAGCTGCGAGACACGCAAGATAACTGCCACATGGAGGTCAAGGCGGGCAGACGTCCAGCTGTCTATCAGGTAGTCATTTGACACCGGAAACGCGGTGCCGGCTGGCGCATCTTGCGGGTCTTAGACTTGGTGCGTCTGCATTAACGGCCGCAGTACGTGACATGCCGGCTGATTGACACGTTCTCAGACATATATAGTCTATTCGACTATCTGATGATGATTTTCATTTTGTTCTTGTCATATTCAATCACTCATGCTCTGGTTAGACAAACCCTACAAACTGAATATATGGATTTGTTCTATTTAATTCCCTCATGTGAATGCCAACTGTGCGCAGGACTCCGGCATGAAGGCAGAACTGCGACGTTCGGGCTATACAACTTCGACGCGATTGGGACAGACTGGTCTTCCTTGAACTCGTGCCATCTCATTCAATGGTTTGAAAGCGGCCAGCGGTGAAGCCTCTCCCGACGTACGACGGGAATTCGGGAAGTGGGCGCATTGTTATCATCGAACATGTCAGTTTCAGCTAGCAATTGAAGCGGTGCCAATTCGTCGCGATAAAAGGGGCGAACGAACCAGGGTAGAATTTGTTATTTTTACTTTGTGGTACGTCCACCCAAACCCCGGCGCAGACCACATATTAGTGCAAATGCCGCTGCTTCTGACGCCAGTCTCCAGCACTTTGTTGTGTTGGCGGAGGAATGCAGCGGCACAAACACGATTTGGGCTGCGATGCCACACGCTGTTCTGTTTGTCTCTATTCTGACTCACCCTGAGGAGTAATTATATTGTACGTTCATGAAACGTCATCTCCACTCCGATCCGGAGTAGGCGGAGTAGGCCAAGGTCCCGGTTCTTGGTGATGAATAACGAGATCGGGGATTTTTTTGATCGCTCGCGCCGCGGCTATTAATTCCTTCCTAGACCACATCTGCGGGGTGTAGGACGCGGATTTATCACCATTACTGACATTGGTATACTTTGACCTCTCTGGGACGTACAAAGACGCGACACAATCGAGGGTCCACGGGTTCTTCGGATAAATTTCGATTTAATTACGTCCTTCATAGCACGGTGGGGTGTGGATCTCGTCCGGCGTATTTTTGAACGGAATGTCTAGGCTCTTCAACTCGTGCAAGTCGCGATCCTACATGGAACAGTACGGACGTAGTCCGTAAGCGATAGTTGCGCCGGACGGACGGTTGAGGATGTCGATGGGTCAGTGTTGGACCGCAACAGCGCCAGCGGTTACATTTTTCCGACTCGCTACTGATGCGCCGTTGATGTAATCGGATGTCCAGGAGATTGACAACGGCATCATACCTGACCTACAGCGTGGGCTGTGCCCACAATATGGCGCGTCGTGCAGGAAGGCAAGGCGCGGACGTTGAAGTTGGTGTGGCAGATGTGCGTTTTCTATCCTGCAGAAGAAGTAGCGGGCTATTCGCGCACCGGCCTTCGGACATAGGCCCCACCTGACCAGATTAAATTCATCAACTGACAGCCGCTGAGCAACGTGAACGGCGTTCTCTGACCTCCATAATATCAAGCAACCGAAGGGTTCCGTCGCTTCAGTGCGACTCCTTTTCGACCTTAACATCCACAAGAGCTGACTACTTTGACTTCAACGATATGCAGCTAACCCCCTATCTTGCAGATCCTCTGCTAGGCGTGGATCCGACTAAGAGGCCAATGCAAGAGAGGGCGCCGGTAAGTGTTTGCTAGCGGCCCGTGTTTCCTCTGAGGTGAACGTTCTCAGATCGACACGCCGTTGGAACATCCTCGATCACATGAGCACGGTACGCCGGTGTCCGTCTCGACGACATTCCATCCGAACGCGCTCATCGGAGACGTCCCTCCTGACGTCGTGCTCTTGTCTTCGGACAATGTGCATTTCTACGTTCATTGCTATCGAGTATTGTCTGCTTCGGAGAATCAGTTCAATTCTTTATTGCCGCCAAGCTCACGGCCAGAATCACCGGGTCACTTACCGGTGGTCGTGATGCCCGAGCCCGCTGACGTTCTGAACATCGTGATTCACACCGCGTACAGCATGGCTGCTCAACAGTTCGCACCGTCCTTCGAGACTACTGCGGCGGCACTCGAAGACCTCGCGAAGTATGGGATGCCACCCAAGTGATATGCCACATCCTTGACGCCGTTGTATTCCCTCGTATATTCCCGTGCGCCACACCATCCCATCGACTCGTATGCCCTCGCAGGCACTCACGATCTCGAGGATCTCGCGGTTGCAATCTCTCCTCATCTCCTGGCGTATCCCCTGCGCCGCGCGAATCGGTCCGGTGTACCTCAAACGTCTTTTCTCTCTGCATAAAGGTCGCACAGAAGCTCTGAAGAGCCTGCTGTTGCACCTTCCGCTTCCACACGTTGAGACGGAGGACTGCAACGAGGAGCAGCAGCAAAAACTGACGCGTGCTTGGGCACTGGCCTCTGCACAGCTGGCGTGGGATGCGACCCCCGGTATGTCCGATGTACTCTGGTCATGAACATCAGATAATTAGTAGCTTCTTGAAGACTTGTCGACAAACCTGTTACAAGCTGCGCTGCTCCCATTGGAGAAAGAGTTGAGCTGTGAGCTGTGCAAGCGGTCTCTGCGAAAGAGAATTGCAACGGTAATCAAGAAATGGGCCGCTGTGAAGGTACGCACAGGCATCAAGATGTTATCTCGGAATAACCTGATGTTTTGCTTTCAGCGAACCATTTAGCCACCGTGGACTTCGCCTGAGGATAAAAGATGAGGCAAAAATGAAAGAGACGGGTATTCCTCGAAGAAAGAAATGTAGATGATTGTGAACCACGTACAGTTCTCCAGCCCCATTTTGCACAACGTCACGTTCTGTTGGCACTGAGTCATTTTGCCAGTAAGATTGTACGATTCTCCGCCATTGAATCGAATGTACCTGGCATGTTCGTACCTTTAGCGGCCAGTACGGTCACATATCTCGAGCATGCATGCATATGCATGTTTCACGAGGAATCCCCCGTGCTCGAGGCTGTCATCTATCGCTGGATTGCCGGAACCCTGTCGTCAATGTGGCGCCTACACCTCACGTGACCGCGTCGCGTCGCGTTGGCGCCCGGAGGATCGACAAAGCATGGTCAGGTCACATAAACTTCAGCAGTAGCATGAACTCACTATAAAATCGAAACTTACACTGATTTTTAAGAGTGAATATATCCGCGGACGACCGCAAGTTACTCATGCGCACGCATCGAGAATCCAGCCAAATCCGGCGAGCTTCGTAGGGAGATCAGCGGCAGCGCCAGTATAAAGAGGCGGATAGCACATCATGGTGCCTCGCGATCTCCTTCTCCCTTATCACCACCATGCCAGCCAACCAAGGTCGCCATCCATGCCTGCCGCTTTCCCTGCTCGAGCAGCTGAAGCGGGACAAGGATATTCCCTTCAAATCATCGATGATCCACGACAATCGCTTCACCAACTACCGCTTCTACGCGATGCGGAGGGCCATCGACCCCAATCGCAGCGAGGGCGGGGCACTCTCCCTCTCGCGCGGGGACCCCCCTCAGGCGGTCATGAAACAGCTCCTAACGGGCCGCGAGTGCTCCTACCTGCATCTTGCTGCGATCACAGCGGACGTTCCGCTAGCATACGAGTGCATCAGGCTGGGTGTTAGCATAGACACCCGAGACAACAAGGGGGAGACACCACTGCTCCTCGCGTGCCGGATGCTTGCCATGCTGCCTCGCGCGGGTAAGAGGGATGCGGTGTCACGCCGCGTCGTACGCATCGCGACGACGCTCGTTGAACAGCATGCAGACGTGAACGTAGTGATGGATGGCTGCTCACCGCTTACTTACGCATGCCAGGCTTTGCAATGGCCGCTGATTGAACTCCTGCTCCTTCACGGTGCCCGTCTCCCTTCCCGACAGCCATCGGGGTTATTCGACGGCCTATCTTCCCGGTCGGACTCCTCGCGCTTCGCAGCACTCGTGAAGAAGATAGGCCCTGTCCCATCCCGCCCGCCCCGCCCTTGTCCATGTTGGTCGGGGAAACCTCTCAGCAAATGCCATGCCGCCGACCAACACCTCTACCCAGCCCATTTCTTCTGCCCGTGCGGCTCGCGCAAGTCGTATGGATATTGCTGCTCGCGGCGTGAGTTCCAGACGTACGAGGCGTGGCACACGGGGCTGGAACGTATAGAGATACGCACCGAGCGCCCATCGCTCGACCTCCCGGCGGTGCGCGTGCTGGCGCAGATACCCAATGCAAAGGAGCTCTCTGGAATGATGTACAACTTCGATGGGTTTATGAACCTACCACCTGGATATCAAGAACAGAACAAGCGCATGCGCTGCGCGATGGCGGACAGACTCCTTGCCTTGCGCGCGGTAGATCCTGGATATGCATATGCCATGAAGGAAGTAGATTTTATACCGCAGTGAGTGGTGGTGCATGACCATTGTTGACGAGGGTCAAATCGAGCCATTCATTTCTGTTTTAGGTATTGGGGCAAGAGTTTCAGCAAAGTAGAATCCGGCGGTCGAGCCAGAGAGTGGAATGATGCCATAGACGGCTATATCGCCTTGGGACAGGATTCTCGACCGCGATTGCTTATTGAGTTCGAGTGCAAGATCGCTTCTGATGGAGGACCGCTCTACAAGAGTTGTGAGGCAACCGATTGCTACCGGCACGAAGGCATGGATATGGTCAAGCTAAAGTGGTGCAGCCCTTGCCAGAAGGTATATAATATACCGTGATGGCTGCGCGTAAAGCGATCTATAACTTCATCCTGCCGTAGACGTACTATTGCAGCGAGAATTGTCAGAAGGCCACCTGGAAGGAGCATAAGAAATCTTGTGGGAAACCGGACCAAAAAGCCCAGATTTTGCTTTCACAGGAGGAGCATCAAAGATACCTCGATGCAATTCGTCCTGAATTCTTGAAGCTCTGCGAGGCTTTGGATGCGGGAGTTCCGCTCGGTGAGTATCTCGAGTTCCTGGAGTCGCCGTAAAAATATCCTGTTCTGTTTGCATCGAGCATCCTTTGATTTGCAACGTTCCTGTTTGTGTAATACACGTTCGAATATTCTGGTAGCCTGCGATAGAGGTAGTGCGTGAGACAATATGGACATCGTTAGTGAAGTTCGCGAACGTCACCCGTTCGAGGTCGACTGCCATGCGTCACGATCACGTGACCCCTCCATCTAGTCTACCTACCTACACGCCCTTTCCGTCCTCCCCATTGTGCCCCAAACTGTCGTACATCAGGATAGCCGCTATCTGTCTTAGTTACAGCGTGCGGGATATAAATTGTATTCAAAAAAAAAATCACGATCACGTGCGCGCGTTTGTCACAGTTGCTCTGTCACGGTTACCTTACGCGTTTAGTCATTTCCGACACTTTGACATTCAGTGTACATCGCTCAGCAGATATTCAGGTAGTGCACCGCACAAATCGCCTTCATGTCTCAAAACCCAAGGCGAAAAAATCACATATGTCTGCCACCTACACTCTTAAAAGAACTGACCTCCGATCCAATTCTCTCCGGACACGCATCAGTCATATACGACGAGCACTTCCAGGAGTTCCGCCATTCCACGCTCACCTACGATGCGAACCCAGATTTCTACGAGCTCGTTTCTACACTGATCTACAGAGTGCGCACATTTTAGGCGGCTGCTACCTACCTGCGATGTCGAGAAACTCCGCGCCGAGTGGGCACCTGGCAGGCGGCGCACGTATCTGCATCTCGCCGCCGTGCTGGGCGACCTGCCGCTCGCGTACGAGTGTGTGCGTCTTTGACTTTCTGTTGACGCATGCGATGACAAGGGATGCACTCCGCTCTCGCTCGCCCTCGAGGCGCTCGGTCGGCTCGGGATGAACCTGCATCAAGTCCCGTCCGACTGTGTAGTGCTCAATCAGGAGGATATTGACTCCCAGATGGAGCGCTACCGCAAAATTGCACGGATGCTCATAGAGCAGCATGCGAACGTGAACGTGCCCACGCGGGATGGGTCGCATGCCATATACTGGGCATGCTGGGGCTTGGAGTTTGATATTGTCGAGCTGATGCTGGAACACGGCGCGCAGAAACCGAATATCAAGCAGGATGAGTTCGTCCGCGCTAGTGGATATCGCGCGGCAGATACTGCGCGCATGGGCTCCATTGTGCGCAGGACGAAACGAATCATTCCCCGGCCTCCACGGCCGTGCCCATGCTGGTCAGGGAAACTCCTTTCTGACTGCCATGCCTCCGGCCCGAAGCCCTACCCTCCAGAATTTCTCTGCGTGTGCGGGTCATGGAAGACTTTCCGGAACTGCTGTGCGCGCGGGAACTTTGGGACGTACGAAAGCTGGTTCGAGGACTACAAGCGCATCGTGTTCTTCAGCAGGCGGAACAGCGACGAGGGGCTGTCGGAAGAGATGAAGAGGGTCGAAAGAAATATGCAGCGCCAGAAGGGAATGCGCATGGATGGGTGCGTCGTGATGTCGGAGGAGGACCTCGATATGCAGGCACGTCATCTTGCTCTCATCGGCGAGGCGTTGCTCGAACGGGGAGATGCCGACCCGGCCTTCGTGTACGGTGTTAAAATCATCAACTCGTTCCCTCGGTAAGCATACTATTATATCACGAACAGGTTATAGTCGCCTCACGCCAGCCGGTCAGACCGTGGGACAAACAGTACAGCAAGCTCGAGTGCGAATCGCGCGCCGAGCGATGGAACCACGCCATCGACCAATACATCGACCTCAAAACGGACAGCCGCACCCGCCTGGAAATCGAGCAGCAGAACAAAGTTGGCACCGACGGCGGGCTGCTCTACAAGCGCTGTGAGGCCGCCGGATGCACGCACGTCGAAGGGCCGCAGAGCGAGAAGATGAAGTTCTGCGGCCGCTGTAAGCGGGTATGTTCCTTCCTGACCGCCGGACCTCATACTGAATAGTCTGTCAGAAATTCTACTGCAGTACCGAGTGCCAAAGGGGAGACTGGCCGCTGCACAAGACCTCTGCAAGGCGGGCAGCCACCTGTCGCAGATGCTTTCCAGCCAGCGGGCGTATGCGATAGTCGACGACGAGATATCCCACCGCGAGCTTGCCGGAAGAGCATATATGCAAAATCGACCGAGGGCTGGGGAAGAGGAAGCGCGCTGTTGATTGGAGCGTCCGGATGGACGCTGCCTTTAACGTTTTCGTAAGTAACCGTGCTTCGCCACCTCTTTCTCGAATATCGTGCTGATCGTGGCTATGCGTCGCTAACAGCTGTGTAATTCTATCGGAACAGGCTTGGTCGCGGAAGGGCAAATTATTTACGCCATTCATGCACAATGTAAACTATTATCTCAATGTCAGATCTCCTTTGCCTATCTAAACGACCATTGGCTCGAAGATTTTGTCGGTTGGTTATATTATATTGACAGTGACCTGCCTCCCAAAGTATTGCCATAAGTGGAAGCGTGTCAAGACGCGTCGCGACGCGTCGGTGGCGCATGTCACGGTCATGCGCTCTGCGTCATCGATCCCACAAATCTCAAGCCACGCCTGGTATATTGCGACAACTTGCACTAATCTCAGCGTGAGTGACAAGATTACTATGATGAAACGACTGTCTAGTATGTACTGTACAGATGCGAGGTTAATGACCCGAAGTCTGACGGTGATACCGTGTGATGGATCCCCACAAGATACGCATACAGATCAAACCCACATGCGACAAACCTGATACCAAGCACAAGAACGAAAGTTACAGCAGAGCGAGTTTGACGCTGTCAGCTTCTCTAAAGCATCCTGATAACCCGACACTACATGTAAGAACTGTACGGTCGTTCTCGTCCGAAGCGTCCACCGAAGCAAGTACCGCATCCTGCATGGAAGGCCACAAACAGCAGCAGAACCGCAGCAACCAAGGACATCCATATCTGTGCAATATAGTCCATTAACAGCGGCCAGCGCCGTAGCATGTACACTCACTGTAGGCCCGAAGCTGGAGGAATGCCCCTGACTGGCAAAGAAGGTCGTCGCGGTGGAGGCAAGGTACACAGAAATGACGAACGCGGCGATAGAGAGTGCAGATGCAGCAAAGGAGAGGACACAAAAGAGAGGATGAGGATATCGGTCCCTGCGTGGATTGCACATGAGCGGGGCGACAGTCATCATCGAGAAGAGGCTAATGGCGGCAGCTAAGAGACATTAGCATCCAACACTATGGTATGACAGTGATGGTTAAAAGCGACATACCTACGGGATACAAGATGAGTGCTTTTGAAGTTGACTCTGATATTTCTGATCCATATGTGTAGCCCAATCTAGTGGCATACTCTTCGTCAAAGCGTGCGATCGAGCTGCACGAGATGTCACATACTGCGGGGCCGTGCAATTCCCAGAGTTCCCGCAGTAACCCCAGACACCAAACCTCACGCCGTCGTCGGCGGAAGTCCTTAGATAGTAGAAGGAGTGCACCAACGGCGCAGAGACAGACACCAGAACGCTACGATGTGATGTCATTATGTCACCACTTTGTCCGATCAAGATCACGAAGAGTACATACAGCAAAATGAACGCGGAGAATGTTCCCAAGAACATGGGGAATGCGCCATTGTACATGGACGCAACGTTGCGCCTCCTGGCGACTTACGGCTGGCGACAATATTTGATGACGAAGACGACACGAGAGGAGAAGATAAGATGCGCCGAACCAGGCTTACAGGGCCTGGCAGCAATCACCAGTTTTTGACTTGCCGACAGAACCGGTTATCGAATCAATTAGGCCACCGTGACATGGAACACGCCAGTCAAAGTCCACCGATTCAGCGGAGGCTATGTGCACCGAGTTTGCGGATTGTGGGGGAGGCGAGAGGTGCTGCTCTCCGTCTGACGCGACAGCACGTATGTATCTGCATCAGGTTTGACCCAGCTTGACCCGTTGGCAACCCGCATCCCGGGAAGGCGCCTGCCGCAGCATCAGGCACATGGTTTAGATTCCGAGAATGAGATTCCCCCCTGATCACAGGGCAAGATCGTCCATATGGCGCGCGTATCATACACATGCGGCGCACAAACAACGCGTAAACAACACGTATACGCGTCGCATATGGTTCGCAACTGCGGGGAAGGTGGTTGCATGAGAAAGAAGCGGACAGTACGGGCCTGAGATGACAGGATATACATTTCCAAGGTTGCAGATACACCGGACATTGAGCGTCCCATATCGGTTCACCGTGTCACACGCGTTGCGCGCCAGGCAGTCTCGCAGACGCTCTCGCAATATACGCAGACCATTCCTGGGTGCGCACACCAAGCTCTGCGTACAACCTTCGCTCCGCAAGGTCTGGAATAGATGCATGGACGACAAAGACACGCTCTGACGTATCGCGTAGTTGTATCAGCCGGATCATGTTCGTACCGGGACGCAGGTCCGCTGTAATGTCCAAATGCCCCATGTTCTGCCCCTGCGTTCGATGAACACGATAGCGAATAATTGATGCCAAGGAACGCACCAAGTCCGCAGGGAGATACGTTCTGGCTGTACGCCCATCCGCAGGGTTAACCTCGATCACGAGCGTCCCCGGTGCCGGCCAACTGGTATCGATGTTCCACAACATTGCAACCACCTCCGCCGGAGATGCTGCGGGATCTAGTCTCTGATTGGCCTCTTGAACTGCCATCGTGGGCAAACAGAGCAGATGCACGGAAACGTGCGTCGCATTCTCGCTGCCGGGGTCGCTTTAAATATAACTTTGTTTGCTTCTTGGAGTGGAGTACGCACTTGTATGTGGACCGCCGACGCGTCCAGCGCCGTACTGCAGCAGCCACAGGCTCTTGCAACTCAAAGGTGAAATCAGTTATTTGAGGAATTCTGCTACCAACTTGTACTGCCCAGAGCCCTGGAACCTGGTTCACGGGTGACGCATCTCCTATATGCATGTCATGGTGGGTGTCCCTCTGTAGGGGACCCTCTGACTGGTCCTCTGTCTTCGACACAAAAAGAGGAACGTCGATAGAATGCGTCAATTGACCAATAGAAGCTGATGAATTCGGTTGCTCTATCGAATGATCTAAGCTTGACCGTTCTTGCTGTATTATATCGACGTCCATTGGGGGATCTGCAGTCGGGGAAGCGGGGGACGGTTGTCGTTGCTCTATCATATGATCTAAGCTTGACCGTTCTTGCTGTATTATATCGACGTCCATTGGGGTATCTGCAGTCGGGGAAGCGGAGGACGGTTGTCGAGGCATACTATTGCAAGAGGGCTCTTGGTACGCGTCCGTGTGTGGATAGACCGCAGAGCTCTTGTCCATGGGGAACGCTGCACCATTGGAAGGCGCATTGGAAGCAGGAACAGGGTTGTCTTCGTGCTGAATTGCGGACGGATCATGCATATGCACGCCGGAGGCAGTCTCGGTCAATTCCGGATGCCGTTCTTCTGTCCTCGCAGTGGACACAATTTCGGTGTCGGTGCCGGGATGGGAACCGGATTGGTTTCCTTGTGCAGGTTTCGTACATGCAAGAACGTCCGTCTGTTCCTCCTGCGCGATGCCCGCGCTCTGCGCAAATCCTCCCTCATTCAAGCCTCGCCTCTGCATTTCAGAGACAACCTTCCTCGCTTGCTCGAGCATCTCCTTGCACCAGTCGTCCGTGAACAACGCGCGTGCGTTATGCGCAAGCACGGCGCTGTCCGTGTCCGGATGCCGTTGTAACGCGTTTCTGATGACCTGAGGGAGCATGAGCCGTCGGCATTCTTCAATCATGATGGCCTCGTCGCACGGAGTATTGCTGAGGCCCGAATGCACAGCCGGCGAGTCCGCACGCTCAGGTTGAGCGGAGCTCTCGCTGGGCGTACGGTCTTTGGTGACAAACGGATCCAAGACGCTAGCCAGGAAGTTGTCCACCGTCTTTGGAGAAACAGGTGTGGGTTGGGTGTGGACAGAGGTCTCGGTGAATGGTGTGGCCTGTGTCACTGAGTTTGCATGGGTATTTGGATGGTAAACCTGCTCATCCTCGCATTCAGGATCTGAAGTCGAGGCGAGATCTTGCGTAGATATTCGTTGAATCAAGGGCGGCGAACTGCGCTGGCTCGATGCATTGAAAGACTGTTCGGCAGTGGAGTCCAGTCGGTTGAGCAGATACGGAGACGAAGAGTTGCTTAGGCGATCCAGGAGAGAGCCAGGGCGCGGAACAGGTGATGGTTGAGAGGTATCTTGCATGATGTCCTACTGGCGCGCCATCTCCGAAAGCAGGGGTCAATTAATCATCTCGTAAGGAGTATCCTCGGTGGACGGCAGAGCTGTTGTTTTCGTCGCACAAATGAGTCGAAGTTCATTGAACCTTCAATATACGGTGATTTTTTATAATGTGGGTTTAGGATGCATTGATTTAAAATTCAACTATGCCCCATGGCTGAGTTGGTTACAGCGTCCGACTGTTACGGTCCAACTTTGGTTGCTTACATACTATCGGAAGGTCGAGAGTTCGAGCCTCTCTGGGGCAGTTTTTGTTGCACGTTCCCAACCTTACTTGTATAAATCTTGGAGTTGTACATCGGGTTGGGCAGTAGCAGCAACATTTTGCTGCAAGCATATGGCGGAGACGTTCCTCATTTGGCCAGACACCTTCAGAATCTAATAAAGCCAAACAAAGCGGTGGCATTAGCGTTCTTCGCTTAGAAGTAGCAGTGCTTTAGATTCTAACTAAATAGTCCCTCACTCCTTACTTTCCGCCATCGTCAATGATTTCAAACACGACAGAAACCCAAGTTTCCGCGCCGAAGAAGCAGAAGAAACTGAAGCCTGCGCGCAAGCAGGTGAAACCTGGTGAAGTGGAGAAGAAGGAGGCGCCTCAAACCGGGAAAGAGTACAGTGCGTACATTCAACCTCTGCTCCTTCACCATGGCTTATAACCTCTGCAGACATCTGGTACAACAAGTGGGCTGGTGGGGACCGCGAGGATAGCTATTCAAAGTATGTTTTGTTACAGATTCGCTCAGTGACGGCTTTCCCTGACGCCTGCGTTCGTTCAGCAAGGTCAAGTCGCAGACGCGTTGCAACATCAAGCGGGACTCGGGGCTCACACGTGCGAATACGACGGGCGTGAAGTACTGCTGCCTCTTCTTCGCGCGGGGATGCTGTCCGTATGGCTGGGAATGCGAATATTTACATATGCTCCCGGATCCATCGACCGCGCTGCCGGACACGTCGAAGGACTGCTTTGCGCGCGACAAGTTCGCCGACTATCGAGATGATATGGGTGGTGTTGGTAGCTTTCAGAGGCAGAACCGTACGCTGTACATTGGGCGGATCAAGGAGACGGGCACGGGCGTGGAGACGGAGGAGGTTGTGAGGAGGCATTTCAAGGAGTGGGGAGAGATTGAAAAAAGTGCGTCCCTTAACCTTGGCCCCCTTCCTTCGGTACACTAACAATCGTGTGTGCCGACTTCCTATCACAGTCCGAGTGCTGCAGTATCGCAGCGTCGCATTCGTGACCTACGTGTCCGAGTTTAACGCGCAATTTGCCAAGGAGGCAATGGCGTGTCAATCCCTCGATAACGATGAGATCCTGAACGTTCGTTGGGCGACAGAGGACCCCAATCCAGTGTCCAAGGTGGAGGAGAAGCGTCGCTTGGAGGAAATTGGCCGTGAAGCCATTCAAGCTCGCATGGACCCGCGAATTGTCGACGCCGTACGGGCACTCCGAGCGCTTGAGGATGGGGATATATTAGATGAAGGCGTCGAGGAGGTACAAGAAGAAGGGGACGGAGAACCTCAGGCGAAGAAGCGAAGGCTCGATATTGAAGGCGCACCGGATACTCAGCTGGAACGAGAGCAAGGTCACGAAGAGGAAGAACAGTCACCACAGCCCACGGGTCTCCTCAGCGCGGACACTTTGGAGAGTCTGAAGTATTTCGCCGAGATCCAGAAGCGGAATGGGCTGGGTGGAAAAGTCGTACGGGCTGTTCCTGCACCAAAGCCACCATCGGATGGGTTGGGACTGGCGGACTACGGTAGTGATGAGGATTAAGCTGGGGGAAGAGCTGCTCCTTAACCGTTGTAATCTCATAGGTCTACGCAGGGTGCTTCCGGCATGTAGATCAAGTCCATAGTAATGACGGCAACGTATAATCTAGGTATACACAGAGCGAAGTCATGTCTGGCTGCTACCACTTTCGGACCCGCCTGATGACACGCCATTCTCCTGTAGACTGAGTTGTTTAATCTCCTCCTCTGCTGCTAAGTCCTCTTCCCGCTGCTTCATGTAGTTGGACAAATCCCAGTCCTCTTCGTCCGCTTCCTCGTCCTCGAACCATTCCGGATTGTAGGCGAACTAAGACACACAGTGTGAGCATCATGTACGTGACTCATTAGTGTAAGGTGACTGACCAAGTCCCTTCCGCTCATTCCGCTGTTCTTGCCTGCGGCGTGCTGAGCATCCTTCGTCTTTCGTACGGCTTCTTCCTCGGCCTGCTTCTTGTCCATCCTGGTCCGCTTCCACTTGGCAAATGTCTCTGGAGTGACGGGCGTCAGACTAGATCCCAATTTGTGTCGCTGGGAGGCGATAATTGCATGTCAGCTGTCGCGATCATGCACGATAAAGAAAGCAAGACGAGCCTCGACTTCCAAAAACTCCTCTAGGCTGATCGTATTGGCTTTCTCAGCCTCCTCCGCAGCCTTCTTCTGGGACTTGAGCATAAATCCTGGCGGTAGTGCATGCCTATATTGACATGACTCGCCGTTTGGACACTCCCAAAACCATCCAAACCTATCCGTTTGCTATGTAAGCGATCGCATGATATGATTGGAGAACACGCCTACTTTTCCGTCTCGATAGCCTGTATGAAGTGCTTGCACACAATCTGCCGGCATCGTCAGTCACTACGTCAGGAGTGGCATTTACACTCGACACACATCGGTTGTTGTTTTTGGATTTCCATTCTTTGATGATACCACTTTACGCAGCTTCTCCTCATCCCACTGATCCATGGTATCTGTGAGACAGAGATGCCTTAGGCAAGGAGACAATAGGTCAGGAACATGAAGATGACATACCTTTCAGCTTCTCCTCCCGACTATCCTCGTACAAGTTCTTCTTCTCAACCTTCCGCCCAACGTTCATGTCATGGCTAAACTTGCACTTGTTTCCCTTCTCGCAATTCCCAGCCTTAAAGAATACGCAGAGTATAGTTTTGGGGTCGACGCCAAACGGAACCTTCTGTGTCTGTACGGGTTTGAACAGCGCAGCCTCCTCCTTCTTGCGCTTCTCTTCGTCTGCCTTGGCCTTCTCCCGAAGCGCCTTCTCCTTCTCCTTCTCCAGCTGTGCGCGCGACTTGCCCGCTTGTGCCTGCTGCTTCTCGATGGCAGCAATCTCCCTCTGGACCTTCGCTGATTTGTTTTTCTATACAACGGATGTCATGATGCGAGCACAACAGAGTGGAAAGATTTGCTGACGTTTTTCATTCCGAAGGTCTATAATTTCCTCGTCAAAGACATCTGTCAGCTCCTTGCTAGCTGCTACTTAGCATCTGAGATACCTTGTCCTCCTTGGCCTTCGAGCTCGAGCCTCCGGTCTGCTTCTTGGGCGGCATCTTGTATGTAGTGAGCAGAAGTCAACGAATGTATGAATGTTGGCGAAGGCGACAATAGATGGCCCCAGTCGAGGACGATGAGACGAGTCGATCACTCAGCTGGTCGCTTGCATTCATATCACTCGTGTGACAAAATATGACGCTTTTACTGTCACACTTCAATTGAGGGAGGACAATGCTATAGGAAACGCGCTGACGCGCATGAAATCTGAGAGGTTAAAACTTCAGAAGATCAATAAATGAATTGACCCATTTTCCCGGAGGGGGGAGGTCTTGCTCGCGATCAATGGCAGTCACTTCAAAATGATGAAATGGATTAGCCGGTTCTCGACAGCGGAAAGTATACATCTTATTTTATTCATTTTCTATTATGTAGGGCACACGAGCGGGTGCTAGCTAGCAAGTAGCACAGGATAGCCTGGGATAATAGCTCTTGTACTCGTACAAAATACGCTATGCATCTACAGCGAGTGTCTTAGTTGTTGAATGTTTCCCTTCTTCGGAGCCGTGGCAATTAGTGTCACGGTCACATGACTATCCGAAGGGTTTGGCGCCTACAGTTGAACTCTCAGGGCCACGGACGTCGGACCAGCGCAGTCTCTCCATAACTCCATCCAGATACCGCAAGCCACTGCCTAAGGAGAAGTTAATAATGGCGCACAACAAGCCACGCGGTAGCATCTTACTCTTTGACCCGCTACAATCGCCTGCGACGCCACAAAGAGAACCATCGCCGGATTCGGGCAGTTCGGACAAGGAGAACGACGACTCGCCAGGGGAGTTTACTATGCTCTTTGATCGCGTGTATACGTGCCATGCTACGCCAACCAAGACGTACAATGGGCCTCTCATTGACCTAGGTGGCATGACTCCTAGCATATCGACTCCAGCAACGCCAGGCGATCTGCTTGAAGGAGACGTGTCTGACGACCAGGCAAGCGATATGCTATCTGGTCTCTCCATGTTTCAGCAGGAAAACCCATCTCTGCTCAGGATCCCGCTTGCAGAGATTGAGCTGGAGAAACCGCCCCAGTCGAAACGACGTCAGGCTCGATCGCCATTGACAAAGCGCGCACATTCGCCCGCGAAAAATCTGTATATGCCAGCGGCCCAGAACACAACTGCTGATCCTCCGGGCACGACGCTCTCGGACATCATCAACTCAATAAACTTATCTGCCATGGCAATCTCCACACCGCATCATCAGAGCTCGCTTGTCACACTGGACGTCGTGGCACCTTCGGCTCCCAAATGCGAAGATGAGGGGGCGGCAGCGGAAGTAAAGAAACAAGAGCAGCAAGTATACAGGCAGGAAGAAGTGGATGTTACCAATCAGGAAACAGAAACTACAGCTGATGATACGATTGCGATGCCTCACTCATATTCTGCCACCGACATTGACATCTCCGCCTACTTCGACTCTAACTCGCTAACGGAAATCATCCTTCCTCCACGGACCGATTCGCCCTCGGATCATCTTTTTGCTTCCACTGCTTCCATGCTAGCTCCTCCCGTACGGAAGGCTCGCAAGGGTCTTCTCGTAAGAGACGACCCTCATCGAGCTTCGATCGACCTACAGACGTCATTCAGCATGCACATGCAATCTGGTGAACTGTCATTCGACTTAATGAACGACAAGGTGTCGTTCTTGGGTTCAGAGCGAGGAACGGACTCGTTCTGGACCGGCGAAGAAGACTCTGGTGTTCATGCGCAGAAGGAAATTAGTATCGCTAAGGGTAGATCGTCGGAGAAGGCGCGGAGGACGAGTATTGACTCCGAAGTGAACCTCGCCATTGACTGTACGTGCAATATGATTTGATCATCGTTAACATTTCTCATCCATGCTTAGCATTATTACTGACAGACCAGCCGGAATCGACCGCGGAATTGTCCGCGATGCGTACGTCGTCCGAATCTAACAACAGCTACAGAACTGATTCCATCTACTATGTATAGTTCACGTTTCTCAAGCTGAAGATTCGCATGAGGCCATCTCTTCATCGGTATTCAGTCTACCGCCGAAGGCAGCTGCTCCGGGTACGTTATGACCATTTTGATTGATCTTTCGCTTACAGGCAGATGCAGATGTGATTCCGACGCCTAAAGTGGCTGCGCGTCTTATCGTCAAGAAAACGCCTCCAGTGCATGCCCGGGGCAACTCATCTGTATCTGCGGAGTCTTCGCTGGCTAGCTCGTGTTCAAGTGAAGGCATCTCTATTCAAAGTGCAGGAAGCAGCGGCTGCAGTACTCGAGCTACATCCCCAATCAAGAGCCAGACATTGGCAGGGGGAGTGAAACCCGCAGCAGAAGTGGCCTCGATGAGTCAAAGAACGACTTCCATGACCAGATCAGCAGTTATCGTGCCTTCTGCCTCCCAAACCACATCGACCGGCCCAACGAAATCTCGCGAATCTCCGACCGGACCTGGCTCGGCTATCGAGCACGATGCGTCAAGAGATGCATCAAGACGTTTCGCAGCGGCAGGGGTGCAACGTCCCAGCGTGCAGCTGGGCGAAAAAGCCATGCCGAGTCGCAGCATGCAGGCCAGACCTAGGCTCCAGAAGTCCAGCACGGCAGTGAGCAAACCGGAGAGAACGCATAGCAACGCGACCAAGGCGAATGGTATCGCTGCTCCGGCGGGAGGGGTGAAGCCTCCTGCAGAACGTGCTAGAGCGGGTGGTGCGGTAAGCGGGCTGCCGAGGCTTGCATCGCGGTTGCTTGCCCCTGGGAGCACCAGCGGGATTCCGAGGAGTAAATGGTAAGTATTGCGTCCAGGGGCTGCCGGCAGTGTCCCTGCGAGAAGGTACCCGTGAAGCAATTGAAGGAGCCTCACCAGCGAAGCTTCACGCTTTCGGACGTCTTGTTAGGCTATCGCGTATCAGATTATTGTAAGCGTGCATGTGTTCTGTTCGTGTTTTTACCTGTCAAATTCAATTATCTTTCCCGGCAATTGTCTTGCTCAGTCTCTCGCGGTCTGAGCCTGTGCCGTCTGACCTTGAGCGAGAACCCCCATAGACCGAGTCGAACTTAGGAAGCACGCATAAGAGGGGATCGGATGGCATACTCCTTTCCCTAATACATAGACATAGGAAAAGTCACCGGGTGATTTCTGAGAGCACACGGCCACATCGTCTGCCTCGCGGTTTGCACGTTGGGCAGTTGTTGGTGGACGGCATCACAGCGATCTGCCAATCAGGCTGAGACCCCGTCCAGCCCGAACCGGGCGTCTGATGCGAAGGCGCGATCACGTGGGTATATCTTGATGGCGACCGGCGGCTTACGTAATAATGGTTTAAGTCGCATATACGGGTTCCGCTGGCGATCAGGCAGCAGGCAGGCCACTCCCACTTTCCCCATTTTCACTCTCATGATTGATGAACCCAACATGGACGTCGTGAGTCACCTTGACCGATGTGAATAGTGCCTTTGACGAGCTCTGTGCAGTCAACGTACGGACGTAGCCGACAATCCATCGCTGACTTAGAGCAAGAGCTACACGATATATTCTCTGATCACCCGCAATCACACCTGAATGACGATGGCGAACCAATTATACCGGGAAACGCGCTGGTTGACGTACTACGGGCGTTTTCGAGAAACCACGATGCCGTCGACCTTATGAAACCGGAGGAGGAGGCCCAACTAACGCAGCTGCTCGAAAGCAACCCTGGACTCGCGGTCACTCCTCAAGTTCTTCTCCAATTCATCGCAATGCGGACAACATTCAGTCCTGATGAAAGTCCAGAAGGTTCGCCTCCGCACCCTTCAGATGAATTGGAGCAACGCGGCAGGACCGAGGAGCGCGATTATAATGAAAGCCATTCACGGTCCTCCAGCCGAGATTCAACCGGGACGTCGATATTAAGGCCTCCTTCTCGCGGACCGCCGGTCCCTCCGAAGGACTCCCCATTCGACGCGACGCGTCGGCAGCGCTCTACGCCATTGAATACTACCACTGCTCCTTCCAGCTGGACGCGACGACGTCCACCGACCTCGAAGCGTACCCCTTCTCAAGATCGTTCGACGAGTGACTCTGACGTAAGTGACCGCGTGCCACGTTATTGCCTTACTCTTACTTAACGGTAACATCCAGTCAAGCAATCCTCCTAGCGCGTATAGCCGTACATCTGGTCGAAAGCGTGGTCCTTCCAACCCGATCAGTCCAACTTCGATCGACGCATCCATGTCTCCGATCGACTCTCCTTCCTATCCTATCTCTATTTCGCGTCCGCAGTCACGCGCCGGGTCGCGACCGCACTCGCGTGCCCAATCCCGATCTACGTCGCGAAACCTCTCTCTAACGCAGGACCACTTCGCCTCTTTGGATGCAGAGCTCGACGAACATAACCTAGCTTCTCCGGAATCTAGCATCGACTATGGTCCGCAGGTTCGTTCAATCAGCGGACTGATGTCCCCTCCACCTTCGGGCCAGTCTGAGACATCATACGACGATGATAACGATTTCACGGAGAGGGTCTCAACACTGCCGATGCCTCGAATGGGGGTAGAGAGCGACGAGTCGGAGTCGGAGTTCGACGACGCGTCCATCTTAGGACTGGTGATGAGCCGCTCTACGACATCGTCGACGGTATCATTGGACTTGCATGAGCGGTTGGACGCGTTGCAACGCGCAAACACCGATCTTGCGCGAAAGCTTTTAGAGGCGGAGAAGACGCTGCAAGACAGACTCGCAGAACATGAGATCGAGATTGAAGAGATGGAGTCGAGACTTGACGAGGTCAGAGGTGAGCTGAGTGCAACGAAAAGGGAGGAGAAGGAACTTCGAAACAAGGAGGTCTGTCCGCTCGAAGCGTGTTCCTCAACTGCTTACTAACAGTTCTTCTTTCAGCGCGCGAGCCAATCGCAAATTACAATTCTGGAGGGCGAGGTGACCAAGCTTACGAAGAGCTTGGAGAGTGCTCGCGCGTCGTATCAGAGTTTGCAGAAGCAATATCAAGAACAGTGTGGTATGTATAACACCCGGCTGTGGCTTTGTTGAGATTCACTGATCATGTTTATTAGCTGAGGCCGAGAGATATCGTGATTCGCTGCGGCTAAAGGACCGAGAGGTCCGGACACTCAGGGAGACTATAGCTCTTCAAACTGTGGAGAACAACAAAATGTTGCATGACATTGCGACCGCCGAGGATCGCATCAACGTTCTCGAGAACAAGCTTGTCAGCGCGAGCCATACAGCTTCACAATTAAGCGATCAGAAGAACGAGAACCTCCTGCTCAAGGAGACCATCGATCGTCTGCGTTTTGACATCGACGAGCTGCGCAACAGCACGACAAACAGCAACTTCCTCTCTGGGGCGGGTGGAACGGCTCAGAGCGACTCAGCCAAAACCCTTGGCTCGGAGATGGACAGAGCTGAGGAGCAGGCGAAGGCGGCTGAGGACGTGAATGAGGAGGCCGAGGTTTCCGCTCAGCTCACGCTTACTGAGGAACAGGAGGACGAGGATGATGAGGACTTCGTCGAGACCATCATCACGCGTACGAAGCGGGTAAGCAAGCATCATCACACTAGTTGACGATATCATTCTGAACGCGAGTTGCGGGATATACAGAAGAAACCCAATCGTGTCAACCGGGGTGAGAGCATCAAAGTGGATGAGGTCAAGGAATACTGCGATTCTGCCGCTCAACATGAGATTGCCGAGTTCATAGCATCTTGCGGCATCCAGACAGATGCCGAACCATCGGCTCTCACTGCTTCCTTCAGTATCCAGACAGATACGCCGTCGCTATCGTCGCTGTCGATACAGACGGATCCTGCGCCCGAGGCCGTTCCAGAAGTAAGACCCATGGCAAACGTGGAGATACAGACGGAAGAGATGGAAACGGAGCTTATTCCCTCAACGTCATCTTCATTCACACTATCTGAGGATGACGACGAGACCCTCGCTTCGTCTTCATCCACCCTCCTGCCACCTACCCCTAAAGCACAACACGAGGAGTTGCATCCCCACACACACGACCTCCCCCCGGACTACAATCAGGTTACCGGCCAAGACCGTGATGAGCTCGCCCTCCGCGTTGCGAATGAGACGCTGAAGAAGTGGCACAAGGGCCTGAAGCTGCCCATAGAGCCTGTGAAAGGTGGCATTTCCGAAGACGCCGCGGAAGACTGGAAGGCGCTCAAGGAGGAGCTAGGCGTCGAATGCGCGGCTATCGACAAGATGGTCGAAGAGTCCGCAAAACACCGTTCACCGCGTGCCGGCAAAGATGGTGAACACCGCCGACGGCGGAGCCGCTTTTACAACATCTACAACACATACTTCCTTGGCGAGTCGGAGGGTGGGTCCGCCATGTCGACCACTCAGTTCCTCTTCTGCATCGGTGCCTCTGCGGCGGTCGCGTTCATCGTCGGACAGGCTATGGCCCCACACTATGTTGTGCCTGGTGGGCCCACCTACTATGATCGTGTTGCCTGGTCGAGCTTTAACTCCATCCAGGCCACAGGTGAGGGCTTCCCTGGAGACGGCTCTACTGCTATTTGGAACGTGCTCGGTCGGCTGCTTGGCTTTGGGGCTACGAGGCAGCTGCGAGCATGGCCGACATAGTTTAGCCCTCGCGCCGCGGATGTATGTTTATCGCTATTTATCTTGAACGGATCATCCAGCTCAACCCCCTTGCCGACATCTTGTGCTCTAGTTCCGGGACAGATTCATTTTTTCCTCCCTCAGACTTTGTGCAATATGAATCGGCTTGCGGATTGGATAACGATCATCTCACGACGTCCTTGCAACGTGTCCTGCATGATATCCTTCAAGATACCGTAATACCTTGTTGCTTCCATATGATTTGAGTTGTGTATATTACAGATATGTGTAACAAGCATGCCAAAATGCGCCCCGCTCGCCATGGCAACGTGGCTCGTTCTAATGCTACTGAATGAAATGCTCAAGTGAAGTGATGGCACAGGGGTAATAGGGTGTCAGTATGCATGATGGGGAGAGGGAGAACGCTGACACTGTGGTACAACCTTAGTAGAAGAAGCGATGTCTAGTAGGGTGAATGGCGGTGGGGGGAGGGTGGGGGAAGGAAAGTGTGAATGCGAACGCCTGTCCGTTTCTATGAGCTGCTGCAATAAATCATGTCCTCCGCGCATATACACACCGAGAGAGAAATCATATACAAATCATGGGCCGCTCTCTATGCGAGCTGTCGGATGCGACGGCCCCGTTGCCCGTGCCCGTGCCCGTGCCCGTACGCGACGTGGACGGTCGGCGCGTGCGCACTTCGAGGCGCACTTGATCCTCGTCCTCGCTCTCCTCGTCCTCGTCATCCTCATCCTGGTACATCTGACTTGTGCTAGGTTGGAGCTCCATGTCATCGTAAGAGAGAATAGATGAATCAGAGTCGTGGTCGTACGAGCTCGAGGTGTCCGAGTCGTGACGTGACAATGCCTGTTCGATGCTAGGCTGCACGATCTTGCACGAATGCGCGAGCGGGCTGCTTGCCCGCGGCCGGATTTGACTCTGCCGGGCTGCATCCAATGCTGCAGGGTCGGGCGCTGACGCGGGCTCGCCGACGTCGGTCCGCTGAAGAAGTGCGTAGGCAGCCGATATAGTAGGCGGCGGTGAATGTCCCAGACTTTGAGAGCTCATGGACGACACCGTGCTGAGCAGGCCACTGGGAATTGACGGGATAGGGCTTTGTGCGACGCCGCCCGCTCCGAGGAGAAGGGTCTCGTCATCCAGCTCGTCCCCTCGATCCCCCGAATACAAGCTCGTCACGTCCTCCGACGGCCTCCCGTAATCCGCGACCTCACCCCAGCTCGCTGCACGCATCGCAAACGTAATCGGCCCGCTCGAGTTGCTCCTCCGCGACGGCACTGCCGCATTGAACGCGTCCTCACTCCGCCGCGCAAGCCTGCCGCGTCCTCGGATGCTCCTGCTGCGTCGTGGTGTTGATGACCCAGTCTCTGGTGTGGCGGCCTGCTTCCGCCAGCCCCGCATCCAAGGCCACGACGAGAGCGACAACCGGCTCCTTGGTCGGTCTTCCAGTGTCGAACTGTCCCCGCTCGGTGTCGACGCCTGGCTGCAAGACGCCGGAGATGGCTGCGGCGAGCCTAGTCGCAACGGCTTCGGAGGTACCTCGAGCGTCATGCCGGGCATCTTGGACGGAAACGACCCGCGCCGCTGTTTGTACATATGTGGCGCATGCGTCTGGCCAGACGACGATGACCCTAGCTTGTCCCACATCTCGAACGGCTCGAAGCTCGACCCATTCTTCAACAGGTGCGGGCTCACATCGGGCGTCGACTTGTTGCGTGACACATCCATCCGGCGCGACTGCCGCTGCTTGCCCTTGTCCCGCTCGAGTGGCTCACGATCCCGTGAGGACGCCTGCCGGTGGGGTGCACCGGTCGCGGTGCGGTGCCGGACGAGCGATGGCGCGGAGCGCACACCGACGTTCTTCGTCTCGTCCTCGCGCGGCGTGCTCGAGCTCGACCACGGGCGAACGTTCCGCCAGAAGTGCGTGATGCGGTTCGCAACGCCGGACCACCGGAAGCGCACGGAGGACATGGCCGAGCTTGTCTCGTCGGCGGTGACCTCGAGCGACGACTGGCTTCCCTTGAGCTCGGTCTCACGCAGCCACTGCTGTGGATTCTGCAGGTCGCGTAAGATCCACGGATGTCTCTGTATGCGCGCATACAGTCAGCAATTACCGCGTATATCCGCGCATATACCCACACACCTTTACTTCATCGAGCGTGATCCGCTTCCTCGCGTCCTTTTCGAGCAGCCGCTCCAACAGGTTGACAACAAGGTATCCCTCCGTCTCTTCACCCTTCTTCTGTGGCTTCTGATGCCGGCCGCCGGTCGGGATCTGGTCGACGCCCATATACGGGTCCACGTCCCAGTCTTGCCGTCGGATCACCTGGAAAATCTCAAACTCGTTCGCCGCGCTGAACGGCAGGTGCCCGAAAAGCAGTCCATACAGCGTCACGCCGAATGCCCACACGTCGATCGCCTTCGTAATCGCGGGCTTTCGCCGCGGTGCAGAGAGCTGCAGCGTACTTGACGACGAGGAGGCCTCGACTGATGTATCGGTTACAATTTCGGGTGCGAGAAACATCGGCGTGCCTGCGGTCTTTGACAGATCCGAGTCGTCCATCAGAATAGGATCCTGGTCGTCTGGGTCGATCGACCCTGATCCAGCCGCGGCGAGTCGCTGTGCATAGGAGAAGTGTGAGACACCAAAATCAGTGATCTTGACAGTTCGTCGGTCGGCGGACCAGAGCAGATTAGCGGGCTTGATATCGCGATGAATGATACCTTGGTGATGCACTGCACATCGCGCCAAGCGAAACGAGAGAACGGTAGAAGTGAGCGCTGGTAGTCAGCAACTGCGTTATATGACGAGCTCTGAACAGCTCACGGTACTCAAGACCCAAGATGACGTCTCGGCATATTCGTCTTGTCTGCTCCACACGCAGGACAGGCTCATCGTTGGCGGTGCGCCACTTGATCTCACCGCCCTGCAGGTACTCCATGACTATACATAGGTTGCTCACATGTTAGTTCATATCTAAATATGATTGATAGAAGCCACGCGCTTGCTCAGCAAGGTAGCAATACGGTTGCACGGGCGTATTGCAGCCGTGCTATCATGGGTGGATACCCCACATCGGTCCCGCATAGCCAGTACCGCCGTCACGAGGGCAAACATACAGCATGCGAGTGCACGCACCGTGGGCAGGCAGCGTACAGGAGACAGCGACGACGAACTCGAGCGAATGAGACGTACCCATGTAGATCTTCTCTGACAGATTATCATCGATGACTTCGAGCAATCTGACAACGTGTGGATGGCGACACTTCTTCATTATCGCAATCTCCTTGCGGATCTTGTGTTCAGTGCTGCCTAGCTGGTCCGTGAGTGGGAGGTGGGGCTGGCTGGGCAGCTTGCGCTTGCGCAGTTGGCTCAACCGGTCCTGCCTGGGATTCTTCCGTTTCACAACCTTGATAGCCTGCACACACACGCACGCATGCACACACACACAGCCCACACGGGCACACACAGACGGCCACACGTCAGTCACGCACCCTCAGAATGTGGCAAGGCACGCACCACCTCGCGTCCGCCCCTGGACGTGTCGCGAGCGAGCCAGACCTCGCCGTGTTGGCCGCGCCCGATGCGATGGTCAAACTCATACGAATTGATGATGCGGCGGTTGTATGGGCTCTTGGAGAGACGGACCTCGTGGGTCATGATGACCGCGCTGGCAAGGTCGAGGACGTCGTGCTCAGCAGCGTCCGGGGCGTGGTGCTGGCCAGAGCCCGAAGGGCCGTCGTCTGCCACCATGTGTGTCGGTGACGGGTAGGTGCCAGCTTCGGGAACAAGGACGGGGAGATGAGAGGAGGAGGAGAAGGGATGCGGGGAGAGGGACGGTAACGGGCACGGTAATAATCTGAGAGGCACTCCACTCCACGGTCGGTGGCAAGTCCAGTCATGGGCGCTTATCTGACGGCGGCGTAACTGGCATCGCGTAAGCGCCCCCAGATCCCAGACGATCTCGCCCAGTAAAGCTGATCTGACCCAGCAATTCAGACAGGACGCCCTCAGCTGCGCTCGTTCGTTACGACCCCAAATATTTCATCATTCGCTTCTACTCGTACATCATTTCCCTCGAAACCACCGCCGGCTCTCCTCAGCAGCAACACCCTCAAACTACGGCACTCAACGCGGGCACGTGCAGCGGTCCTCCTCCTTCACGTCTTTCATCACCTGCGGGCGCGAGTCAGCTTCAGAATCGAACAGAACACCACATCAGGCGAAGACAACACCGTGTGGGCAAAAAATTAGACGTAGGAGATGGCCACCGTTGTTCTGGAGCGCACAATGTGCCCGGAACAGCGCGAGTCACATCTCGCGGTACATCTCGCGGTACATCCGCATACTTGATGCAGCCCGCTGCGCAGACAAAGCCCCGCTTCTCAGTCTAGCCGACTCCGCGCCGCGGGTCGAGATCTCGCGTCCAGTAAGAGGAGAACCATTCACTCACCTGCTCGACGTGCTGGCCACAGCCCTGCAAATACCATGAAACGTAATGGTCAGCTCGCGTTCCCAGGAGAAGCAACAGAAGAATTGTGGTAAAACGGAATCTGGATCGCGTGCGGCCACATCGGCGGATCATGAATCGCCGAGAAAATAGCCGGTTATGGCATCGTCGACCGTTGGCTGATGCATAATGGCCGATAATGACGCTCGAACACGCATATGTGGCTCTGAGCGCGCAAAGGCGACTGGTGGCCAGTATCGCGGGTAATCCGAGCGCGTATATGCGGCGAACCGAATAGAGCTCCTATATAGGTACCAGGATCCCGAGGCGGATCTCCCGGAGTCTTTGTTCGTGGTAGTCCCCGAGTCGATTACAGCAAGGGTCGCGGGAAATCTGAGTGCATACACACGGAGAGCCGAAGAGATCTCCTGTGCACAATGCAGGTACCGCCACTGGGCGGTGGGCCTTCCAGGCCGCCTCTCAAACGCGCCAACCGATCGCACAGAACATGACACCGATGATCAAGGTCAAGAACGTACCTTCCAAGTGGTCTTGCCGCACTTGTCGCACTTGACGAGGAAGCAGGCGTTAACAGGGACAAATTGCTCGGCAAAAGCCATTATTCTGCAAATGCAGCGGTCCAGATCAGGGTTTGTAAAGATGGATCGAGGACGTTACCGCTGACCTGATGTATGGATGCTATGCACAGTAATGCACGAGCGTTCGTATGTGGTTGTGGATATGGACGCGAGAATCTAGCACGACAAAGTCGGTCATCGTCCGCTCGTCAGCATACGGGATCTCGGGGAGATCGGCGGTGCTCACACAAAGATCTGTACGAAGCGGAACCCGAGTGCACTTAGCCCATCTGCGCCCGCAACCACAAACGAGTCGCACTCACCAGACGTTTGAGAGAGAAACGGCGAAGACGACGCTGACGAGTTTTTGCAGTTATAGGCTGCCGCCGATGTCACAATTCCGAATTTGTGTAATCTGGCACGTGATGAAAGGCCGCACGGGAGCCAATCACCGCAGCTAATGGTCGCGTGTCCGTGGCGGTCGGGAATTGCTCGGGCCCCACGTCCTCTCAATATTAATGCTGCGTTCAAATCGCTGTAAATGGGAGGTAAATAGTTTAAGTGTTGACGTTGACTGGCGGTATAAGTTCATACACGCCGGGCTCGACCTCCAGCAGAGCAGTCCTAGGGCAGCACAGACGTGCAAATGTCCTGTGCATACCGAACGCAAGCCTGACAAACCACCGCTCTAGCCGATGCCATTGCAGCCCTCGAATTCCGAATAACCCCACTGCTCGTGACTATCCGCCTCATCCTCAGGCAGAACCCAAGCATGATAGTGAGATATGCTTCTGACCGTTGCCATTGAAGCGCCTGGCGAGGAAAATCACGAGCCAGTGCAGAGGGCAATATTACGACGGCGAGGGAACGATGCCCGGCGGTCGAGGTCAGAGGACAGTCCAGAACGCAGAAGATGAAAAACGACATGTTTGACAGACCGCCGGGAAGGAATTTTGTCTGGACACGAGCGATCCATGTCATGTTTGACAGCAGACGCTGTGGCGCTCTGCGAAGAGCACTTATAGTCAAGCCTGGCGTTACACGTTTGGGTGCCTTGTGTTCGCACTAGTCCGAATGAATTAGTCCGAACAGTGATTATTTTCAATGCGCACCCAACAATCTCCCACGCCAACGTCACCGTGTTGGTCTTGAGAGCTATACCAAGCAGACATCATAAAATGACAATGCAGCATCTCTGCATCACTAGCTATGGCCGCCGCTCCAGAACCCTAAGCATTGCGCCCGGAAGAAGAACCAAAGTGGTACGCCAGTGACTCGAGTCCCAATACATCGGTAGCTTTCGTAAAACTTCTGACACAGATCCACGCGAAGCAAGGACCCCTTCCCCGCAGACAATCGCAGCTCGGGTTCAATACTCAATGGCCGCGCAGCCCGTTGAGAAGCATCAGGGGCTTGATGGACAAGTGAAGTCCGCCAGATCGCAGCCCCGTTGAGTCCAGGACATTGTTTCATTTTGAGTCTTCTGAGTTCGCCAGCTCCGCCGTCCACGAGCGGAAGCGAAGATGAGTTTGGACTGATAGATCTATCGCCGGCAGGCTAGCCAAGGTTCTAAAGAGTGGCAAAGCGTCCCAGGAGGGCGGTGGTCCTATCATCACCACCTTCTTGCGCATGGGTGGGCACCGCATTTGAGACGGATATGATGAGCATCGCCGCCGAAGATGTACTTAGTGGACTCCGACGCGCTAGGCCCGTGCGAATAGACGCGATCAGCGATATATCATTTCATTAGTAGGCACAGCCCATATGCCACCCGCAGATATAGATGCTCAAATTCTACACACCATGAAATAGTACGATCTAGATCATGTCATCTTGCCTTTGCAATTCCCAGGCCCTTTCGCTCGCCAACGCAATGTCATTTTGAGCCCTTCGCCAGCGCCTTCCGCGCATCGAGTACGACCCTTCGCAGGCGGCGCAGCGCTTCGTCGACCTCCTCCGCGGGCAATAGGCTGAACGACGCACGCACATATGCCGTGCGACGTCCGCTTGGATAGAATGTCGTACCGGGCAGCGCGAGTACACCCCGCTTCAGCGCGATCGTCCGTATGAGGTCCTCTGAGTCGTCTTCCACGTCCTGCCCGGCGCCTGGCTCGCTAAGCAGCAACTTGAACCTACCCACACGCATACATATTAAGTGAACTGCAGGCGAAAATGAGAAGCAGACAACCACACACCAGAAGAACATCCCCGCCTCGGGCGTACACCACTCCGCGAGGCCCGCGAGGTGCCGCTGCATTGCGGCCTCGAACACGTCGCGCTTCGCACGATAGAACTCCGCCACGCGCGCGGTGTGCGCGGAGAAGCCCGCGTAGCCCCATGAGGAGAGGACCTTGTGCGCGAGAACCTGCGAGAAGGACGAGGGCTGCAGGTTCACCATCATGCTCTACGCGAATGAATATCATCTGTTGGCAGCGAAGGGGGAGGGCTCGGAGAACAGGGGGACGTACGTGCACTTCCATTGCCTTGAGGATGGGCTCGGGCCCGGTGGCGAAGCCGATTCGAATGCCCGAGGAGAGAATCTTCGAAAGGCTGTCGAATCGGAGCACTCTGCCTACTTCTGGCTCGGACTTCTCGAGAGAGAAGTAGGACGGCGGACGGCTGGCAGCACCGTAGTAAAGGTTGTAATATGGGTCATCTATAGTACGTCAAGCGAATCAACATTGTTGATCTGTTTGATTGTATAGAGAAAGGCGGCACCTTCGAGGATTAGGAAATCATGCTCTCGGCTGAGCGCGAGCACCTCTTTGCGGCGCTCGACGGTCGCCGTGACGCCAGTCGGATTCGAGCCGTACTACTCCAGATCACACGTTACCTTCCGTGACGCACGGCAGTGCATGGTACCGACTTACGGGTATGGTGTACAAGACTTTAGGCTTGGGTTTTGATGCGGGCCAGCTCTCCAGCATCGTGCGCAAGGAATGCGAGCAAATGCCCTGGGCATCAGTGTGGACCTCTGCGAATGTAAGTTTATCTGCACTCTCTAGATACGCTTAGAGTTGTCTCACCAATCATGTCGCATTCGAGCGCATGGAAGATAGGGAGGACGCCTCTGCGAAACAGGCATAGGAAGCACGCTGAGAAGTTCAAGAATCGCGACGCACGCGTATACAGGTGTCTCCACGAACATCGCATCGCCGGGGTCCAGCAGCGCGGTCGCAGCCTTCACGGAACATAACATCCAGAATCAGCCCGACGATACATTAATGTCCCCCACACAAACGCATACCTTGAACAACAAATCCTGCGATCCCGCGCCAACGCTCACGCCCCACCCTTCGCCTTTTCCCCGTGCATGCAAGTACTCCTGCAGGCCAAACATCCACTCGCGCAGATCGTGGAAGCCGGAGGTGGGGCCGTATTGCATACCTCGGTTCAGCTCCTCCTCGGTCAGCTCCATCTTGACATCGCCTCCCGGCCTGGTCGGGTCCCGCATCGTGAACTGGAGGGATGTGATCGGGAACGTCTCCGCGTTGGGCTTTCCCGCGAGCAGCGAGATCAGGCCGGGACGGCTCTCCAGCGGGAGCAGCGCGCGGACTACAGGCGGGTCGCATCACGCACGAACACTGAAGATGGAGGCGCCGACTTACTGCCATCTTCCCGACGGCTGCGGGCTGCCTTGGAGAGGCGGGCAGCGTAGAACTCGGGCGGAAGCACGTTCAGCGGCACTTTTGAAAAGGGATCGCTCTTGTGAGTACCGTCGCGGGCAGAAGGGCCGTTAAGGTGTGTCATGGTACCGTTTATGGCGACCCTCGCAGTTTTCTCAAATATTAGCACTTAAGAAAGGCAGGGAGGATACTCTGCTGCGTTGCGCAGATCTCGAGCTCGGGGTTTGGACTTTATAGAGCATGCATGTGCCGCACCATATGGCCGGCTAAGTCATCAGTGAGTCATGAGAATTGAGAACGGTTGGCAATTTAGTGCCGATGCCAAGGAGTTTCAACTGAGCAACAATGATTGAATAAACCGCGCTATAGTAGTGGAGGTTTCAGAGCGAGCGTTCGACTCTGAACATCATGGACATGGACGACGGTGGTGTTGCTGCGCGCGCTCGTAGCAATACAGGACCTGCCATTCCTGGCCGTCGATCTTATTGACAGGTTCGACGCGCAAATCTGAGAGCTTTACACAGAGCGAGAAGATCAATGCCATACTTAATCGCTCGCCGGCAGCCTGACAGCCTGGCAGGACCATGCGGTCGACAAAGAGCAGCAGAGCCAGCTGACCAGACAGTGGGCGGCCAAGTGCGATCACGCTCAGCCACAACTGTATTTGGCGCTATTGACGGCCGCGCGAATACTGGCAAACTCTAATTTTCCGCGTCCACACAACATCGCGCAGGCTTCGGCGCCGTCAAGACCTCAAGACTATCTGCAACAATGGCCTCTCGCCCCACCGTCAACGTGCGCTCGACGACTGGAGGTTCGTCGGCCATAAGGTCATAGCGTTAGAAGGAGCTGATTTGCGTGTCTTTTCGTGGATAGAGGCGTCGAGCTCTCTCCCCCTGCCCGCGGTCCTCACCGCCCCGATTAGGCTCGATGTCGTGCAGCAAGTGCATAGTGAGTAATATCAGTATTTTTGACAAGCTGGTCTCGATGTCTCGCGCAGAGAGCATCGCGAAGAACAAGAGGCAGGCGTACGCTGTCAGCGAGAAAGCCGGCCACCAGACCAGCGCCGAGTCCTGGGGTACTGGTCGTGCCGTTGCGCGTATCCCCCGTGTCGGTGGTGGAGGAACCCATCGCTCCGGCCAGGTACGCACCAGTCAGCAATGCGCGAGAACTCGTAGCTCAAAGTATGCGTTAGGCTGCGTTCGGCAACATGTGCCGCGGCGGTCGCATGTTCGCACCCACCAAGACCTGGCGCAAGTGGCACGTCAAGGTGAACCAGGGCCAGCGCCGTTTCGCCGTCGTTTCTGCGCTCGCAGCCTCTGCGCTTCCGTCGCTCGTCCTCGCTCGCGGCCACCGCATCGAGGAGATCGAGGAAGTGCCCCTTGTCGTGTCCTCTGCGATCGAGTCCTTCGGGAAGACCAAGGAGGCGGTCGCCCTCCTCAAGTCGCTCAAGGCGTACAGCGACGTCGTCAAGGTGTCCAACTCGCGCAAGCTCCGTGCCGGCAAGGGGAAGATGCGCAACCGCCGCCACCGCCAGCGCCGTGGCCCGCTCGTCGTGTACAACGAGGACAAGGGTATTGTCAAAGCCTTCAGAAACCTGCCCGGTGTCGAGCTCGTCAACGTAAGGAGACTCAATCTTCTCCAGCTTGCGCCTGGCGGTCACCTTGGTCGGTTCGTGATCTGGACTGAGGGTGCGTTCGGCCTCCTCGACGAGGTCTTTGGCACCTTCGACAAGCCCTCCATCCACAAGAAGGACTTCATGTACGTGATCTCCTTCACGATTTCTGTTGGCTCAGTTCTGATCTCGATTTGTGCTACAGCTTGCCCACCGCCAAGATCAGCAACCCCGACGTCACTCGTTTGATCAACAGTGACGAGATTCAGTCTGTCGTTCGTCCCGCTGGCCCTAAGCACCAAAATCGCCCTTGGACGCAGCACAAGAACCCTCTGGTCAACAAAGGCGTTCTCTTCCGCCTGAACCCCTATGCAAAGACTCTCCGCAGGCACGAGCTTCGTACGTGTTTGCTACCTGACATTCACTGTGAATCATTGATTCTCAGCCTCCTTCACAGTCAAGCAGGAGCGCGTGAAGAAGCAGAAGGCGAAAGCGAAAGCGAAGGCGCCCAAGTCTGCTGGCGAGACCTTCTTGAACACACTCCTCGCCGTCTAAGCGAGTGTTTCTCCGACTTTCCGAGCTGGTGCTGTAGGAGGAAACTGGTCGCGGTCATGCCTTGCGGTCTGGCATTTACCTTTACGCTTCTTGCTGTTGCTACTTCATGTATTCATCTATGACTTGCATGCTAGAAAATGCTGCTCATGCGAAGCGCCGAAAGGGATTTGAGCTTGTATCCTCACGTGACCGTGATGCGTTATCGTTACCATGGGTGCGTCCGAGTCGGGTTTGCGCCGCCGTACCCATTGTTGCGAAAAGGGACGCATCAGATGCACAAGCAAGCTCGGAAAATCAGCACAAAGGCACAGTGTAAAGGCGGACGGTGAAGTGTGCGCGAACAATTACACGGCAAGAGGATTTCGCTTAGTGTGCTCTGGGCGACCGCATGCACCACACGTTGCGAGGCGGTGCCGACCTGCAACGCTGCCATTGTGTGCTGCTCAGATACATTGTGATGGGTATGACAAGGGAGGCACTATCGACAGTCTAGAGTCCTTGACGGGTATATAACTCGAGGTGTGGTGGAGGGGTCGACGCCGCCCTGCCACTATCGATCAATCCACACTATCTCTCTTTTTCTTTCACCTGGTTGTGATAATTTTCCTTGGTACGTTCGTCCTTCTAGTTTCACGCCAGCAGACGCTCATATTTTTTGTACGGCAGTTGCTCACGATATAATGACCACCGCAAGCCAGGTTGCCACTGCGGCTGTAGCATCCACCACAGTCCTTATTTCTCTTTTGTACGCCATCGGGCTGTACTTCGTATATCGATATGCACAGCGGCATCCAAAGGGTCTGAATGGAGCGTCGAGCACGCGTCTGTACCACTATGCGCCAGGTTAGCATGAAGTCTGAGGACCTGGTCTGTATGAAGTCACTGACATGTGCCATAGTTGTCTACGTGGTGATCATCTATCTCAGCATTATCGAGGTATGTGACGATGATGACTGTTCGGGACCTCTACTGAGCGCAGAGCCAGATCGCCATTGGCACTTGGTTGTTGGTAACATACCGCCTCATCGGATACTACGCCGGTGTTGAAGTACACAGCGCCATCTGCCTGAGCATGTCAGTCCTCCTTGCCATGTCTCAGGACACCAACTAATCTCTCTCTGCTCGTGAATCAGATTTTCCGGCTCTTGGTCAATGACGTTTGCAACGCTTTACGTCGTCTTCGTTGTCCACCCAACTCTGTCAAAGAGTCTCGTGGCCTCCGTTGGCGTGCAGTTCCTCTGGACGCTCGTCAGCTGGGGCTTCTGGGTCGCCTCCGTTGCGATGTTGAATGGCTCACTGTTATTCTCGACGCCGTGGGTCTGCGCGGGCGTCTGGTATTGCAGTCAGCTGCAGGCACTTTTCGGTGAGCGGATATCTTCTTCTCCATGAAAAGCGCGATCTGACTATTGTGTCGTAACGTAGCGTTTGCTATTATTGAATTGTGAGGCGCTTCAGCTGTGGAACTTGTTTGGTTGGCTGATATCATCCTCTTCATAGGGTTGTGTTTTCGCTGTGCATGTGTGCACTGGCGTGGCTTATATGGCAGCGGTCACGAGCAGGCCTCAAGGCCCCTCTCCCGCGGTGAAACCATATGTACCAGCATACAAGGATTTTAATTTATATTCACCTAGATGTAGTGTAATTGCTTCTGTATATATGTACATTAATGACAGCGCTCCGATAATGAAGATGGACAGGTCCTGCCTGCCGGATAGAATCCCGCTCGTCCCATAAGTTATCCGTAGATCACCAGATAGGACGGTCGGACGGCATCGTTGGTGTACACCACTAGCTCGTCGTGGTTGAGAATGCCACCTTTCTCCGCAAGTACCTAGACAGATGTTTGAGATGCAACCTCAACAAAGAAAAGGCAGCTGCTCACCGAATCAAACCCGGCTGGTGGTGCGGTAAGTGAAGGTTTATCCATCGTCAATTTATGTCCCTTCCCCACCACGACCTTGTTGAGGAGCACAGCTTTGTAAGGTGATGCGGTAATGTTCTGCGAGTAATCGTTTGATCTAGCATCTGCCAATGAGTTTCGGACATCGCTTGCATGCGGATCGGGTACGTACTTGGACGACGTGGACGATGTATAAATGCCAGCGCCGAATCTTTCAATGTTTTGCCACGTCAGCAAGACGACAGTCCATTGGCGACGTAAGCTAGGCGTACCTTCCCCATCCTGTTTTCTTGGCGAAAAACTTGAGGTCGAACGACGTTTTAATGATGCAGCACAGAGAGCAAGTCGCAGACGAGCACAATTGCGCATTACTGTTGTCGCCGAGCGTGCATTCACGTCTCGTCCCATGCCACCGTCGGTTCTCGTTGCCTGCAGGCCGTCCTGCAGCCACGAAATTACCGCGGCTCTCGACCGCCGCCCTACGAACTCATGTGATCAGTCTCATTCTGCATATAAGTATGGCGCGCTCCGTACTTGTATTGCTCGTATTTGTCTTGAGACGTCTTCGACTCCACAATCTTGTAAATATATCTGACGGTGGGGCACGGAGTAGCATGTCTCCACGAAGATTTGAATTGTTCAGCAACTGCCGCCAACTCGTCAATGACTCGTCGGATACAACCTGATCATCACACCGACCGCTCTTGTAGACGGCATGACCCTCCGGAATCTCGAGGAGCACTATAGCGTGCTTCTGCGCTTCTGCAGCGCACGCTCTTGAGCAGTAGTGGAAAGTGCCTTGTTTCGGCCTCTGAAAGCACCAAAGGCATGCCGTCTCTCCCAGACTGAACTGAAGTCAGCAATGCAGCGTTGCGCGTACAGCAGTGGAACACGTGAACGTACTTTTTATGCGCGTTTGTGCAGTACTTTCCCGTGCCATTGGCGGATTTGAATGCTGGTTTATTGCAACCAGGCAGCAGGCATAAGCCGTTCGCTGTCAACCACATGAAGTGCGTGCAGGGCAAATCGCTAGCAACCTACTAATGGCATTCTTATTGATGGTATTTCGTTGTGGTGTGGCTGGCTTGTGTTTGCTGGCGCACGTTCGACTACAAAACTGGTGTTTCCGCGTTCCGTCAGTAAATTGCGGCCGACTCTTGCAGACCTAACATTGAGTGACATGTCTACTCGTCAACAGTTGATGAGAAGACTAAATTCTTGTACATACAATGCACATTGTTGCGTTAGTGGGCAAGGATTTCCGAGAGGATGCAGTGTTTGCACACTGCTTCCCGCAGTAAGGATGCGTGTAACCGGTGCTCTCCACATACTTCGGGCGAGCACGACATTCCTGAGACCACGTCAATCCAATTGAACACTCGTCGTAAATGCTATTGTACATACCTCGCAAACATTGAAATTAATCATTCCAAGGATGGCATTGACTGGCAGTGTGGAATTTTCATGAGCACGAGGGTGCGTTGGGTAAGTCGCAGTCAAACGACGGTAGCAAGTCACATAGTACTACATGCGGAACTCATCGCTGCAGAATCAAGTGCTGAGACGTACCATTGGCCATCGTACAACAGGAAGGAACTGAAATGCAAGCGATTGCGCGCAAGTAGAGCTCAGCGAGGATGATGGCGGCCGGCACCTAGCTAAGGAGCACTGATGTACATGAGCCCGTATGAGAAAGGAACTTTAAACTTCAGCGCGCACCTGGCACCTGCAACACGCCTTTCCCGCATTGTTTCATTGTGTTAGTCACTTCTCCGTGAACGAGGAGAACGCGTGCCAATTCCTCATCCAGGTAGTACATTAAGACGGACGCAACCTTAGTCGCATCCTCAAACTCAACGATGCAGTTCTCTCTCAAGTCTGTGATCGGGTGGGGTTCTTCCTCTGATGCACCGGCAGCGGACGGTATGTGCGAGGTAAGCGTGGAATCAATTCGTCGCGGCGCGCTCATTCATGTATGTTTGTCAATTGAAGACATGCCATATCCGGCCGAAGTACGTCGAACATGGACGTCAACATCCGTATTGCAGCAGGACATGCGCGAGGGACGGCCACAACCGCGCTTCCTCCTGCATGCTGGAAGGGTGCCGGGAAGAAGGGGACCCTGCACAGGGCGGGTTCTGTTCTGAACAACATGCCAGGTGTGTGGCAATCTCCACGAGGCTGGCGGAAGCTGATAGTACGTACAGAGATGCAGTTCGATCGAAACAACTGAAGGCATGCACTAGCTGCCGTTGGCGCCCCCGGACTGTAGGCATGCTATGCGCATCATGCAGCGCGAAGACTAGCTCTGGCCCAGCTCTGATAGAATTGAGCTCCGAAGGTAGGACCTTCCGGCGCGGTGCGTCCTGACTGTAGCAGTCTGTGACGTTCTCGACTTATCAATGCGCTAGTTGCCGATGACTTCCTTCGTGCATGGAAGGGCAACGATCCTCCCTCCGTACGAAAGGTTGTGGAAATACAGCTGCCTCAGGAGATCCGCACGCGGCACTATCAATACCGGTAAGTTTCAACCTTTTCTACCCCAAAACGTGGACCTAACCCAATCTCAGCAAGGGCTTAGAGTCCACTTCAGCAATCCGAGAGGTGCCTACTTATCATTCTTCGCAATGCATCTGCGACTTCGGAGTAAAAGACCTCTGCCTCTGCAATTGGGATTCGTGCGGAATCTGCAAGATCATAAACTCGTCCTTCTCCGAACTCGCCTTCGGTGATACGTACGATAACGGCAGGTCAGTGTGCAGATAACATCCGAACGTTCTCAGCGCTCATGTTACACGCCGTGAGGAAGCTTGGGGCGGGGGATCTACTCATCCCGCAGTTCTGCGAGCGCAGATCAATTTGCGACATCCTCGACCACTTCTCCCTACCGTGCAATGCTTGCTTGCACTGCTGTGCTTGGGGATAAGCCACGAGATGCCAAATCGCCCTCGACATCTGTGAATAATCTCGCTGTGAGTCGAGCCAGTGCAAACTCGATCTATTCTACTGAATCATCGCGCGATTAGGATGTCGACGGGGATCGAGTCTTCGTCAAAAATGCCGACGCAATTGTTCTCAAATACGTGATCCTATATTCCAAACGAACCGACCAGCGATCATGATACGTAATGCACAATATGTACATTTCTGGGAAGCAATGATCAGATACCAAACGGTGCCAATCCAAAGGGTGCCAATTGCAATGAGAACAATTGGCGTAAGTAGTCCGATGGAGTTGAACCCACGCCGGGGACGAAGGGAACGGTTCCGTGTCCCAACATCATCGGGAGGTCAAAACGCACGTCTCCCATACAAGGTTGGGTGTTGTCGTATACAAAGATGTAGCTGGGCCGTATGGCCTCATTCGTATAGACCACCGTCTCCTCATAGTTGAGGTCGTTTCCGGGAACCCCAATGACAGAGTTATATCCAACCGGTGGCGCGGTTAGATTGACAGCGTTCCCCTCTAATTCCTTGGGTCGACCTGTGATGACGCGACTCAAGAGAAGTGCACGCGTCCGAGCGTTCTTCGAAACGTTTTGCACATAGTCGTCCGCCTCTTTCATGGACACAATAATGATCAATAACGAGCAGCAGAAGAGGGACAGAATTGGGTGCGCACTGGAAGAGCATGAAGTAGTGTAGATTCCCGCACCGAACCTGCAAAAATGAATACTGCTGCAATTGAAGCTTACGAGTTACGACACACCTGCTGAATGCGTTTTTGAGTCCTGGAAGCGATCATTAGAGCTGCGAACAAACGTAGCGATCATAACCTTACCACAACATTTAACGTCAAAAGATTCACGAATGATCTTGCACAGGGAACACTGCGGAAGATTGCAAGGTAGCGTATTATAAGGGGTATCTCCCAATAAGCACGCTCGAGTTGTACCGTGAAAGAGCAGTTCTTCAATCGCTCTTTCACGAGACTGCGAAGGTAAACATCCCGATTGCGATAAGGCCTCCCTGAAGCCTGATATCAAAGAGATGGATGTATCAAGGAGCATATGGTCTCACTTATAATCAAGAAATGGTTGAAGAGCTGATGGTGGATATGTCACCTTGTAGATGGCCAGCACGCGAGGCCGTCCCTTCGTTTGGTGCTTCCAGCCCCTGTAGAATAGCATCTCGACTGCACAGCAGCTTATCCGCTTGCCATAGAGCAACGATGGCCAGGGAAAACTCACGCTCCATGTATTCAGTTCCAATAGGTTGCAGCTGAATTAGTCGGACCTGCCCATTGTTTGCCAGAGAAGCACTGAGGAAGATTTCAAAACAAAATGCGGCCATTGCATGTCTGCCCGCTCCAACATCTAGCCTCTAACATGCTAGGCCTTTATATTCACCGAGAGGTATTGCATAGCCAGCAGTGGCAAGGGAACGTTGCCTCACTGGCAACTCGTGGACTAATTGCAGCCAGATTGCACATCATTTCTGAGGGGTTCGGCCACCAGCGCACTGGGAGAAGCGAATCAGGCATGGGCGCTTCAGGCTACGGCCGCCATACCTCAGTTTAATCGAACTTAGTAGTACATAGAACCAGCTGGTGCATTCTCCACGTTGGAATCGCACAGTGACCACAACGACACGTGTAGGGACGGTCTCCCGTTACCTCGTGTCCAAGGTGCTGCTGCAGGTCACAATTCGCTCGGATCATGGGGCGCACGACTATCTTTTTGAGCTTGATGAATACGGTTCGTCTCATCCTACTCGAATCATGCGCGACACAAGCCAAGTCGTTGTCTCGAAATCTAACAGCTGCTCGACGGGATATCCTGTCACTACTAGGGCCCCACCGCAATACACTGTCGGAGACCAACGCACGGTTCACATACATGGCGTACACTCAGATCGAGTAAACAGTGAAACAATGAAGTATACTGATACGCCAACGAGAGTACGCGAACCTGTGCGAATTCTCCGCCGATCTCATTCCCCGCAGGAGCAAGATATGTCTGGCAATCATGAGCACCATGAATCCTCTTCAAGTCGTTCTGCGCTCCTTATTTCCTCGCGCAAGGATCCGGATTGTACGACATCGGAGAGATCCAGGCCGTCGGCCACAGCTGACTCTCCACAACGCCTCACAAGTGTTCGACCTGTCATACACTTCTATAATAAAAACGAGCCCCACTACGGTTTCACGAACTTCTCCCCACATCCCGTAAAGTACGACGAGAAGCAATACCCGACAAGCGAGCATCTATTCCAGTCCTTCAAGGTGATTACATGCATTCCATCACGATGATCATTCAATGCTAACCCCTGACAGTTTCAAGGCCGGTGGCCTGGATTAGCAGAGCACATCAGGACATGTTCAGATCTACCGAGTGTTGCATTCTCGGAAGCGCGTCGCTTCCAGCCACAAGTTCGGAGTGACTGGATCGACGTGAATATCGCGAAGGTATGTGCCAACCTCTCTAAGTACTTATGAGTTTATCCAATCTAGCACAGATGGAAGAGACGTTGCGGCACAAATTCACGCAACATTCCGCGCTCAAGGAAGAATTAATCGCAACTGGAGATGCAGAGCTGGTGGAGGTTGGTCGCAAATGCTGTGAGCGTTGACCGTTGGCTTAGCGTTCTCGCACAGAATTCTGCCGAAGACTCATTCTGGGGAATTGGAGCCGATCGTAAAGGGCGGAATGAACTCGGGAAGGCGCTAGAGAGATTGCGTGCCCAGTTCCGCGAGGCGCAACCTCGGATTCTCGTTGAGGCTGATCCCATGATGGAGTGAGGTTCTGGACGGTTCGCACTTTGATAGTCACTGTATTATGTACCACAGCCCCAACATGCGGCTCGCGCGCGGTGTTCGAAGGCAATGCTTCCCACAGGCGCGAATGCGTTCCTGGCTGGAACAACAGTATTTAAGATAGCTGTCTAGTACCACGCATTACACTACCGACTTTGTACCACCATGTCCGCTGCAGTCGCACGTAACGGCCTCTGTGATGTGAGCGCGATCTGAAATGCAAAAGACAACGCACGTTGACATGCTCCGATTGTCTAGAATTGCCACCAAAAGCCAAAGTTCGGTGGCCACCCTTTCTGCAGCAAGACCTGCGCAGCACAAGCTAATACTAATCTCTGCGTCGTAAGTGTCTCAATCCAACCCTTTTTTTCTGACCAGAAAGCTAACTCGTCGACGCATAGCAATGCCGCCAGAAGCCCAAGTATAAGAATTACGACTACTGCGGGAAGACATGCGCCGCTCAAGCAAAAGCGAAGGCACACCAGAAGCCCAATGGTGGCAACACGAATACAGCGCCCCGAGCACCGGCTCACAAGACTGCTGCGCCGACGACAGCGGTTGCTCCTGCGAAGGCGCAGCAATGGCCCAGTTCTCGACCTCCGGGTATGCGTCTATGCGATATCTGCTTATTGTGAATGCTAATACATCAGTTACAGCGCAACAATCTCACTTCAAGGCTCAGATTCCCCAGCCATCGTCTGCCCATTTCACTGTGGAGGTTACCTCAAGTCGCGAACCAAGCGTCACCCCCGGCAACTCGTCAACTCAGACTGGCCGCCAGTTTCATGCATCGTTACAGGGAGCGTACCATCGAGGCTCGTCTACTGCCAGTGGTGATGCGGGAACGGCTATGGAGCGTTCGGACGACGACGATCTCATGACCTTCTCACCGACCTATCCTCCCGCCCGTGGTACGAAAGCGGTGCCAAAGCGCACTCAAGTGACGTGTGCTATTCCCGGCTGTGACAAACCCGTATACATCGATGCGTCTGGGATGCAAACGAGTGATTACTGTTCAATGAGACATCGCGAGTACGTTACTCGGTTCACATCGGTCCCATTCATATTTTGACTTTCTTTGGTTCAGAGAGGCTGTCAAGTCCGGATTCGCCGAGCCTTGTATCATGTGCGGAAAGTGGCCGCAAACGAAAGGCGATTACTTCTGCAGCAAGACCTGCAGGGATGAATCTCTGAGCAAGTGAACGGGGAGAATACGGTGTAGGGTCACCTATTCACAGTATCGTTGAACGTTTGAAACCTCGACCTGCCTTTGCTGGTTTGCCTGTGTATAACTTCATACTATCATGCAGTCAGTTGTGTGCGCAAAAATCTATGAGCGAACATTTGTCAGTCGGGGACGCGGAGCGTCTGCACTGGACTACACATGGAGCTGTGACGTGGTGAGCGCATCTTGTGAGATCTGCATTTGCGCTAGGCATCACTTAGCAGTACCTGCTACGTTCACCATGCACTTGCGGCACACTTTTCCCGCATTGTTGCATCGCCTTGACAGTAACTGTGAAAATGCAGCAGGCGCCTGCCAGTGCCCATCATCCAATTCTTCCCAGCCTCGGCGACGCACTTTTCGAGTCGAAATCAGAGTTAACGTGCAAACGCTTTCGAAGGACATCACCCGGTAGTCACGTATCATGCAAACCTCGCGATAGCCCACGATCGACGGTCGTTTTTCATTACCAGTGAAATGACCGCTGCTGAGGCCAGCAGCACACGAGCTCAGTGTTAATATGCCGTGGCGAACAAATGAGATGGAGTACTGGTCGAAGCATTGAAGCTGAAGCGTTGAAGTTTCATAATTTCAAATTTCAGTTCAGTAGTGATGAGCGCTTACTGTCGTTTGCTCTTCTCACCGCTGCCGCCACTGTCCGACACCCTTCAAATTCCAAAGTCGAGTCAAGGGCTAGGGCATACGAGCATGTATGTTGTCATTAGGCCATCTATGAGAGCTGGTTCAGGGCCTTTGCATGATGGGGAGCACGTATGTGGACAGAAGTGTCCTGTTACCTCATGGTTTGAGGCATTCTGCTGCAAGCTGTACAGCATGCAATTACAGCTCGATGGGAGCCAAATACATGCAGTATTGCCTTCATGCCTCTCGAGCTGTTCAGAGAAGAGCTCATCATCATCACTCTCCATTGCGTACCTTCCCCTTGCCCAAATGAGCGATTCGGGCCCCATCTTGTTCCGGAATCTAATAGCTATCTGATCAGACCTCCACTTGATTTGTTCGCCGCGGAGTGTATGCGGGACACTGTCGGACACCGCTGCGAGATTAACGTCAGCAGCGTGCCTGCAAACCAATTAAACCGTGAAGCAGCGAAGCAGCGATTGAAGCTCGCTGAAATGCCACCGCTGAGGGAACCTCACGGCGTGCGATCGCGCCGCCGAACCCAATCACTGCAAGAACGGCATGCACCTAGAATCTACACAGGATACGAGCCCTATCCCACTCGTCCCGACGTGCGCCAAACTCCGAGTCCGGCAGTGTTGAAGAAACCCAAGACTTCACCTACTTACACGACAACTGATCCGCTGGCACGTGGCCATACAACTGTCGAAGCCTACCATCCATCGCGGCAGCCAAGCGTACCTCAGGTTAACAAAGACTACAAGCGCTCTTCTACTAAGTCCTATCCACCCGTTGCTTCGCGCAGGCATCCTAGTCCGACGGTACCCGAAAAACTGTTGGCTACGAACTCACAAGTCATACCCCCGCGTAATCCAACGACTCGTGACAGGCGTGAAATACTATTTTACCATAAGGACGAACCGCATTATGGATTTACGAACTTTTCACCGCATTCTGTGACGTACGAGGGTAAACGATACCCAACAAGCGAACATTTGTTCCAGTCTTTCAAGGTATTGCGTGTGAATTCATCATAGTGGCCACTGTCATGCTGATGAAGCACACGTCGACAGTTTCAAAGACGATGGCCTGGTCTAGCAGAGCATATCAGGACGTGTTCAGACAGACCGAGCGTGGCATTCTCCGAAGCGCGTCGCTTCCAGCCACAGGTCCGGAGTGATTGGTTGGAGGTGAATATCGGCAAGGTGAGCACTGGTGTCCTTAACTGTTTGAGCACGGCGTTTGATGTGACCGCCTGTGGCGCAGATGGACGTGACATTATGGCACAAGTTTACACAACATCGCGCCCTAAGGGGTGAACTGCTTGCGACCGGCGATGCAGAGCTGGTAGAGGTTCGTTGTCTGTAGCGTTAATCTCAACAGTTCGCTTACGATCCTGGACAGGACTCAGATAAGGACTCATTTTGGGGGATAGGTGCAGATGGCAAAGGGAGAAATGAGCTGGGAAAGGCGCTGGAGAGACTTCGTGCAAAGTTCCGCGGAGCGCACTTGTAATAACTATTTGAGGCTAGTCTCCATGAAGGAACGAGTTGCGGGACAACCTCGTGCTCTGATTCGTTATGTAGTAGTAGTTCATCGTGTTCTCTCGAGACGTGTTATAAATGATAATGTCTAATGTCTTTGACGCGGAAGACAAGCCTGCCTGATTGGAACGTCGATCATTTCTGCTTATAATTGTAATTGGCTGTATGATTTTAATCTAGATATCCCTCTGGTTCTACACCAACATGTCCGCTGCAGCAGTTGCTAACATCAGCTTGTGCGATGTAAGATGCGGATTTCTGCGAGCAGAGGATTTACTGACAAAGCGCAATCATCTAGCATTGCCATCAGAAGCCGAAATACGACGGCCACAAATTCTGTGGAAGAACTTGCGCGACACAAGCTACTCAAGGAAACCTCTGCATCGTGAGAAGCTTGAAACCAGAACTGTTCCGCTGAGGGGGCTGAGTAGACGATGTCGTGGCCTACAGCAATGCAACAAGAGGCCTAGGTTTGGTAACCATGACTATTGCGGGAAGACATGCGCCGCTCAAGCCCAAGCAAAGCAGAAGCCAACCGCTGCTAGAGTCAACGTCGCGTTTGGGACACCAATCCAGGGAACTGCGAACTCTGCTGCAAGGGCCCGTGGGCAGGCTTCGCTAGTCGCTTGTCAGTAGCGTTGTCGCCATTCTGATGATGGGATTCTGCTGAGAACCGCGCTTACAGCCCAGGATCTAAATAGGAGCTTTTCGTCAGAAGACGACTCCGGAGATGATGCGGAGGATGACCCCGTCATCCCTCCTATGAACGTCTCCGAGGGGCACCAGTCCCCACTTCGTAGTACTACATCGGCTAGTCCGACTGCGGCTCAGGCACCAGCAATTTGCGCCATCCCGGACTGCAACGAGCCAGTATACGTCGACCCTGCGGGACTCCAGACGAGTGAATACTGTTCGACGAAGCATCGCGAGTACGTATTTATTGCTGTAATTCAAGTCGCTGCTATTACTCAGTGTCTGGTCTTCTGCGAATCAGAGAAGCCGTGACGTCTGGGCTGGCCACCCCTTGTATCATGTGTGGGAAGTTGCCACAGAGAAGAACCGACTACTTTTGCAGTAGAGCCTGCAAGAAGGCATCTATGAGCAAGTGAAGGGGGATATCGTGCAGTAGCATCTATGTTTTGCTTCCATATAGCATTGCAGACTTCATAACTTCATGCTGCCTGTTCTGTTATAAAGGAGCACATACAATATCGATTACCCATGGATGAATGTATATGTATAACAGTCTCTGATCGAGTGGAATCGACATATGGCAGGATTGCGCTTATAAGTTATCAGATAGGATGAGAAACATAGGAGATATGCAATCAAAAGAATCAAGAATAATTAGATGTAAATAGAAGCGAATCGAAGGCAGGAATTCTCGTGCGAAGGTCGTGGGTCAAAACTTCAGAGGCGGCCGAAAGGAGGAGGTAGCTCAGTCATCATGGGAGCAGGAGCAAGCGGGACCACACCCCAAATAGGTGCATCTGGCCATCAAGCTAGAAAAAGCAGCTAATGACATTTCAGCATAAGAAGGCCGTATGAAATAGAACGAGCAACCTTTCAAGGCTGGACGAGACTTCTGCGGCCTTCTCGTCGAGCGACTACGAACAGATGCCCCGGGCCTCTGAGCTCGCAGACGTGCAGATCGTCGACGTCTTGAACGCTGGGTAATCCTGTCAATCAAAGAGGTGGCAGTTACGCGTTATGAGCGACGGTACATGATCACAGACTGCTGAATCAACTGACTCTTGCACTGCAAGCGAGTCATGCACGTATAGATGCTGGGCCAGTGCGTACAGGCTTGAAGCAATATACTCGCAATCCTGTCGTCCGCAGCGTAGCAGGCCATCCGATGATTCAAGGCCGGCTATGAACATAGGATACGCTTCACGAAGCTAAAGAATATAGCGTTAGCAGATCGATGAAATGCTCTCGCAGAACACGTACATATCGTTCCTTCACGTAATCACGAAACTCTCTTCCGGGCGTGGCCTGCTGTACCGGCATAGCAGATAGCATGTTCGCATCTGCGCGCGACCGATCACCGTGAATTGGATAGGCACCGATATCGCGATTATTGGCGTAAGCGGCGGCAGATCGTGCGGTGGCTCTGTATCTTTCGGCCAAGGCTTGTGCAGGAGTCGTCGTAGCACTATAGTGGCGATGACTCGCAGATGCAGCGCGCGCCATTGCTCGAGGGGATGGTCTATAGTAGTATGTGCTGGAGCGGTCATCGTCAAATACGTGTGGCCGTTTCCTGGGCATCGGCTGCGGTGGACTGATGATGATTCCGTACCGCTTCCGATGCCGAGGTGTCCTATACGTATTGTCGTTCCTTGGTCCATGAGGTTCACGAGGGTAAGTATTGTGCCACTCTTGCGCGCGAGGACGTTGCATTGCAGGAGGTGGAGGCATCTTCAAAGTGAGGAGCTGAGGAGAAGGGAGCTAGAAGGAGGGGGGGAATGAAAGCAGGGGGAGAGCGCATTTTAAGTACCACAGCTGGAAACGGGCCACAGGGGTTTCTGGAGATGGATCAGGTCACATGCGGCGATTGAGGCCACACCGAGAGTGCTGCAGAGAATCAAGAAGGAAGTCTTCGAGCAACTGCTGCTTGTGAACGAGTAGCGGCTGCTTGATCGCATCAAAGGACGCCACAAGAGCCAGCCTTTTATGTCAAGTGATGTCATGCAGAGCTCTCGGTCGTGCCAGGCTCACATACATGTCTGAGATGCCGCACAAGCTGCGACAGGGTAACGGCCGTCTGGGTCAAGAAGGAGTTTTCATTAGGGATACCGTGCGAGACGATGGTGACAATGACGGTTGAACGTTGAAAGCACGATAACCGAGCAACCCATGTTGCGCCACAGGGTAAACAGCAACAAACTACTAGCCACATATGCTGCCAGGCGGCCACACCAAGCGTGAGCATCCATAGTAAAACAATATTCAGCAAGCTAGTTCACCGTACCTTGCATGCCGTATATTTGAGCGTGTAGTCTGAGGCGTTGCGATTCCCATGGGTGAGATTTGAGAAATATAACTAAGGGACGTCACGATAGTCTTCCGCAATATGAACGGAAGGTTCACAATGAGGGATGTCGATGAATGGAGAGTATATTTGACTGGTAATTACATTCCGAGAGAGGTATTGAACGTGGCAACGCCACTCGTTGATATGAAAACTACGAGTTTGCGTCATAAGGTATTCATGGTGACATGAAGTGCGAGGCGATGGACCGCTCACCGTAGAATCCGTGACTGCGAATTACACATGGTTGCCCATTTTACTTTCAGCTTCCTCACGTCGCTTGGCTGCAGCTGCCTTCGCTTCACTGAGAGGCTTGCTCCATCTTGCCTCAGGAGGGTCCCAGATACCAAGCTCCTTCTTCATATCTTCTACGTTCTGCTCCCACCGCTCTTCCCAATAGACCGAGATCAAGCTTTTCGCACTGCTTCCACACTTGACTGCCCAGGGAACAAACTCCCTAAAAAGCTTCGCGCGCTTGGCGGACGACAACCGCAGATGCCCAAAGGCCGCGGCAAGGCCTGTCATAGGTAGTCCCAAGTTGGCAAATTCGAAGAATTTCACCGCAAGCTCAGACTCGATGTTGACTGGGAGATTGCAGATACAGTGGTAGAAATCGTGGCATTCCCGGTAACGCTGCAGCACGTAGGCAAGCTCCGGGTCGTCCACGTAGTGTACCTGGACAATCGCTTAGCGAAACCCGAACAACACATGGAAACGGAGATATGCACGGGTTCGCGGGTATCCGGTGTGACACCGCAACGATCAAGCCACGTTATGTATGCGCGGCCAAAGGTGCCATCGGGGAGCAGAGACAATTTGTTCATGTCTACAGTGTGTGAGTTCACTCGTGGTCGTTCCTTCAGGATTCTGCGTCCCTCCGCGTCATTGAGCATGGTATCTCGTAGACGGGGTAGTACCGGTCCTGACGTGACATCTCCGAGAGCAGCAACCATATCTAAGGACATGTACTTCAGTCACATTTGAGTGTTTCCATTGCAGACACAACCGACCTCCTCTTCGAGGATTCGCAAGTGCCATGAAAGCCGAGCCGACCATCAGGAAACCAGTTTCGAACCAATTGAGCGGAATGTGGCCTTCATATGCGGGCTTTGTAGCGGCGGTACGCATGTGCCATGGCTGCAAGGTCACGGGAGTTGATGCAGGTGCAATAGCAGCAAGTCTGGCTTTGTAGGGGCGGATCCCGCGGAGAGTTTTGGCTAGGATACTCATCCTACTTGAATGATCGAGTTGAACCGGAAGCAAGTCGGAGTGACAATCGCCTCAACCCTTCGCGGAGCTTTCCACGTTCGGCGCTTGAATGCCAACGCTCGGAGTATCAATATGATGTGCGCTAGTGTTCTCCTGATCGCTGTAATAAATCTCCTGTTCATAGTCTGTGGCAATACTGTTGAGTGGCAAGTATATCTGACAGGTGCATAGACAGTGTTCCGAATTTTATAGATAGGCAGCGTGTCAGTGACTGTTTTTTTTTGTTCGATTATACAGTGGTCGCTGAGGGCTCCCAGTCGTAGGGCCACATAAATCACTGCCTTATACTACCAGTGCCAAACGTTGCTGCTGTTGCCCATATGCTTACATCGCCCTGATTCTAATTCAACTATGCCCTACACAAACTCTGAGTTGCATGTCACGATTGCTTTCATCCGTTGACTATAATATTGCAACCACGTAGATATGGCAATTTCTAGGAAATCCTGGTGCGGCAAGGGTGTTAGCCAGCCGGCACCTTCCCGTCTCATGGGCGCAAGGGAGTGAGAGGCTGGTGGGGCCACAAACGACTGGGGGCCTATGGTACTACAGGTGCGTACTTATATGTCTTTTCCACCCTTCCGTACTCGCCCGCTCCGTTTCCAGGTACCGCCTGCGACGCGTTTCAGCCGTCGCTTGGCGCTCGTCCTCCCGACGCGTTGAGCGCGTTCTACCGAAAGTGCCGTCGGTCGGCCACTTCCAACACAATTCAATTATGTCTAGCACGAGCGTACTAAGAACGATCATCACAGCCGCAGGGTCAAAATGTGCTATAAAGAACAACGGCCAAAACATCAGCAGAGTGCGTGCAGATTTTGAAGAGAGGCTATATCATCTGCATCATTTTTTATTGACTCTGACTCTCTTCACAGAGCGGCATCGAATTCGATATCGATAATATCCTAGCGACCCGCGCGGCGGACCTACAGCAGTGCACGCAGCAATTCACGCAAGTGATGGTACACGTCGAAAGACAGATGCAAGTGATGGCTCTTGTGAGGCTGCGAGAGCCGACATGGAGTGAAACGATGCCATTAGTCATCGAGAGAGCCGCGTAGACACGAAGATGGCAGTGATAATTTGAGGTGTACTCGCTCTCGGTCTGGTGTGGCCTCCCGGCGCTGTGTCATGATTTTATACAATATGTTTCAGTATTCAGCCGAGTCTTCGGAGTACTTTCTGCTGCCGCTGTAATAATAATATGTAACAATACAGGAGCTCACAGTGGGACAGCAAGAACTGCTCCTACTTCATGTTACAGCATGTTCCTGGTCAGAGGACGTCTCAGTCATCTGGCCCACACATCGAGTTGAAATAGTACCTTTGACACTCAGCTAGGCTTAACGTCTTCTTTCTTCGGCCTCGATCCAAAGATCCCTGTTCCCACCCGTACAATATCGCTCCCCGTCTTGAGTGCCGCCTCGAAATCACTCGACATCCCCATGCTCAGCAACAGTTTGCCGCCTTCTCCCCACCTCCCTCCCTCAGCAGGGAACCCGGCCTTAGCCAACGCCTCCTGAAGTGTGTCCCGCGTGCTAACCAGCGTCAGGAAATCAAAGTTCGGCTTCGCGGACGATGCAAGCGACTCAGTCAGCGACCCGATCGTCATGAGGCCTTGCAGATGGAGGCGAGGGCACTCTTTGATGATGTGCAGCGCGAGCCGCACAAGCTCTGCGTCGGGAGGAGACTCGGAGGAAAGTGAGGGGACGCCGGACTTGTTGTCCTCGCCGGAGGTATTTACCTGGAGAAGGACGTTCAAAGGAGCAGTGCGTTCCTCGGGGAGGGCCTTGTTGAGCGCTGTAGCGGCCTTGGTGGAGGTAATTGTCTGGATGGCGTAGAGGTTCGGGATGTCTGTGACACAGGGACGGTCGGAGGCTGTGTACGCACATGGAGTAGAGTATGAGACTGACTGTTACGTACGAGCTAGCGTCTTCGCCTTGTTAGACTGGAGGGTACCGATGAAGTGCCATCGGATATCTGAGGGCAGCTGATCGCCATGTTCGCAGTAAGGTACAGTTGAACCCCAGAAACCTCGTCATGATAACACACCTGCTCAGCTTTCTCAACCAGCTCCTGCACATAGTTTTCACCAAAGTCTAGCTGCCCATCTTCATAGATGGCGAGCACATCCGATGCGGGCTTGTACTTTGACACTGCGACAAGCGTTGGCTGCCGTCCGCCACTCGCACTTGCCTGCTGCACCCGTGCGCGTATCTCAGCGAGAGACTCACGTAGCTCGTCGACGCGCTCTGGCAAGGCCTTGGGTCCAACGAACGTCGCCATCGTGAAGCGTGCCTGTGGCCCGAAGGTGAGACGCATGAGTCGGCGTATTCCTGAGAATTTGGGCGGTAAGTCGTAGGGCATAATGTGACTTTTCTCGGCTAGGATAGCATTGAATGGCCTGAACGTTGTATTTGCAGCCGTGATATTAGAAATCGCTAGAAGAGTATTGGCCCAAGATTAGATTAGATTATCGGCGCCCAGTGACGTCTCTCGACACGCCTTTATTCACCTGCTCACGTATTTGACATCGGCCAACAGGCTCGAGGCATTTATATTATGATACACCTCTATCCGTTTCTCCCTTTCTCTTCCTCACCTGCACAGCGTGTTGAGCGACGAACACGATGGACAGCCCCGGCGGGCCAACTACGCCGCTCACCTGGCCGAACGTCGGCCTCGCGTTTTCCTTCATCCTCTTCGACGCCGTCGTATCAGTGACGTTTGGACTGGGGGTGGGCAGCAGCCTCGTCACGGCGGCAGTGAGATGCGTACTGCAGCTGAGCTTGCTGGCGCTTATCTTGGACAAAGTGTTCTCGACGAATAATCCTTGGGCGGTTGCGGGAATTGCTGGTGGGTTTCCAGATGATGGCTGGTTAGTTGCATATACTAACGGATGTTGGACTGTGTGGAACAGCTCTATTGAATTTGATGGGTACTATCGAGACTGGTGCGTGCATGACTCGCGTCGTGATTTGTTTGCCGCCACCTGACGTCGTCGATGAATTTGTAGTAATCAACAAGTCAAAAAAACGATACACACAAATGGTGAGTATCAATACCTTGTGGTGGAATAGTATGTGTACTGACAAGAATGCTACGTAGTTTCCGTCTGTGCTGCTCGGCATGCTGGGTTCGACGATCCCTGTCTCAATTATCGGTACTCGTTTTGCAATGTCTGTCGATCCGTTCTGGAAGCCAGAGCAGTATAGTATGAGATGAGTGCCATGTACATAAAGGATTATACTGATCGTACTTGACAGTTCCGATCGTTGGAATGCTGTGTGGAGCCACAATCTCTGGTATCGTGATCTCAGTTTCTTACGTGCTGAAAGAGTTATAGTGCGTCTGTTCCATTGCTTTGTCGGATTATGTCTCGCTAAAATATATGTTCAGTGATAACCAAGACAAAGTCGAGATGTATCTCGCTTTCGGTGCATCACGAATGGAAGCCTGCAAACCTATCGCGAAAGAGGCTCTCCGCCTTGCTCTCACTCCCAATGTGAACCAAATGAGGTACGTTACAATGATACAACGTAGCCGTATGGTCTTGCCTGACCCTTGTCGTCTTTCAGCGTGATTGGACTCATCTCCATCCCAGGAATGATGACAGGTGCCATCCTCGGAGGCTCTTCCGTCGAGCAAGCTGCCCGGTTGCAGATGGTCATCATGTTCATGATCTCCTCATCCACCGCGTTGTCCTCTATCGTTACCACCGTCCTTGCATTGGGTGTGGTGGTCGACGGGGAGCATCGTGTGCGCTCAGACCGTATTGATTCCCAGCAGCATGCAATTTGGCGAGCCCGAGACGCTGCCTTTGCCAAGGTGTCGAAAATGGTGAAGGACCTCACACATAGGACATGGAGAAAGGCGCGGCCGATATTTAGGCGAGGAAGTAGCAGTTACCGAAGCATCGAGGAGGAGCCCGCCAATGTACTGGATGACCGAGGGGATAGGGAGAGACTGCTACCCAGTTGACGAAGTGGCCGCTGGCGGTCTGGTTTGAAGGAAAACATTTTTGCTATGGTCGCGTACATTCTGCCGTTCACTGTTCTTACTCCGTTGGAAGTCCCGCTTCTGGACTTCTTTAAAACTGCTGTATATGGTAACCTAGCTGCCAAATGTTTGATGAGATCGGAGCTGATCGCCGAAATGTCTCAATTGAAACTGAGCAAATAAATGAGCTTTACAAAGTTGATCTACCGTGTCTCTGAAGGATAGACTGGGACTGTCTGACCGACCAGACCTGTTCTGCACTGGACGACGATGGTCAAGAGTCTCCCACCAGAGTTCTACACTGCCTACCTCTCCGATGTTGCAAAGGAACGCAAGCCGAGCCCGAGTGCGTTCGTGATCCAAAAACGCGACTGCAATACCTGCTAACGGAAAGTTGTGGCAGTTCGTGGACTCTATCCACTCGAGGCCAAGCCAGGCGTGATATCCCTGCTTGCCGGAAAGCCCAATGCGACCACATTCCCGTTGACCTCCATCAAGCTGACATCGCGTTCGCCCACGGACCCGTCGCAGGAAACTGAGACGGAAATGAGTGGGAAGGCATTAGCTGAGGGCTTGCAGTATGGCCCGACGGCAGGGCTGCCTTCGCTGGTCGAGTGGGTGTATGGGCTGCAGGAGAGACAGCATGGCAGGAAGAAGGGCGAGGGATGGAGGGTCAGCATCGGGGCGGGGTCGCAGGATGTCATTTACAAGGTGAGTGATGAATTCAGAGGAGCCGATTTTTGAGTTACGAATCGTTCCGTTGGCAGGCCGTGATGGCTATGGTGAACGTGGGGGATCCAGTGTTGGTGGAAAGTCCGGTCTACGCGTAGGTCTGTGCTTGTAATGTCTCCTGAGCCCCATCTGACCTAAATGCAGTGGAGTGCTTCCAATGTTCCAGGCGTTGCACTGTGACTTGATTGGTGAGTGAAATTACGTCTCATTTCGTGTGAGCGTATCAATCTCATCTTCGTTATAACCATCGATGACTACAGAGGTCGAGACCGATGCGCATGGTATTCGCTCCAGCGCCCTCCGCCAGATACTGGAGAACTGGCCTGCATCGAAGCCCAAGCCAAAGGTACTTTACACGGTACCGGTGCGTGTCATAACAAACTCTCCAAACCACTTGTTCCTTACAGGCCGCATATTGATCAAGTATGGCTGTAATCCAACTGGAATGACCGCCACTCGGGACCGGCGGCAGGAAGTGTTCGAGCTCGCTCGGGAACACGATTTTATCATTCTTGAAGGTGAGCCTTTCGCTCTTGGCTTTTACTATCTATGACTTGAACTCGACCACCTTGCGCAGACGACCCTTACTACTATCTCTACTACGGCACTGCTCCACGCTATCCATCCTATTTTGCGCTCGAACTCCAACAGCCGAATGCGGAGGTCGGACGCGTACTCCGCTTCGACAGTCTCTCCAAGATCCTCTCATCCGGCATCCGGATCGGATTCGCATGTGGCCCAGAGCCTCTGATGACGGCGATTGACATGCATGTGCGTGCTTTGGCTTTCGGGTCTCACACATTCGTTACGTTATGCAAATGGGCTTTTGACCGATGGACGATCCATGACAGACCGCTGTTGCGAACCTGCAGACGTCTTCACTCACACAGACGATCACGCATGCACTACTCGATACATGGGGCTACGACGGGTTCAAGACGCACACGGAGACTGTGTCCGCATTTTACCGTGAGAAGCGAGACGTGTTTGAGAGTGCGCTCAAGCGGCACCTCAGCGGGCTTGCGGAGTGGAGCACGCCCGAGGCCGGAATGTTTTTCTGGTGCGCTTTGCTTGTTTTGCTTTACTCGCTTGCACAAATGACCCTAACTGGCCCCGATCTGTTCTGGCGTTTTAAAAAACAGGTTCAAGCTGCTATTGACAGAAGACGCGGCATCGTCCGACGACGGCGACTCAGAGAGTATCATCCGGACAAAGGCGTACGAGCGGGGTGTGCTCGCGCTGCCGGGGACGGTCTTTCTTCCCAGTGGAAGGAAGACGGCGTATGTAAGAGCAGCGTTCAGCTTGTTGACGGAAGAGGACGTGGAGGAGGCGGTGAAACGGCTGAGGGAAACGGTGTTGGAGGCGAAGCAGTCGGCGGGGAGCTCTTGAACTAGCTCGCGATGAGTATCGCCCGAAGGTGCGTTCGTTACGCATCAGGGTCAGTTGATGATAGCTGACCTCCACAGGATCTCTATGGTTGTCGTAGTAAAAGCAAACTCGCCAGCGGCTCGGCCGCATGGGAGATCCACTGTGTAGCGTTAGCAGTGAAGTGTTGGCTTGATGCAACCCCCCGGCGATTGCGATGGGTAATGCCTTCCATTCTGTCCTTTCGCTCGCTTCCACCCGCTGCGCTCATGAGCAGCGGGTCAGCAACATAGAGCGAAGGCAGCCCCGTAGCGTGCTAGGTGGCAGATAATGAGAATGTTTCGTGGCAGGTTGAAGATTTAACTATCCCTGCCTCTTTCTCGATGCCCCATGAAGTTGTCATCCCTCTTCTACGGTATTTCAACCAATTGCGGCATCCTCTCTCGATATCTTCATCTAACATGACTCGCGCTACCACCATGCTATTCGCAGTTCTGATGATCCTTTAATAACTCCCGCAGAGAAGTCTCTGGCGGTGAGTCGTTCCTGGATAACGCTCGATCCGTTGTTCACGATACGTGCTATTATGTGCATAGAATTACCGGAACAATGCTCCAGATGCCATTCTGAACACGGAAGATTTGCAAGCTCACACGCTGGTAAAAATAGCATTACTTTGCGAATTGTTCAATGTGCGTAGTGCACCTGTTTCTGCATGGCAGTGAGCAAGGCCAAATGTAGTTCATACTATATGACGTAGTGACATGACAATATTGTTCACATTCAAGTGTTATTGCGGATAGGCGTTACGTACACGAGTGAGCATCGACATCATACTTCTATCTGTCCATTCAATGAACTCGCCAGACACTCATAAACAACATTGGGCTAATTACGGGTGAAGGGGGTCACTTACTCATGCATGAAGAATCATCTCATTTCCACTCCATACCACCTCATTATATGCTTCGCTGTAGGATCACCAACTTCTCGCTCGTAATCATCTCCAGCGGATGCAGCAACACATCCATTATACCCATAACGTTCTGAAGCTTCCCTCTGATAACGTTTTTCAGCTCCGGATTTACCACCCACCAATCGAAACCATCCACTGTATCGACAGCCTTCCACGCTGCCGTCGAGAATCCAGTCGGGCGGGACAGCGTGGGTCCAGACTCGGCGATGACGTGCGTAATCTTGCGGTCTGCAGTCAACGCCTGCGGGGAGAGGTGCTCGGTCTTGTTGTACGTCCAGTGTGGCGTCGTAGGGACGATGTCGATGCCTGGCGGGTAGGGCGGTGCATGGGTCTGCAGGAAAAGCGAGGCGCCAGTCTGAGCAGCGAGATTGGATATGTAGACGTGAACTGTGGACGGTGAGAGCTTGCGCTTTCTGTATGACACTGACTCACCATGGTCATAGCCATCGTACAACTCATTGAACCTTGCGAGCGACTCGCCACCCGGATAATTCGCCATGGATGCCTTGGTAAGCAAATGTGTAGCAAGACAATTGCATGCGACCAGGCCAATGACCGTCATAAGACATATCCGACCGAAGAGGCTGCTCTTCCTCCGCGATATCCTAAAGAATAACAAGGACTTAATCTTCGAACAGGCACATCATACAAAATGGTGATCACGTACATCCAAGCGGCGCCACGCGCAGCTGCGATATTGAAAATGGGCACGACGTATACCACAAAGCGCCATTCCTTGTGATCGAGTCCGCTGATCAGGAGGAGGAATGCAATTGTAGGGAGTAAATGCGCGCGAATGCGAGAATCTGATAAGAAGCCGATGAGAGACAGCGGAAGGGACGAAAGCAGGAGCTTTGGAAGATGAGCCGTGAAGTAGCTATGAAAAGGCGAGACCTTTGGACATGTATAGCGAAACACACGGTAAGAACTCTGATGAGTTCCGTTATAAAGACATATACGTACACCCCATTCAGAGCTCTTGCCTTCGAGCACATTGAAGTAGATGCCGTAAAATTCTGGCCATAGAGGCCATCGCTGCCAGAAGTAAGAGTCAACCACCATTGTGAGAGCTAAAGATGGCTTGTCTTAGAGTTAGTCTACTCGAAGACCTCAGGGTATACAGCTGACCAGCAGAACATATTCCAGAGATGAGTCCGACTTTGAAAAGGCCTGCGAATGTGCTGTAGCGGCAGATGAGAGCCTGCAATACGAGAGTGCCGAGTAGTAACGACAGCTCTGAGCGAAAGACGGCGGCAGTGAATGTCAACAAGGCAATAGCGCGATGGACAGCGGATTGAGATGGTCGCTTGGAGTTCGGTGCACGATTCATCAACAAATATAGTGCAACATTGGCTGAGAGGAAGAGTCCATCTAGTATTGCACAAACGCTGAGTGGAAGCATGCGCACCAGGGAAGAGTGCGAACATGTTCGGCAAGGTCCTGCCCATCCAAAACGGAAGGTGGAATTGCGTGCATGACAGGATCACGAAGAGTGCGCTTGTGGAACTACCGAAGCGATGCGAGACAGCACGTCGTAGCATGCAGAGGGAAACGGCATTCACGGTAGCGAGGACAAGCCGGACTGCGAGATAGATTCATATGGAGCTTCCGTGAGAGGAATGAGCTTACGAACCAATAATCTGGAGGTCGAACTTGCTGTATAGGAATCCGAGACCACAGGCGACATTGATCGCCGTAGTGGAGATCCAAGCTAGCAGTACGCTTCCTATGAAAGTGCGAGGGACTGCACCAGGGAAGACGAAGTGATCATACTTCAATTGTTAAGGTTTGGCTCCGCGCGCTGAACATAGGATAGGCATGCGCACGTTATGAAGGGCGTTCCATCGAATGCCGTACATGAACACATCGTGCGTTGCATGCAAGTTGAAGCTTTCCTCAACTTTTGTGTAGGGCGCGAGGAAGACATGGCACCAGGCAGTGCCCACAAGAACCAAGTCCAAAACAGCGCTCATGGTGGTCACAATGAACTGGTGCCACAGTGGCGAGCGATCTGAGATTGAACGATCAGCGGCGGACGTGCAATCCTCTCTGCGGAGTTCCAAATAAACAGATCCCATCATGATGTGATGCCTCGGTCACACGCACTGCCAGATACGTCGTCCTCGAGCCGCAGCATTGCTCGTGTTCAACTGCCCGCTCATCGTCCGACCCAGTGATTAGGCTTCTGTATACCGCTGCTCCCTAAGAGCGAACGATGATACCGCACTGGCCCCGGATAGCTCTGCCCGTATCTCTACTTCTTCTCTCGCTGCATGTATCGGCATACAGTTCCAAGAACCAGTCTATGAGCCGAAGCCTAGGTTCCTACGGATATGACTTATCAGTACGCTCTATCACGATATTGTTATCACAACAGAGCTGATCATAAGCGGATGCAGCCGCTCATGGTGACAAATACACGACCAGGTGAGTATCGGGTCTGAGGTTAGTTGGCTTAGCTCATCCTCCTATAGCGGAGTGCCCGCCATGTTTCAATTGCCAGCTTGATGCCTTCTCTTGCGGGCACTTTGGAGAGTGCTCGACATATGACGGACAATGCAAGTGTCCACCAGGATGGGCGGGAATTGACTGTCTGACTCCGCGTAAGCTCTCAGTTTTCTTACTGTGCTAATAGTCTTTCTCAATTCAATTGCAGAGTGTGATTCTCTTGCCAACGGAGAGAAGCGTAGACAGAGGGAACCAGGCCAGAAATGTGAATGCGAGGATGGATGGGGTGGAGTGAACTGCAATGGTACGTCTACGTCGTTCCGTGTCATGGTGTTCTCGATCTCACGCTGGTCACAGTATGTAAGACTGACGAAGCGTGCATTGGATTCCCGCTTGCTGGCAAGCCCCTGGAGGACGGCGAAGAGATCAACAATATGACATGTTACAAGGGCGGTGTCACGGTGTTCGAGAATCACCAGATATGCAAAGTGACGAGTGGGTAATACCGCCTGTCATTCCCATTTTGATGCTGAGATGGGATGTAAGACCGGAAAATCCTGGACATGCTTCCTGATCGTCCTCCGGAAGTGACATTCAGCTGCAACACAGCGGAAGCTACGTGCCAGTTTCAGTTCTGGACAGCACAAGAGGAGTCTTTTTACTGTTCACTGGATACTTGCAAGTCAAGCATAGATGTCGGTTTCGATTTCAACACGACCAAATACGAATGCGAGAACATCCAGTGCAAGTGTGTGCCTGGACGGTTCATCTGTGGCGAGAATGGAAGCGTTGGTCAGTCGGTCCACAACTTCTGTTAGGTATTCACTGATAGACACTGGATAGACATCACGGACTTCTTGAAGGAAGACATCACCGGGCCTGCATCGTTTAGCTGCAAGAGTAGCAGCGGATGCAAGTTCGAGGAACCCGGCATGAACATGCTGATTGAGACATTCTTCGGCGACGGGTACATCACGCTGGATTGTGACAGTGGCGAGTGCCTGCATTATTCACAGGTTCCTGGCTATATTGTAAGTCGGTATCCCATTTTGCATTGCTGTTATAACCATGACTTTGTCTCTTGCCAGCCTCCACCAAAACCCGACAACAGTCGCTTCATCGCGCTGAGCATCGCAGGCCTGGGGCTCCTCGTAATTGCATCTTCCGCAGCGTTCTGGTATGCGGGTAGAGCTCGCTCCGGAGACTTTGGAGAGATTCGTCTCCCAGAAAACGAGACTGCGAAGCTTATGACGGACCATGTTCCCGCGTCTCTACACTTCTCCGACATCTCGTATGCCCTTGGGAACCGCACCATCTTGGAGAACATCTCTGGTGTGGCGAAGCCCGGCCAGCTCATGGCCATCATGGGCGCGTCGGGTGCGGGCAAGTCAACATTCCTCGACATCCTCGCGCGCAAGCGCAAGCGCGGCACAGTCAGCGGGCGCATTCTCGTAAATGGACGCGAGGTTGCCGATGCGGATTTCAAGAAGATGACAGGGTATGTGGATCAGGAGGATACGCTGATGAGCACGTTGACGGTGTATGAGACTGTGCTGTATTCTGCGCTGTTGCGGTTGCCGCGCGAGATGAGCCTCGAGGCAAAGAAATTCAGGACGCTGGAGACAATGCATGAGTTAGGAATTCTTGGTATCAAGGACGCTAGGATCGGCGATTCCGGTACGTGAAGGCGAACGTTCTGGACCGGGAGGTATGCTTACGACTGGCGATGAAGGTCGGCGGTCTATCTCGGGCGGCGAGAAGCGTCGTGTTTCCATCGCTTGTGAACTGGTGACGAGTCCTTCGATATTGTTCTTGGACGAGCCAACAAGTGGTATGCACGTTTCTTTGCCCGGTTCCAACGCTTGTGTTTTACATCGCCTGTTTAGGTTTGGATGCATTCAATGCTTTGAGTGTCATCGACTGTCTGGTGACGTTGGCAAGAGAATACAAGCGCACTGTGGTCTTCACGATTCACCAGCCTCGTAGCAACATTGTTTCGCTATTTGATCAGCTCATTGTCCTCGCTCAGGGCAAATTAATCTACTCAGGGGAAGCAGACAAGTGCCAGGATTATCTCCAGAAGATTGGACATTCCTGCCCTCCAGGGTTTAACATTGCCGATTTTCTAAGTACGTGTACACAAACACTTTGAGCGATGATCACTCATCAATCTCCACTGGCGCATATAGTTGATATGACGATGCAGGCTGGACTAGAGCCACGGTCACTAGAGAGTCCGCAGGGCGAGCTGACCACTCTGGAGGACGGTGATAACGCCCGTGACGAGGAGCGAGCATTTGAGCATGGCACCGCTAGTCATTCGCTGTCAGGTCGATCCCATGACCAGTCTTCCACGGCGGTAGACGAGACAGAGTTGCAGCTGCGCCCCAGCTCGGTCGCAGGCTCCGCATCCGGATATGTCAAGCGCAAGACGTCGCAGCTGCTGAAAGCCATCACGCCAATTTCATCCCCGGGAGACACACCCTTGGCCCCTCGTTTGCAAGTGTTGGTGGACGCATTCGCGGAGAGCAGCATCGCTGCTGCGATTAAGGAGGACTTTGAGGAAATGGCGCGAACAGCTGCTGCGGCGCAGGACGCGGCAAACCAATTGCCAGATGTCGCGCTGGAGACGAACCTCACGAGGGGCCGCAAACGCGCTAGCTGGGGGACACAGTTCCGGATTTTGAGCGGACGCGCATTCAAGAATTTGTATCGCGATCCGGCGCTGTTGGCTGCCCACTATGTCTCGGCGGTTGTTGTTGCATGTACGCGTTATAAATTTCTGACGACGATTATTGATAGCTCACGACATTACTCCAGTGATTTGTGGATTCTTTTTCCACAATGTCTCGTGAGTGCCATTAGGATTTGCCGCAATGCGCTGTGATCACTCACCAGAACGAACAGCGACGATATCGCTGGATTCCAGAACCGACTTGGTGATTGAATACTAACCGTTCTCCTTCTCGTTCATGCTGACGAATTGGCGTACAGGCCTGTTCTTCTTCACGCTCGCCCTCTTTGGTTTCTCCTGCTTGTCCAGCCTTACCTTGTTCGCCAATGAGAGGATATTGTTCATGAGAGAACGGTACGTATGGTTATCAATTGCATATTGGATCTTCTCAGCTGACCTGTGCGTTGTTCAGTGCGAATGGATACTACTCTCCCCTCACCTACTTCTTATCAAAGGCACGTTCTATTCGGCCTTGCTTCTTTGTATTTCAAATGCTCAGCCTTCTCGCAGATCCTGTTCGACATCTTGCCTTTACGAGTAGTGCCGCCCCTTGTGTATGGAGGGATCGTGTACGGCCTCGTTGGCCTCGTGCCCACAGTTCCTGCGTTCTGGAAGTTCATTCTCACGCTCGTGCTTTTCAATCTCACGACGGCGAGCGTCATCCTCATGCTCTCGATTGCCTTCGCGAGCGTCAGCGTGGCCAGTTTGGCTGGGACGCTGATTATGTTGTTCAAGTGAGTGAGATCCGATTCCGTGCCTGTAAACGTGATGCTGACTGTCTCCGCAGTCTGCTATTTGCGGGACTGCTGATCAACCGCCAGACACTCGGTCCACGCTGGGAGTGGTTGGATGTCATCTCGTTCTTCCATGCAGCATTCGAAGCGCTCGCTGTCAACGAGCTTCGTTATCTCCAGTTGAAGGAGAACAAGGTGCGTCTTGTTGCATTCCTGTGATTAGCACTATCTCATTGGCATCAAATTCGCAGTATGGCGTTGATATTGATGTTCCTGCTGCCGCTATATTGTCGACATTCGGGTTGAAAGCCCAGGCGAGTGAACAGTCTACTGCAATTGAGTTGCCTTGCTGAAGTCTCTTTGTAGTCATTCTGGTGGCCGAACATCTCGCTGCTCGGAATCTTCTTTGGCGTTTTCACTACCGCGAGTTACCTCATCCTTCATTTTTACGTGAGGGAGAAGCGGTAACACGCACCCACGGCGACTTGACTCCTACGACGATTGTCATGTCATTTAGCTTTGATTGCCAGCTCTTGTCGACAGCTTGTATAGTATTCACCTGTACTACTCGTCTGTCTGAGGGTTGTTGTGCATTGCCGGCCCAGTAGCTCCTGGTTGCCGAGCTGAGCGGAAGAGGGAATACGTACGTGCAGCGTGCGCTTCGCTTGGCAGGAGCATGGAAGTTGGTGGCAGTTACGCGAAGGTGCAGCCGATTGGTGAGCCGGTGCATTGAACCAGTCCGCGAAGAAAGATGGTCCTCGATACTTCCAAACCTCTCGGAGCTCGAAGGAACAGGTTCTCGCTGATGATCAGGCCTTGAATAGATCTATCGGTGACAACGGCTGTCTTGGATTGCATTTCCTCCGGCTTTCTTTTTCGTGCTCGAGGGTAAGGGACCTATAGGCACCCACAGGATGTGCCGAGCAATGATAGCACATGGCGCCTGGCGGTTTCCCTTGTCCCACCGCGTGCCAAAAGTGACTCAGGTTCTGTATCGGACGTCTCGGGCTCAAAGGCGTAATGCCCTTGTAATTTCTGCAACGTGTCAGCCATTGCTTGGCGAGCTGGTAAAGGCCTGCGATATGCATGAATCAACGGAATGCAGGCTAAAACCGACGCCTGGGCCTGCTTATCTAGAGGCCATTCTATCTTCCAGCGTCCTCTCCGGCTTATAGTCATTGGCTTGTCCCCCTCAAGATCCTCCGCGTCGAGATGGACCCTGCAACACTCCTCTTCTTGAGTTCTTTCCTCCTTGGACTTGTCTTTTGCATATTGTGTCTCCTTGACCGGGACCAGGAATGTGGAGTATGTTATTATTTCGATGATCATGAAACGAGAGTCACTATCTCAGAAGTGTTCCATAGCCAAAGACAATCCCTACAGTTGGAGGCTCCTCTTTGCCTCTCCTCTCATACGCAGGAGCTTTTCGTCACGTCTTTTATGCTGCCGACATCCTCCATGAGGGTTATCGGAGGGTAAGTGAATTTCCGAGCGTCCACGATGCCTTCCGTGTGCATGTCTTATTCGCCACATGTATGCTTATACTGATGTTTCCTGCTAGTACAAGGGTGGCACGTTCAAATTCGCAGATTTCCGCAGGTGGTACATTATTGTGTGCGAGCCGCACTTGATAGAGGAGATCATCAAAGCCCCAGACGACCAGCTATCCTTTGATGAAGCTGTGCACGAGGTGATTATCATCTGAATCAGCTCATGCATTCCAGCCAACATAGCTAACCAAGCATCGTAGATCCTTCAGACCGACTACACCTTGGGCTATGCCCTGCACCATAATTTATACCACGTACCGATTGTTCGGTCGCAACTGACTCGCAACATCGCAAAATTCTTCCCGCTATTGCATGACGAGCTCGTAGCTTCGTTTCACGATGAAATTCCCTTGAATGGGTCAGGTACGTCCTCGGGGTGACGCACGATCTTTGGCTGTCAACGCTGACTGCTTGCCAGGATGGAACAAGGTCCGCGCTATGGATGCCATGGTCCAGGTGATCTGCAGAACAAGCAACAGAGTGTTCGTTGGTTTGCCTTTGTGTAAGTGCATCTGCTCTCGGAATAGATGCATATTCCAGCCGCCGACGCGCGTCACAGGCAGAAATTTGGACTATTGCAACCTAAATAAGCAATTTACAGTCGACGTAATGAAGGGGGGAACGATAATCTCTCTATTTCCAGGCTTGCTCAAACCGTGAGTACATATATATGTCTGTCTCTGAAAAGCTAGTCGCAGCCTTTGGAATTTTTGCTTCGAGAATATCAAGCCCTGTTGCCCTCACAATCGGGCGAACACACGTTGCTATGTCGCATTTTCCATCTGCCGTCGCTTCTTCTCGATATTGGCATATGTAGTCCAATCATCGCTTCCCACGGTTACCGGTCACGGCTATGCTCGCTAACACATTCGCGCAGGTTTGCAGCACGGTTCCTGACTGACGTGCCTAATAGCATTAAGCGGGGCGTCAAACATCTAGAGCCCCTCATTAGCGAACGCCTTCGAATGGAACAAGAGCTGGGTTCGGAATGGACGGATAAGCCTGTGCGTTTCTACCCCTCTGTATCACAAACTCGAATGTCGCTGCGATATGTTCGACAATCGGTGCTTTATACTAAATATATATATGCGATGACTTCCAGAATGACATGCTGCAATGGCTCTTGGATGCAGCCGAAGGAGAGGAGCGTACCGTCCGAGCACTAGTGCTGCGGATTTTGACAATCAATGTTGGAGCAATACACACATCTGCAATGGTAGGCTTGTATATCAGTCGTACAATGTGGTCGCTTTGATTGCTGACGCGCTTATGTTTGATGCTATAGTGCCTCACACACGCGGTATACTATCTGGCTGCCTATCCACAGTATGTTCAAGCGCTGCGTGAGGAGGTCGAAGCTGTCGTGCAGCAAGAAGGATGGACGAAGGCCGCCATGGGAAAAATGCACAAATTGGACAGTTTCTTCAAGGAAGTTCAGCGGCTGAATGGGATTGTTGCCAGTACGTCAATCACTCTTTCTGCAGACTTCAAATCGAGTATCACCAGAGGCTTCCTTTTGGTTGGTGCCATGCTAGATGGCCGTTCGAGCTGACCTTCTATGAACCTAGGGGGATTGGATCGCAAGGCTATGAAGGATTTTAGATTCTCGGATGGAACATTTGTTCCTGCAGGCACATACATCGCGGCTCCAGCTGTGGCCATGCATCACGACGAGGACGTATATCCCGATGCTCATACGTTCAATCCATGGAGGTTCTCCGACTCCTGCAATGAGCGGGACGACTTTCAGCGGCAACACACCATCACCACAAGCCCTTACTTTCTTCTTTTCGGACATGGGAAACATGCATGGTGCGCGAACTGGATCTGCTGCCGTTGAATCGCTGACATGTAGCGGCCTGAACATAATGGTTTCCTATGGCCATAGTCCTGGTAGATTCTTTGCGGTCAATGAGCTGAAAGCGATGCTCGCCCATATGGTCGTCTCCTATGATATGAAGATGGATCAGGAAGGGGAAGTACCTGCGAGTAAATGGATAGCCAACGCGCTCATTCCGCATCCCACTGCTGAGGTTGAATTTCGGAGACGAGTGGACTAGCTCATGCTTTTTGCATGTTGTCTGTATTATTTTATCAGGATATCGTTCGTTGCAATGCAATATGTACACTATCATGCGGGCGTACTACGCAGAAGCTAAACTACGATCCAATTAGCTGCCGTGGGGTGGTTGACATTGACAAGTTTTGGGAAACCTGAGCAGTGGCATCTGAAGGTTACGGTACGAGTCGCGAATGCGGATGCGGAGGCGCTTGTCAACGCCGCTCAGAGCTCACTGGCATCTTAGCGCTGAAGCTCTATAGGTAGACCGTCCTCATCAACATTTTCATTCTATACCATTGGCCATGACTAAAGCGTTATTTGGCGATGATATCTTTTCTTGGAAACCTTTTAGTCGTCTCTACGGGACATACTAACTGAAAGCCCACTGTGGGCGTGGCGGCCTGGCCACATCTGTGAAGTCGGTCACGTGATCCACGCCATACTTCTAACACGACGAGTTTTAAAGCGCGGCCTCTGCCAGTCTCCACTCATCCTCCCGCTCCTTTGGAGGTAGCAGAAAAGTCTCAGAACAGCTCATTTTACAGGCTCCCGGACCTCAAGTATTGGTTTACCTCTCCATTCGTATTCATTCAGACGCAACACATTTCTGGCAGGACCACCAATCTCATTTCACAATTCAAGACGTGTATAGCACTTAGATTGATCATAATCTACCAATAGTATGTGATGCGCCCTGCACTTTTGCAAACTCGTTATCATGCCCATTCTTTGGTCAGTGCCTGTCGAGACAGACCTTTATGAGCTCCTCGGTGTGCATCCCGAGGCTTCTGAAGGTAACGACTCTCAAGATCGCCCTTTCAGCAATTGACTTATTAGTATCTTGCGCCAAGATGAGATCAAGAAAGCGTATCGCCGAAAGGTGGGCTCATCTGCATTGTCCCGCATTGGGTGGCGACGTCTAACCTGCTCAGGCCAGGGAACACCATCCAGTATGCCGGGGAGTCTAATGCAGCTTCTCGATTACTGACATGCATGCACATTGCGGCCTTTAGGATAAGGTGCGTGAAGGACTGGTTTCCTTGCGTTTACTTCTTAACATCACCATCTAGAATCCCGATGATCCGACAGCGGGACCAAAGTTTCAGGAGATGGCAGCAGCGTTCGTCTACCCCCACCTCTGTTTGTAATGGCACATCGTCTGAAAGCCCGGAACATGCACAGATACGAGATACTCAGCTCTACTGAAACACGAGAGGTGTACGATCTATATGGCATGGAAGGCTTGTCGAAGGGCGGCCCAGGCGGTCCAGGTGGTATGAGTACCGACGACATCTTCTCGGACCTGTTCGGCGGGGTCCGCTTCGACTTTGGGTTTGGACCAGGAGCACGGAAGCCTCGACGCACAAGAGGGGATGATTCCATCATCCAGTATGATGTGACGTTGGAGGACCTCTATAACGGCAAGACCGTCAAGATGAACATGGAGAAGGAAGTAGTCTGTGGTGTATGTAAAGGGTATGTGATCGCCCGTACTCCCCAGGCTTATGCTTATGGGCTATAATGTGCAGATCAGGAGCGCGGGGCTCAGCGAAGCCCAAGCCTTGTGTCAAGTGCGAGGGTAAAGGATGGATTATGGTTCACTCGCAGGTGTGTTGCGTATTGAGCGTATTTTGTTTCTACTAAGGATTGTACATACAGCTTGGTCCTGGTCGAATAGCTACCTCACAAGCGATGTGTCCCGACTGCGATGGCCGTGGAGAGAAGCTACGAGAGAAAGACCAGTAAGCAGATGAGCCTCTTGCTGAGCCGCCTCTCAGATCACCACAGGTGTAAGAAGTGCAAGGGTAAGAAGACAGTCAAGGAAAAGACACGTCAAGAAATATATATAGAACGCGGAATGGCCGATCGCCAGAAAGTCATACTTGCAGGTGCAGGAGATGAGGAGGTCTGTGTATCTTGTTATTGATGAAGCACGGAGAGCTGATAAATTCTTGTAGCCTGGAGTCACTCCTGGTGATGTGATTTTCGTGTTGAAGACCCGCAAGCACGACTCCTTCGAGCGATCGGGCAACGATTTGCTTACCACTGTGCATATTACGCTCTCGGAAGCGCTCCTCGGATTCTCGCGAATCCTTGTAACGCATCTGGATGGGCGAGGAGTCCAGGTCTCGAGCCCATCGGGAAAGATCATCAGACCTGGCACGACCATTGTCCTACGAGGCGAGGGCATGCCTGTCTACAAAAACCCAGATACAAGGGGAAACCTCTATATTATGCTTGAGATCGACATGCCAGACGAGGAGTGGCTAAGGAGCATAGACAAAGCCGTACGTCTATTCTGTTTCAGCCGCCCTGCTCTGTATCTCACTCTCCTGTCCTCCCAGGCTCTTGCGCAGCTGCTACCGCCAAAGAAGCCAGATATGGACCCGCGACCGGAAGTCGTGGACGAGGTGCCGTTCGAAGAGAGCGACATGGCGGACGTGCGTTCTGCGCCTTTCTCCGCTGGGACCTACTTCTTTGACCATCATGGTTTTGGCCAGCAGTTCGGCGAGGGCGACGAGGGCGAGTGGGTGGACGAGGACGAGGACGAGTACAACCCATATGGTGCAGAGCCAGAGTGCACACACCAATAGACGTGTGGGTCTTGCTGGGGTCATCGGATGGGATGCTGGGCTGCAGTTGGTATTTTATATTCATGCTATGATATGCAACACGCAATTTATTATAATATTTGGCCTTCCCCGCTCCGCTATTGAGCAACTGTTGCGCTGTAAATGGGCACCCGTTCTCGCCGAATAATACCGCGTTTGCAGTGAGGTCGCGCCGCCGCCACCTCCTGCCCTTGACAGCATCTACCTCGTCGGTCGAGCTTCGATTCAAACCCGGGCTTCTGATAGTAATCGAATCCTTGCCATGGTACGTTTTAGACTATTTTACGTATTCAAATGTGGCCTTCGCGCTACTGAGCGATTACGTATGATATATGATTGTCCAGAGCATTGCGGCTGAGGAGCGCCGTTTGACAATACATGGTGTCCAATGGGCATAGAGCATTCCCCGAAACGAATCTGACTCCGCGATGCTGCGTGCCAGAAGGCGCGAGCAAGCTGTTCGGGGCATTACTGCCTATCAATCACCCAATGTACATCGTACCACCTAGACCCACGCAGACGCACGCATATATGAAGCACTGATAGTGCGCAGGGAGATACGTCTCCCATCCTTCACCACTTGCGTCCCGACTCTATTAGGAAGCGCCCGGACCACCGTTGACCAATTCGAGCCGAGTTGACGTTGCGAGCACAGCGACCGTGGCTCAAGTCCTTCGTTTGTCTGATTATCGCATTGTTCTATCTCAATGTCGAACCTTTGAACGCGTATTGAGCGATAGTCCTCAATTATGCGAGCCGACATTGAACCAAAGTGGAAGCTTTGATTGTCATGGATGTACTGTGGGAGACGCAAAGCTGAGTACGTGGGCTTCACGATTCTCGGGGCATCGGACTCGCTGACGTAGGGTGCGAACTTCGTACGACAGCCTCTGGACAGTATAATTAGCTGATATGGCTCCCCACGCGAAGCATCGCCTTCAATGTCGTTATCGAGGACAACGATTGTTGAGAGCAAGGCAATCGGCATGATATCCGAGTCCCAAGCGGGCATGCCACAACAGAGCAAGATCCTCCGCCAGGTAGGCTGAAGAACCGGTGTAGAGCGGGGCCCGAAAGACTTTTCGACCGTCGACCCACCGCAGGACTCTGGCAAGATTCCGCAGAACAGATCAGCGAGGTAGTCCCTGGTAGAAGCCGGAACCATTCTTGCGTCTGAGAGGTTCGACATGACGCATAGGGTTGCGCTGACGAAGGCGATATCCAAACAGGACATGGCTGGAGAGTGCGTCACGTCGCCAGGTATGAGCTGTTGTTCGGTGTTGTTATCACAGCAATTTGATGTGGTGTTTTAGCAGAATCACACCACGGTGCGATGTCTTCAGTCTGTGCCGCCGTCGCGTAGGAGGTCCATCATACGAGGAGGACGGGGAGAGAGACTGGACCTAGCGAGTTGGCTCCGGAGCCGTGAATAATTGAAAGTCACATGACCGGAATTTATGGTAAGAGTGGTCTGACTTTGCGGAGGGCGCCCTCTTAAAAGGGCCCTTGCGGGTCCGCTAACCGACTTGCTCGTCGTCGCGGTTGTTCTCGCCATCGCCGTCGTCGCGGTTGCTGCCCTCCATATACCCGTCCTCTACCAAGATTTCTTGGGTGTCCAACGGTCATGGACCTCGTGCTCAACGTTGCCGACGACCTTCTCCTTGACCAAGTCTGGGCGAGCGTATTGCCGGCGTCTGCTTTCGCGTTACCTCCAACTGCGGCGTTCGTTAAGGCGTCCCTTAACAGCTCGTCACATTTACCTATCATAGCCTCAGATGCCTCCAAGTGGTCCCAGCTAATATCATATATCCCTCACCCTCCCCTCTCCGTTGACTACCTTGCGTCCGACGAGCTCGCCCTCTCCTACGCATCCGCGTGGCCGCGCGACTACATCCCACGCCAGCTGATCTCCCTCTTCGTCGTCACGCTCATCGGCATCCACATCCTCTACTTCGTGTTCGCATGGCTATCGTACAAGTATATATTCAATCACGAGATGATGAAGCACCCGAAGTTCTTGAAGGATCAAGTCAAGGCCGAGATTCATCACAGCCTGCAGGCCTTTCCCCTGATGACTCTCTTTACTCTGCCGTGGTTTGAAGCAGAGGTGATGGGCTATTCGAAGCTGTATGACAACGTGGACGAGTATGGGTGGGGCTATCTCCTGTTCTCAGTATTTTGGTACGTCATTTCTACATCTCGCGAATCTCACGTTTTTCTCATCGTTGCTGCAGGTTCCTTGTCTTCACAGACTTCGGAATCTACTGGATTCATCGTTGGGAGCACCACCGGCTCTGGTACAGGTGGCTACACAAACCGCACCACAAGTGGATCGGTAAGTGCAATTGCCGCACATCCGGTTCGCACTCGTCTCTTACCACCCCTGTTTCCCCTCAGTGCCCACGCCCTTTGCGTCTCACGCCTTTCACCCGCTCGATGGCTACTTCCAATCCCTCCCATATCACTTCTTCATCTTCATCTTCCCCATGCACCGCGTGCTCTATCTCGGCCTCTTCGTGTTCGTCAACTTCTGGTCTATTCTCGTGAGTAGCATCCGGCTCTGTACTTCTCTCGCCCTTGCTCATCGTCACTGCAGATTCATGACTCCGACATGATCACCGGCCACCCCCTCGAGACCATCATCAACGGGCCTGCGCACCACACACTGCATCACCTCTACTTTACTGTCAACTATGGCCAATACTTCACTTGGGCAGACCGCATGGGTCACTCGTACCGTCAACCGCTCTCCGAGCTTGATCCGCTGCTCGAAGTCCACGCTGCTGACGCGAAAAAGCAAAAGGAAGCACTGGGCAAGGATCAGTGATTCCCTCTGTCTCATATGTGAGACGATGACGTGTGGAATAAACTATCGCTATTAGTCGCTATCGTTAGAGCGGGATGGACTGTTGCTTAGGATCTCATGTAATCGCGTCGACGACGTTAATGGAACAGTGCTGTATTGTGATGACCACTTCATCCCAGCTGTGATCTGCATGGAAAAGGACTTTGACAATGACGATAGATGATATAAGACAACGAGTAGCAGCATAGCAGTCAGACAGGTAGTGTTCTCTTTCGCGCTTTCTTCGTTCGCCCTCCCTCATCGCTTCGCCGGCTTGCGTTTCACCTCGTCGTCTTTGCATGCGTGCAGCATGATCTTGTTTGGGTGGCCAGGTGTCATGCCCGAGTGTCCCTTGGACCAGTCGTATGAGACAGCGTACGCGAAGATCGTGCCATTTCGGTTGAAGCTGGTCGTGGGCACGGGTCCAGGCGCGGGCTCGAAAGCTGCGAGAACAAGAGATGAGCCGATGTGCTCTGACAAGGTGAACATGCAAACGCACACTTGAGGCGCGTACGCGCATCCTTGTCCCAGTAGTTAATCGTGCCGTCAGAGCCTGTGAATAAGCGTCAACTTCGAGCGCCCACGCCGTCACGAGAGATCTGACGCACCACAAGTGGAGAATGTTCCATGCACGGGGTGGAAAGAGATGTCATTGACGGCATACACGAGTGACTGGTCTTTGGCTGCCGCCGATGCGTCTCGCCGATGGCATTTGAAAGAAAAGTTGTTACTTTGAAAAGGTGTCAGGCGAACTATTATCAGAGACACGAGCAACATGGACGTACGAGACATCTTTCTCGTCGACATATCTGTCATAAATGTACATGTTCGGTCAGAATTGCAAGTAATGCTGTGTGTATAGGACATACTGAATTGCAACTCGGCCCTCGACGCTACCAACTGCAAATCCATTCGCTTGGGGGAAACACGAGACGACTCGGGTCTGCCACTTGAGTGGTGATACGATGGTCTGCAAGAGCGTGTCATCTACTGGAGCATGATTTTAAGGTTATGCATGCCGACCTTAAACGGGCTGGTGGGATTCGTGAGGTTGAAAATCTGGATGTGCCGCTCAGCCGTGCCGACAACCATCAGCGGGTACACAACATCCAACGTATAGCACCGCTCTGGCAGCTGCACTGAGGAAATTGGAGTCGGTGTGCGTACGTCCCAGTACTATACAACGCGGAAGTGCGCGTCAGCCGTCGGTTGTAGGGACCACATCGTGTGCATGTGAGGGTGAAGGCCCACCTTCAATGTCTTGTCCCAGCTGCCAGTGACGAGGATGCCACCCTGTGGCATTTCAATCCATCGCACGCACTTGATGGGCGCGTCGTGCTGGGCGACCTGTGTAGGCTGGCCTGTTTGGGTGTCAAACATCCTGGCCGCGTTGTCTGCGCCGCCTGATAGCACTTTCGTTCCATCCTAGGTGATGTGGGATGACATGAGACCGGTTAAATCATACTGCGGAGATAGGAATCGGATACCTTGTTCCAGCATACACTCAACACGGGCCCCTGGTGTGGAAATATCGCCTTCCCTTGCGTCTGACCATTCTGGCTCACTTCGTAAATGCGTACCTACCCCCAACCAAAGCAAGAGACGCGTCGACTATTAGAAGCAGCAAAAGGCATCAGACATCATCACTGACGTTATTATCCCAGCTCCCTACAGCGAGGTAGTCAGCCTGCGGCGAGAAGGAGAGGGACGAGATGGAGTCCGAGGGAGGGTCGGCGACCTCGATATCCTTATCTCCCTGAACGGCCGTAGTCGCGGTCGTCGTCGGCGCGTTGAAGAATGACATCGTCCACCGCCAGATGAATGCGTGAAAGGGAGGAGAGAAGTGGCAGGGAGAACGTGCGGTTGAGATCAACTCGCGCTTCAAGTGTTCGTCTATATATGGTAAACAAGATCATGCATTGACGCTGGCGGCCATTTAGCCTGCAAACATCGATGCATGTATCGGAAGATAACCGAGATGCTCGAAAGCCGGCCGGATCTACACATTGAACTCGTGTGGATCCCTGGTCATGCTGGCTTTCTGGGCAATGAAGTCGTTGACCGTCTGGCGAAGCACGGTGCGTCCTCCCCAGCCAATCATCCACCTTCACTGGTGTGGGCAAAGGGAACTGCACGCATAAGAGCCCTTCATAAGTGGAGGCGTGACTTCCGTCGCGACGCACATCCATCCGAATTCCGTGCAGCAGTCACGACCAAGCCTAAATTAACCTTGCATCGTTACTTCAAGAAGAACGAAGACCATCGTAATGTCGAGTGCCGACTTGTCCAGCTGCTCATGGGGCATGGTCACGTCGGTAGCTATTACCATCGCTTCGTGGCAGAAGAATCCACACAGTGCCAGTGCCGCACCACTAACCTACAGACACGCGAGCATTTGCTCGTCCACTGCCCGCTCTACACCCACAGTCGCCACCATCTAGGCAACCCTGCACATCCCATTCGACTCAAGCGGCTTTTCGCCTCCAAACACGCTCGACAAAAGCTCGCGGCGTTCCTCACGGAGACGGATGCATTCACCAAGACCTCGCTGGTTCCCTGGGACCCAGGCTGAGGGGTTTCTTTGTTATCGTGCTGCTATGCATGCCCTGTATCCGATCCTGGGTGCGCCCAGTCCGCCGTAGACACCACTTTGTACCCACACCTACGACCGCCTTCGGCGGTATATAAATAGTACTCAAAAAAAAAAAAAAAACATCGATGCATGTGGGCATATAGTACACAATAGCTACAGAATAAAATACGATAAGCGTTCGATGACTATAATATACAGTCCGTAAGTGTGTATCAACGTTTACTATCCACCTGGTCCATGTCGACGGGCATCACAACGAATTGTCGGAAAGTACGACTCGGCGGACTCATTCGTCGCGTCTTCGTCCGACTCTGACAGCTCAGTCAGAGAGCTTCGATCATCCCAGTCAAAGCTGCCTCGTCGCGACCCGGTACGGGCATCGGTCCTCTCGTATGGAGCATGTTGAGGGATGTTCCGTCCAGCAGTCCTCCATGTGCCGGAACCCGAGGATGGAGTCCTGCTATGCCGCGGCCTCGGCGATGACATCGGTATCGGTGTCAGCGGGGAGTCAGGAGGCGTAGGCAAGGGACTCTTGCACATAGAGTTCTTCAGCTTGGGTGGCACAGTCGTGATCAGCACCTCGGGGCGCGGAGGAATCCTAATCGTCAGTTTTGTCTTGCGCGCTTGTGGTCTGCTCTTCTTCACGACGGGCAGGATCAACCGGGCATTCTCGCTAACCTTCGCAACGTTGGCCTTCGGCCGCTTCGACATCTGAGGTTTATACGGCGCCACCTTGCGTTTCTTCGTCGATGAAGATGATGAACGTGCCTCCGATTGAGGGCCACCCTTTCGCTTCTTGGTACCGCTCGCATTGCTGACCTGCAAGCTCTCCTCTAATTTTGTCGCCAATGCAGCTTCCTCCCTTCGCCGTTTCCTCTCTGCAGAAGCCTGCTTCGCCCTTTCCTCCCTCTCCAGTTCCTCATGTACCATCCGCGCGAACTCCTGCGCATCTCCTCTTATCCAGACGTCAAATACGCCATCCCACTCTCTCGTAGGTACCGGAAAGTCGAGGTTCAAATAGATGACTCTAATAGGTGCCTCTTCCTCATACGCAGGAGAACGGCGTGGCGATGGCGCAGGAGTGGCGAGGCCCATCTCGGTGGTAGAATGCTCGCTCTGTGAGCCGCTCGAAGGCAATGGACGAGAATGGACTGCTTTGGAGAATTCTCGCACAATCCTCTTGGTTCCGGGCACCCGTAAGCTGGTACCCACTACCAACAGTAGGTCTGCGCCCGCTCGCCCCTTTCCCTTGGAGCTACCTATGAGGTCTCGCCTCACGATATCGCCGACCTCTTCACCATCCTTGTGCATCTCGTTGTACAGCACAACGCTTGGACGCAACTTCCCTACTCCTCGCGAGCGCTTGCCTACCAGTTGGCGAGTCTCCTCGACGGCGGTACATTCGGGACAATACGGCGGTCTCCCCTCGCTGAGCGCAGGTAGATACTCTCGCAACGGGAACGAGTGCGTGCATGTCTGGCAATGCATCGACTGCAACGTACCGTGCAAAGGTATGCATCGGGGAGTCTCCATGGGCGGAGTGAGAAGTCGAATGTGTGGCGGCTCAACGGCAGTGGAAGGACCAGGATCCTCAGGAACATCGTGCCTTCCCTTCGTCGAGCGATATTTGTACCTCTTGCAGTCCACCTCGGGGACGCCGAAGGTAAGGCCTGATTTCTGTTCAAGAGCATCTATGTTCTGCGTGTAGACGCGGAGAAGACGTCGGCGGTCGTCCAGCACACGAAGCAACTTGTGGAAGGAGGTCGGTACAGCAGTCTCAGAGAGTTCAGACAGTTGGGCTATCATTTGACAGAACATGGATGTCGTGCCCTCGGACTGTGGCGAATTAACGTCAGCATTACGTCTGCACATGACAAATCTGTACAGGTGAGCTTGACGTATGCGCAAACATCTCTCCATGTAGCGAGGAGCAGGTGACAAGACCCATACGGCATATTATCCGCTCGCGCCACGTTGCAGAACAGCCTCCGTCTGTTAATTGATTGCATCGGACACGCATAGTCCCGATACGCCTGTTGGCAGTAGGTTTGGCTTTCGTGGGGCGACCGTTGGACGATTATCTGCGATGGGCTATAAAGATGAGAGATGCCGTGGACTCATCTATAAGACGAGAGCCTGAGCTTGACCTGTCGCCTCACCGACAAGCCGTGGGATGCCTCCGGCTACATCGCAACTCGTACACCACAACAATGCCAGGAGTCGTCATCGAGACGGAATACACCAGAGTGCACGAGAATACATCGCGGTCTCAAAAACACTCACGTTAAATACTGATGCATCGAATAAGTCTTTCCCGGAGCTCAGGGCTGGGTTGTCTTTCTTCAGGCTTTGAAACAGCCCGTCAGACGAGCGGAAGTCCGGGATGCCTGCTTGCACGGAGATCCCAGCACCTACAAGAGAAAGCAAAATTATCGCTTGCTTGAAAACGTGCGCAACGTTCGCCACGCACCGCAAACGACTGCGATCCTGCGCGCCTTCATCACGGCTTTAACGACCTTCTTGACATGTGCGGCTGGCTCTGGCGAAGGCATGAGAAATGACGGTGCTTGCGGAAACGGCGACGACGCCTGCAGTGGGACGAAGACCGTCATGAAGTTGAGGACACCCGCGCGGGCAGGCGATGAGGCAATGGCGATGGCCGTCGGAAAGGGGACGCTGGTCGTGTCCGGTGTGCGCGGTGTGTTCGAGTTCGTGCAAACTGGGTGGCGCGGTCCGTTTGCGGAAGGCATTGCATCGAGATCTGGGTCATGTGCTTCTCGGCGCTCGCACTTGGGTGTAGAGGCGACGAGCGCCGGTTCCAAATAACAGGCACCGCAGAAAGGTGGGGAAGGATAATGATACGACAATATGAGCAACGCAGTGTATATGATGGCATTCATTATCAGGTCAGACCTGAACAGCAATATAGGCCACATCATGGACTATGTATGGCTGCAGATCAAGTTGATGTGGTTGTGTGGTACCTGTAGAGAGTCATGCAATGAACTGGATGCCTTCATTCAATGAAGGATAATGCTCAATGAGGAGGACACAGCCTGATGGTGATGTGGAACAAATCAATGGGATAAGCAGCACTAAAAACAAATGATGCACAAATTACTGAAAAAGAGTTAAACTGCAGCTCAGGGATTATATAAAGCAGAGCAAGGACAGTATAGAAATAGCCAAATTTCATTCTGTTATTTGAAACTTGAATAAGTTGGTGATGAGCACCAGTTTCAAATAACAGTTATCAGAGAAACATGGCATAGCAGAGGAACATCAGTGATCAGTTTTAATTTTGAATACATGAACAGACACCACAGAAAGATGGCATAGCAGAGCACATGACTGGGGACAATTACAAACACTGCACATCACGCCAAATATCCACGGCAGGATATTGCAGGAATATCCCGAATTTCCTGGCGATATCCTTCAAGGATATTGCCAGGATATTTAAAAGGATATTGCCAGGATTTAACGGAAATCCATGCAATGTTTTGGCAATATCCAGCCAGATATCCTTGCAATGTACGTTCATGGATATTGCTCTGTTCTTCGTGGCTCGCTCCCGGTACCCTACGGCATGCATATATCCACATTAAAAATCACAAAATCATATATTATTGTCTCCTGAGGCTACTACATGCTAGAGGGTCTTATATGGTACAGTAGCATATGCAATACTCATTAAAGAGACACACAGCCTGTGCTCTGGATCACTGATGTGCATAAGTGCACTTCAGCAGAGCCAGAGTGCGATAACTGGAAAGTCAAAGATACCTGCATGCGAGAACATCATTAACAAGTTCTCTATATGGGTGAAAACGGCGCACGCACTGTGTGACTAGCTCAAGACGCAGACCCCACAAGTGGAGGTTCTGCGTCGACCGCCTGCATCATCGATTGCTACTACAATGACATCAGTCGGATGAGCATACAATCATAGTAAAGAAGCATACCATAGCCAAATGTTGAAGCACTGAACAAGGCCATGGTGTTGTAATATCCTAGCATGTAGTCAGCTTGGACATCACAAATGATGATGACAATATTACCTATGTATGGTTATGCTCAGGTGCCACTCGGTGCTGATATTGTTCACGATTCTGAGTAAGTAAATTGAGTTCAAGCACTGCGATGATATACCCTCACTGATAACACTAGATCAACGAGTGGCGCAGCTCTCGAGATGCTCTACAGGAGAAGATGGACACTTTGTTCGTGGAGAAGCAGCACCTGGAAGAGCTCATATCACACACTTGGAGTGAGCTCCATCAGAAACCGATGCAGAGCTCAGGGCGTGTGCCGATGCAGAAGCCAAGGTAGAGTCATTGCAGGTGGAGAAGCTGGCTGTGGAGCTCGCATTCGAAGTTAGTCAAGGAGCTTGAGGCGAGAATTGACCAGAAATATACTTCTAAGCTCAATATCGAAGACTTGTTATGAACCACTCAAGCCGACAAACTTCCGCTTGACGGAGCACATGTGCAAGCTCTCTCCGATGTCCAGAAGAAGACTGCCAAGGTAATCGCAGAGCGCGAGCACTATGCTAGACTGGAGAAGGAACTTCGCACGATGAAGGGAAAGCACCGAGAGTTGCCTGCATCGCAGTCAAACAGTCAGACAGAGCTTGAAGCCAAGATCGCTGCTGAGCATGATGCTCGAGTCCAACTCAAGGAAGAATGCGAGCATCTCCTGGCGAAGAAGCAGAATCTTGAGATTACGTGCTCAAACACCAAGATGGAGCTCCATGAAAATATTTCTCTAGCAGCTGCAGAGCACGCTCGCTTGGAAGAGGCGCTCGATATCAAGGTCGCCGAGGTCGCCGAGGAGTGCAGTGCACGTGCCGAGCAAGAGCAGGCACCAGATACAGGCTGAGTTGAAAGTGAAGGCTATTGAAGCCGGCGCTGGGCACGAAGCGCACTTGGAACCAGAGAACGAGATCCAGCAGCTGTAGGCGGAGGTGCAAGAGGTGGAGATTTGCATTTGCGGAGCATTCAGGAACCTGAGGCACAGGAGGAGGAATGCAACTTGGTTCTATATGCACAGTGTAGACAGGTTGGGACCTGGAAGGCAGGATCAACAAGGGCAGTGAGGAACACTAGGCCCGATGGAAAGAGAGGAGAGAGGAGAGAGGAAGGGGTCGAGCACTATATATGCAGTTGATATTGACAATATTGGCAGCTGTTAGCTGAAGTACATGGAGAAGACTGCGACGCGCACCGATCACATGAGCATATCTTGCCTTATCCTGTCCAGAAAATCGCCAGAATATTCACCTCAAAAGATATTTCCAGGATATTGCCGGGACATTCCAACTTTCCTGGCAATATCCCCCCAGGATATTTTGAGTCAACACGCAGTG